CATGGTTCAAGTTTGTTATTCTTCAGTAGTTATTAAATATTAGTTCTTTCAACAACTTGAAAGTTTCGGGCGTCGAATCGCACTATTGAATCGGACAGAGGCGGCGGCCACAAAATTGAATTTGGGGTTGGGCTAAGGATTAAGTTTAGTGACAAAGGAGGACCCACCATGGTTGGGTCCGACGCGGAAGAAAATTTTTGAAATCAAGCCTCTAGAATGGCTAAAAATGTATCTCCCATAATAAAATTTAACAAATCACTAAACCGCTCAGAATAGACAGTTCAACGATGCTCAGAAAAACATTGATTTTTGATTTTTAGAAAAAATTTGGGAGGGGAGGATTCATGCGTTGGAAAAAGAAAGAAAGGGTGACCTTTGGTTCACATCGATGTTAATAACAAGAAGCTGCTGTATTGATTGCCAGGGTACATTCCATGTACTTAGGCCCGAAGATCTGTGGCGTTCACTCAGGCTTTTTGGCGTTCCGAGTACAAACTAATAGAAAACATTTTTGGCATACGTAAAATCTTCGTTAGTTGGCGTGCTAAACATGAAGCCACGTACATAGTTAAAACGAAAACATATGAAACAAATGTTGATTGGGTCATGGCAGCGCAACGTGCTTCGATTGTAGAATCTCACGTTATTTTAGATTGTTCACAGCAAGTTATAGCGAAGTGTTCTACCCGTGTACGATCACTTTTGATGTTTCTAGCCAATTATTACAAGCCAAAAATTTTGGCGCCCTCTAAACTCCATTTGCGCCCCTATTCAGGGGGGGCCATGGCCCCCCTGGCCCCCCCTGCCACCACGCCACTGCCGATAACCACAGCTAAAACAAAGTTTCCTCCTTTCTTTTTCATAAAATAATCTATGAGATGAAACTGTGCTTTAAACCCAGCAACTTTAAACCCAGCAACTGAGTTATGGTTCAGAAGACTCTTATTCATTGTTCAAAGAAACCAGCCTTGCAAAGCTCGAAGGGAGATTTCAGAAAGCCAATTGTCAATCTTAAGCGAAAAAGATGTTGACCCGTTTAAAATTTAGGAAAACCATCTTGCAATAGGAGGGTCTGGATTTCTAATGGTTGATTCAGACCACCAAGAGGATGAAGAAATTAACATTTAATAGGACATTTCATTTTTTTCATCGAATGTGTATTACGTTTGTTGTAATCTTCTTCAGAAAAAAGGCTGGAAAACACTGGGAATAAATTTTCCTTCTTTCATAATATGAGCAAAAATTAATAAGTGCCCCTGCTGAATTAACTGCCCCTGCCGAATAAGCGCCTCCTTAAAAGTTTGTTTTCCAATAAGCGCCACGGGCGCTAATTTTGCAGAAAAGATGTGCTTTTGTTAAATTAAAAAGAATTATCAAATCCAAATAAGGAATAAGATAAATGACAAAATAGTGCTATATAATGATTCAAAAACAAGAGTGGATAGCCTTGATCTTCTTGTAGAAGTATCAGGCAACACAGATATTCATGAAAAAACTGAAATGCAATGAAAAACAGATCATGCTTACACAATTATCAACATGATCTGAACATTCTGGCTTCAAAACGATCCAAATACCCTGGCTTCAGACAAATCATAGCCAATGGACAAACACAATGACAATTTACTTGACTGCTTGTATGATCGCGGCCACTTATATGGATTCCTGGCATATCACAATTTCACTGTAAATATATAATTGCTGGAACAGAAGGAATTAATGGCTCTTTGTAATCGTCCATGATGGCACAAATAACTTGGTAGTTTCAGGGGCCGCTTTGAGAAGGGTGTCGCTTGACTGTGACACCACTGTATTCTTCCTTTTCTGTGGAGATTTATTGTCAAACATGCCTTTAAACATCCCTCTTTGAGATTTGCTTGCGAGTTGCAACCCAAATCGGTAGTATCATTATATCAGAAAAGTCCAAACTCAGAAAAAATGTAGATGCTAACGACATAGGATTTTGAAAGAAGGCTCAACCAAATCTGATAGGTTTCTTGTACAATAACAGAATATTTGGAAACTCATAACAGAAAAGATCCATTATCATAAGGAGATTTTTAATATGTTTACGTGTCAAATATTAGAAATAAAATGCCTTTTTATAGTAATATTTTCATATCAAATCTTGACTAGTAAAATTAAACATTATCGACCCACTTTTTCTTGGACCACCATTCCCAGGCACAAACGTCCATTCCCTGACTATGGCAAGACCAAAACCTTGGTTACCCCTTTCAGTGGCGGATTCAGGGGGGGGGGCAACTAGGGGCAGTTGCCCCTCGCTCGACGAGTTGAAGCAAGTCTGGTGCCCCTTTTTGGAAATTGTGCGCCCCTTTTGAAAAATGAGAATCAGGTGAAAAAGAACCATTTTTTAAATTCATACCTTAATCAGAAGATACTTTCCTTCACGTACAGTCAGTACCACCGATCACTTATAGTCACTTCGCTTAAAGTCACACTGCTGGCTACCGTCACAATAAATTTTTACCCTAACACGCAAAACTATTCAATCTAGTTTACAGTCATACCCCAGTTTTTACCCCAACTCTACAAGACCGATAGGTTAATTTGCTTCAAGGATTACCTCAAAGTTCTGTTGTTTATTAGGAAAATGGATATGAAATTGTTGTATACAGCGTACTCTGGTCATCAATTTTTGAAAATTTTTCAGCGCCTCAACTACCAACTGCCCCTCCTTCAAGTTTGCTCTGGATCCACCTCTAACCCCTTTTCTTTATATGCTTACTAACAAAGTAGCCTTTGCATCTCAAGTGAGTAACACTTTTGCACATCATTTACTAACCTACACTTTTTAGTTTCACAAGTTCAGTTCATTTAATTCCATTTCATACACTCTTATGCATAAAAATTGAAAGCAAAAGCAAGCTAAACAAAACAGAGTTAAAAATGCCTGAAATAAACTTAGCAAAACAAAACTACACAGATTCTATGATGTGTACATAAAAGAATGAATTCAAAGCAGGTTGAATTACGAGATTTATTCACCCTAACCATCTAAACTGCTAATATGGCCCAAAATCAAGCCATTGAATCTAGAAAATTAAAAAAAGTGCAAAACATTTCTATGACCAAATAGGTAATAAATTTTCAAATTATCATCATCGATGAAATTTTCTGAATTGGCCGCAAGCAGTAACTGTATCTAAGAAGTCATTAAGCACTGATTTATCCTTCACCTAATAAGAATTTTTATGCGCAATAAATTTTATAGCCACTTAGGTGGATCGTGTTGGCTCTTGCCGATCGCAAAGGTCGTTACCTTCCAAATAAAGTGATAACAGTAATTTGCTACAATATCTCACAATGTGGTGATAAGCTCTTTACCTTCCATTAATACGCAATCTCGAAAATCCTTTGAATTGAAGAAGGGTTATTAAGAGAGGAAAGCCATTAATGTTTCGTTTTTGTAGATCATTAACAACTTTTCTTAAAGTACCGTGGGAATGGGCCACGTAAGCAGGATATTGTTTTGCCATATACAATACTGTTTCACTTTACGTTTAATGCCTCTACAAGGGGTCGAAGTTTGTCTAAACCGAGAGGCGATTCACTCTTGCAAATAGCGTACGAGATTTTGCCTAAACAAAAGGATTTCTGGGGATTTTCAGATAAAACAATAGGATTTTCACAAAAGGTGTACGAGATTTTCTTAAAGTGATTTGCCGCTCGGTCTAAACGTCTTCTTAAGCACAGGGGATGACTAAGCGATACTAAATCTAAATTAAAGTTTCTATCTGAAGAAAGTATCTATGGACAGTGGCGTAGCTAGCCAAATAGCAGTGGTCATGCCCTCCCTTCAAATTTGAAAAAAATGGGTGTGGCTAAATTTTACCACGCCCAATTTTTTAGTTGATGAATTCCTTTTGAAAATTTCAATTTTAAGGCTTGTGACTTATAAAAAAAATTTTGATTAACTTTTGGAATGAGCTCTTTTTATTTCATAGCAATCATCTTGTTACACCATGAAATGACCTTTATCTTATAGCTGTGACACTGTTTTGGTTTGTTGGTAATTTATACAGACAGAGTTCTGACAATTTCCAAACAGAACTGTACAAAAGACATTAAAAAACATTAGTTTAGTATAGTAGATAAACTTAGCTTAAATAAAAAATTCTGTTGTTCTCCTAATTTCTTTCAATTTACAGGCTGAAATACATTTGTAAATTTTAGAGATAAGCTAAAATTTGTAAATGAAACAATAAATGACATGAAACTGAATGGGAGCTTTTTGGTCATCCTTTCCACAAATAGTCTTATTATCAATCTATTGAAGGTATTTTAAAGCCATCATGATTAACTAACAATCCCAATAGAACTGATAGATGAATAAAACAAATAGGCAAATGAAAATGCAATGTAAATATTGATATGAAATATATAGGAAGCTAAAATAATGGATACGCCTAGTTGCAAATGTTTTCTGCAAAGTTAGACTTAATAAAAAAATACCTTGCAAAATAAGTTTAGCTTAACAAAAACATTGATGTTTCCACATATACTTCTGGTAAATATCCACATAATTGGATTGTCTTTACTAAATCTAGCAAACAAGGCTTGTAAATGAAATAATTTGATCTGTAAATTTTCAAATATATCAAAAGTTGTAATAATGAAATAAAACTGTTTAAATAACAAGATCAGTAACATGCTTAACTTGTCTCTGGTCATTTTATTTCAACAGCTATAAGTAGTAAAAAGGTACTTTCAACTACAAGTGAAGTCAGTAGAGCTTTTAGTTTGACTTTAATTGTGTTTAAAACAGTGTTATTGCATGTGATAAAAACAAACAATTGAAGAATAACTTTAAGCAAGTTTTGGCATTCCCTATCCATTAACTACAATCTTATTGTCCTAATCATAATATGGTAACAATGCTTATAAAGGGCTTAACAGTTTCTAAATATGCTGCTAAATGTCTGGAAAGTTTAAGCTGTCAAATCTGTTGGTTTGGAAAATAACACTGCTATCTCCTCCATCCATCTCCAGTGAACAGCACCAAGATTTGGCATTCATTAAATCAAGAAGATTCTCTGCAAATGTTCAACTAGTAACAATTGATTACTGAAAAGGCTGAGAGTTTGGTTTGGTTGCATAAAATGATCCTGCTCGCTGATTTTATGTCCAAAAATGGACTTTTGTGCCTGTCACTTCTCCACATAGTGCAACACCATTAAGGCTGAAAACCCTGCCATTGGCATAGAATGTTCTGGAGATTAACATGAGTTGTGGCTGCTTGGAAATAAGCTATTCCTTGCATTTTACTTACAGAGAATTACCTCCCAGCTCGTGGATCTAGGCACAGCAGCGCCGCCATCGATGCCTCGCATTCGCGTTCACGAACTAACACAGGACGGTTCTGATGATTATAATGATGGTCATGCCCTCTCGAAATGGCATGACTAGCCTTTGTTCTCTCCTGCGTCACTCCTATTGTTAGGCATGACCAAACATAGGGAACCAGCGTTATGGGCATGACTAAAGCACAGGGTTTGGTCATGCTCATAGTTATGGGCATGACTAAATTGGAAACCCTCTGTTTTAGTCATGCCCGACAATAGAAGAGCGCCTTCGGAGGGCTCCATATTCTTGGGGGGAACCATAGGGCTCCAAAGGCGAATGGCCTGAGCTATTTCATTAGAAGAATAGGACTTTATTCTTACGAAAATATAATTTTTTGAAAAATGTTATCTCTGGAAATAGATGGTCATGCCCGGCATGACAAGCATGACCGCTAGCTACGCCACTGTCTATGGACAAAGCTATATCAAACTAGCTCGAATCAAGAGAATGGTTAAACTTATCCCAAAACATTGCGAGGGGCTATTAACCTCTTAGAAGCAGCTACCCCCTTCCAACTCCAAGATGACTCAGAAATTTTGTATCGATAATTAATGGAGTATTTTTATTAGCAAAACATAGATAATTGTGTTCAAATAGAGAACCCTGAAAATTCACTGTTCTTGTCCCCAGGGATGCAGTTGCCCCTTTGCCCAAGAAAACTTTAGCATTATCATTGTATTGCCTTTTGGCTCTGCGCTATGTTGCTCCTCCCTCGCAGCTCTTCCGCTGTCACGGCTCATCCCGCCAACAGAAAATCTCCATTTCCGATAGTGATCTTGTAAAATAATTGTTTGATAGCGAACAGCTTTCCTTAGCTGATCCTACTTCCACAATACAACCTCTTTGCTGTAATGAACAGTATCAAAACGAAACTTGACAAAATTAGTCATTTCTTGCATTTTCTAAAAGACAATCTTTTGATGGTGCAAAACTTGGCTTTCGCTTTGAAAATGGCCACTACCCAAAGATTGGAGAATAGAATAAAACAACATGTTCCTTCTAGTATTAGAAACAAAACATATCCCCAAAGAGAACAGCCACCTCGGTCTTGCAGATCTAAAAGTACATACAACTAAAACCTGCGATTCTGCTATTATATCGCGCAGCATTTACTGGAAAACCCAGATTTTGCAAAAAACTATAACGGCGACTTGTTTCGTATCATGTGTAAAGCCCGATCGTCATTCCATCTAGCAGTTTTGGAATCTATCTACATTAGCAGGAAAAAATCGCTATTGTGTAGACAAAAGGAGTTCATTTTCACCTCCATTGGCAACATTCTCAATAGGCAAGCTGCGCTGATTAGGTAACTTCAGCAGTCATGTACTCGTGTTTCTGATTGGCCTATTTCGATCCACAACTGGGTATATATATTTCCTAGCGTAGAGTTTTCGATCTATGTTCTGACGTTTTAAACTCTGAAGAGTGTCAGACGAAAAGCTTTAGTTTATTCAAATGTTTGTTTTTATCAAAGCCATTTTCCAAAAGCCTTTATACATTGTCTTGTTTTGCATACTTCTTAGCTCCGAATTTTTGCCCATGGGCAAATAAATATAATGTATGGCGTCATTCAAAATCCATCCCCTATGTTCCCCTGTGTAATAAGGTTTGACAATGAATGTTTTTGTGTGTTGTATTTCGAACGAATAACCGGCATGAAAATCACTGGAATCCACCTAATTGTGGCTACTAATCAAAGTTTGATTTCATGTCTTGGAATATTGCTTGATGAAGGTAACTGCTTGATGATGGAAACTGCTTGAGAAGCTTCTAGATCTTGGGCATTTGTAGAATAGATGCCATTTCTGTCATCTCCGCTAGACGGTAGAAAGCGGAAATTCTTTCTAAGCTGAATTTTACTTGACTATCCTATTTTGCAAAGCGAAGTCAATTTAATATTTTGAAAAGCACAGCGATTATTCAAAGACACATAGCAGTTCAACAAATACTGTTTCTTGTTGTTATTATGCAACTTGTTTTCTTAATGAATGTTGCCTATATCACTTTTATATCATAGTTCCGTTATGTTACAGAAATTAATGATTTAGACTAAGGGCCATCCCAGCCTAGATAAAAATAATTTTGACAAGAAAGATAAAGATGGAGATATAAAAACCCTTCCGAAAGTCCTCTCCCATAACACAATGTTGGTTGTAGAGTTAAATATCATAGTTATCTGACCTGATTCAATCGGATCACATCGAAGCATTCAACCTTGCATAAAGCAACATTGTTCATGGGGGGAGGGGGGATGTAGTATGAAATATCAAAAAAATTAGTCCAGTGTATCAGGACTTTTAGCGAGCATTGTACGTGAGAGTGTAGAAAATAACTTTAGTAGCATTTCAGCTGTTTAGCTGTCTCCAGGGACGACGGAAGCACTTCAATTGTGGAGAGATGCAAGTAGGAAGAGGCACCATGTCGCAGAAAAGGGACATTTTTTCAAAGAGTTAACCTCTTAGAAAATACATTTTAACAAAATAATTCCCAGTCCCGACGCCCTTGCGTGTATCTAAACATTTAGTTATATGAGTACATAGTTATGCTGTCGAAAGAAGTAACTGTTTAAAAAATGCGAAAGTATCGGTGAAGTTTCATTTCCTGATTTGGATCTTTGCTTGGGCATGTTTTTGTTGAGGTATGCACTTTGCAGTTCCGTATGCTAATTCGGTATATTTTAGTCCATACTGTCATGGTTTCGATTCGATGCTTGTTTTTTATTGCTGCTTTAGCAAAAACACTGCTGCTACCGCAAACTATATTATTTGTTGGGGGTAATCTATATTGCACATCTATAACAAGAAATATATTATTTGTTAGGGTAATATATGGTGCGCGTGATTTCTCAAGGAAGCCAAAAGACTTTTGTTACGCAACTTTGTGCATTTTCGTGATGGCCTTTAAAAATACACCCACTAGGACTTCACTGTTACTGCTTGCTGTTTACTACTTACTATTTTGAAAAATAGAATTAGGTGTAATCTTGAAAATGTTAATTCCAAGACTTAATTTACCGGCCCTCGCATATGTTTGGACTGTATTAAACCAACATTAAAAACAAGAGAATACCCTCCAAGAAGGATCACAGGAGGTTGTCGCCTTTTCTTATTTTCGGTTTAATGTACTTGTGATACCACCGTACCATTTATTAAATTTATACCTAATTAGAAGATACTTTCCTTCACGTACAGTCAATACCACCGATCATTTACACTCACTCCGCTTAAAGTCACACTGCTGGCTACCGTCACAATAAATTTTTACCTCAACACGCAAAACTATTCAATCTAGTTTACAGTCATACCCCAGTTTCTACCCCAACTTTACAGCCATACCCCAGTTCCTGCCCCAACTTCACAGCCATACCCACTTGCTGCTCCAATTTTACAGCCATATCCCACATGCTGCCCCAACTTTACAGTCAAACCCCAGTTTCTACCCCAACTCTACAGCCATACCCCAGTTCCTGCCCAAACTTCACAGCCATACCCCACATGCTGCCTCAACTTTACAGCCATACCCCCACTTGCTGCTCTAACTTTTTAGCCATACTCAAGTTCCTGCCCCAACTTCACAGCCTTACCCCACTTGCTGCCCCAACTTTACAGCCATGCCCCACTTACTGACGCTGCTAATAATACCAAAAACACCAAGTAATCAGCAGCTTTGTGGTTCATATGAGTTCAATGGTGAAATGGCTTGCAAGTTGCAACGTAGGTAATACAAAGCACAGATTCCATAGCTATATGGAATAGAGCCCTTAAGTGTGCCATATTTTGAAATGAATATGTAGCTATGTATGGGACTTTAAGCCGAGGAATTGTCAAAGTTGTTCCTACAAATCGCGTGTTACATTTATGTGCTTCAATGGATTCGCTATTGTAATTTAACGACTATTAATATTGGTGCAGTGATTAGTGATGCTAACCTATTTTACATCAACATTGCATTTACATCAACACTGTTTTTTGTCCCAATTTAACCATTGGGTATAAATGATGAATAAAATCCGCGAGGTTGTGACAGACCCTCCACATTGAACCCAAGACGGTTTGCGTCAAATCTAGAGGCTGTTTGAAATTTCGAATCTGAAACTCGATTCGTGAAACTCGATTCGATAAGCTAGAGGTAGAGCAGTGCTAAATTTTCGTGATTAAAAAGGGGGCCCCAACCTCCTGTAGGCCCTGTTGCTTGATCACGACCTCAACCACATTAGAGTACTGTTAATTTGGGGGTGTGGTTAATTAAGCTGTAGTAAGACTACGTAAACGGCTTACTAATATTTGTTCATTTAACAAATTGATGTGTGCTGAAAGAACCAAAATGGCTATTTCTGCAACCACCTGTAATTTGGAAATCACTGAAAGAGCTTGAATTGAGTTAGTGATTTTTCAAGTAGAACTGTTGAGAATTTTCGATATGGTCTCGCTGGACGTCTCCCTTTATAACTTCTAACTTCTGCCCAGCGAATCATAAAAATCATTCTCACCTTTCCCGGCAAATGACTCCAGAACGTGCGGTTGCCAGCCACGCTTTCTTACAATCTCGTAATAAAACATCTCAATTTCTGTTTACAATTTGTGGACAATTGCTATGACTCCAAGCATTAGACTGTCGTTGAGAAAGAAATTTTTACAAGGGACATTACATTGTTGCTACAGAAAATGGCTCATTTTAGCATTGAATGAATGAGCCATTTGTAGCAGTAAGCTCACCCTTGGTAAAAAAACTCTATAGCTGTAGAGCCACATTTATCAAGATCTATAACGTAATGCCTGAAAGTTTTTTCTGATTGCTAAATACTAACTTGCGTTGTCAAAGAAACGATTTTTATTCCTCTATGAAAGTGTTGGTTTCATATGAGGGAAATAGGAAATAGCATGCAGCATTTTAGTTTCATGTGTCTGTCAAGAAGTACATGTCATTTCTTGAATTGTCAATGCTGACTTAGCAAAATGCTTTTGAACATGTTCCCGAACGAGGAAATCCATGACTGGGAAATAGTTTCCCAATTAGGTAATGCAATATGTTTTTTATATGTTATCATGGTGACTGAAAACGTCCTTATTGACTTTGTCGTCGCAAATGCAGCTGATATAGATAATTAAGGGAAAGAAGTTAAAAATATAAACTTGGTACTTCTACTTTTGAGTCGGGGGTTGCGTTAACATCTACACTATCCGTAACGTTGAATCCATGAAATAATTGTGACCTATGCAAATTGAAAAGGTTTATCAGCCAGATCATATAAAACACATTGGGTTTGTTCATAAAATTCAAAGGAGACTGTATGTTGCTCCAAGACTAATTTAAGAACGGGGCGTGGCAGTTCTTACACCTCCACAGAACTCTGTGTCAAGGTTGGTTTTCCGGGCTGTCCGAAACATGAAAGTGTAAAGTCCACAGGAAAAGGGCCCGGAATACTCCCCCTTCGCTGTCTGGCTTAAAACTCTACACTATCCACGTGTATAAACCGACGTGCACTGTTTCAAACTGGTACAAATTTTTGTGGTAATCAAAAAGGCATAATTTACAATTGATGATACAGAAAGAATTCATTTTAACCGTTGCGGACAGCAATAGTCTCTGTTCGCCCAACAAATGTGTATTCTTTGATGGTCGTTACAGATCAGATCAGATCAGATCTTGGCCCCCGCAGGTTGATTTCTATTGCAATTGGTCTATGTGTTAATCTCTTCCCCCATGACTACAGTTTGTTTATTTCTTGCTGTTTGCGAAACAGATTACTGTTTGTTCCAGTCAAATTACGTAATGCCTTTTTTAATGCCTGATGTTTTTCATTCACATTAACCAATTAAAACAGAATTGTACTTCAGTAAAAGCTCTATTGTTTCATGCATATGATAATTAAGTTATTGTTTCGCTGATCATTATATAAGGCGACTGCTTGAATTTGCTAGGCACAGAGGACTCGACCAACTTAGAGAGTGAGTGATCAACTATTCAACAATAGACTTTTCAAAGCTTTCAAAATTACAGAAGTAATACTAGAACCATGCATTTTGGAAACAAGGTAAGCTGCTTTACCTACAGTCTTTTTTTGTTATAGCTCTAACTATTATTCGAACTTTGCTTTCAACTATGAAAATCATTTACTTTTTTATAAGAATACTTTACATTTTGTCGTCGAGCATGAATATGTTTTCAAAGTATTCTATATTCCAAGTCTGAAATGGTTTCAGGGGAACATCGGCCACTCTCAATAAGAAACCAGGCTTTTTGATAAAAAAGGGGCAATTTAGCGATGCTCTGTTATGAGCATCGCAAAACAGGTAACTGCTGAAAAATGATGCATAAGCGAGTCCAGGCTGAACAATTTCCTTTGGATGATTCTTAAAATTGGATGATTCTGAGTATCGATCTAATAGATAAAGAGGGTAGTTCGGCAGTCATACTAAAATTTGCATCTCTATTTTGAAGTTAACGTGTTTTCTTACTTAAATAAACGTGTGACATAAGGAGCGTTTTTCTGAATAATGATTCCTTTATCGACAATTCACCTCTTTTTGATCAAGTGTCTTTTAATAATAAAGACCCGTAGACGTGTTTCTAAATGCAATACATCAGATGAGCTTCAGCTTCAATTCTATCCGTCGTATTGACAAAACCCCAGTGACAAAAAGCGACCGAATTAAAGATCTACTCAAATAAAAGATACATAGAATTTAACCCACTTCGCGTAAAAGACAATGTGTTTTTCAATTAGTTATGCAATTTTCTTTTCCCTATAAAATGTTGTTAAGTCCATTGATGACAATGTTGAGGCATGTTTTCAATTGTCGGTTTCTTACAATTAGAGAGCGTGTTTGGGCGAATAAAGAAATTCTCGCAAGGCAACCGGTTCTATTCACAAAACTAAGGAAACATTAGTCGACTTTTTTGATTTTTTTGTCAAACTGTCATCATCTACTATGATTCATGACCTCGCTAAATGCAAGTTGAACGGCACGTTTGTGGGCAGTGTGGCTGTGAATAGTTCATTCCTTAGTCAATTTGTAAGAAACATGATACAAGTTTCAGTACGTATCACACTCTTTTTAAAAGAACAATTTAATAAGAACATGAGCCATAAAAGTGGTCAAAGGTTAAAAATAAATTAAAAACAATCTGAGGCTTAGCTACTGTAAAAATGTAATTTTAATTAACATTTCATCTAAAAATACGAGGACCTTTCGCAACCTGGGGTGCTTTTTCGGTGAATTTTAAAACTCGTCGACAAATAAATGTTTTACTATTGTTTCTTTGACTTCGACCTGGGTTTCTTCTGTCAACGTGGTATATAATTGGTATGTGCAGGCCCTTGAAAGAAATAGGCAACAGACGTCGTAAGATATGTTCCGAAAATGACGTACCGAAAAGCACGCATATTAGGTTTAAGGTTGGAAATCTTTTTTTTTTTTATATCACTTAAAAACTCTAAATAATACATAGTACAACTACTGTGCCTATCCTGGTGGGAATAGACACTGGGTCATCGGAGTTCCCTCCAAAGACGGGCACTTACAATTTGAATTTAATATTTAAAGAAAGAAAAGCCAACAAAACAAAGAAAACAAATGAAGAAAGTTGGAAATCTATTCATCGGACAAGTCATACAGGTTCAAAAATCAAAGGAAGGGGGCCCGTGGAGCGAGACCTGGAAATTTATTCACTTATATTTTGCCCTGCATTTTGCCTTAAGACAAATCAGAGTAGTTAAAACTGTAATTCCTTGCTACTGTTTTGTTTTTATCCATTCAAACATTTAAGCTTCAGGGAACTCGGGTCGGCCATGTCGTAGCGATGTCTTCTTTTTTGGAGCTTCTTTAAAACTTCTTCTTTACCTATCCACAGAGTCCAGAAAAGTTGTTAACCTTCCTCCAGACAAAAACTTCCCAGAAGGCAAACTTTTCTCACAAAACAATAGAAAATGGACATGGCTTTGGTGTGTCATAGGAGCTTCTATTGTTTTTCATGGACCTTCCTCCGGTCAATGGCCGTGCGATCCTGACTCTGCCCATCCACCTCCTTACCATGCATCAACTTAAAACTGACATCCAGCAGCACAACTGCCATTTTCTTTTGCAAAAACAACCACTTTCTGCTGGAAACTCTTTTTTAATAGTAGCAATGCAGTTTGGAAGAATACGATTCGCACATAGGCCGCAACACCCAAATAAGGGGAAAAATAAGAAAAGCACGGTTTATACGTGGCTTTTACAGTACTGTATCGCCAAGTAAGGCTGACAAAAAGTGGAAACCAGGTTCTATTTCTATTATCTAAAACATGCTCAACCCGTTCCGAGGAGGTTGTGCTGATTCATTTTGAATAGGCTGCGTTCCTACCGCCCAAAAGAGGTCCGTTCTTTATGAGTTTAACGTACCAGTGTGATTCTGGCTACGTAAGGCACACAACCAACAAGTTGGGGGAAAGAATATAACTAAAATGTAAAGCATAACATATAAAAAAAGAACAATTCAACCTGAATGAAAAGCTTCCTCAGACTTTCTGATTTAAAACAACAACCAAAATTTGTGTTTCTGTTATCAGGTAGCAATTTCTAGAATATCAAAATTGTGCCAAAACTGTCATGGCGATACGCTTTGGGTAATTGATAGAGCCCGGTCGTTCTTCCATCTTGCTGTTTTAGAGCCATCTACATAGAATTGAAAAAGAGCCAGAGGTGTAGTGCTAGGAGTACCCAGAGGGGCTGAGCCCCCTTTGTTAATGACAAAACATAACCAATTTCTACTTTTGCTTTTATATTCAGCAAAATTATGTTCAAGAGCCCCCTTGTTATTTTAATAGCACTACACCACGGAAAAAAGCCGCTATTGTGTAGACAGAAGGAGCTTCTTTTCTTTTGGACTCGCTACGACATGGCCATTTGGTCAACCTCAACAGTCATGTGCTCGTGTTTCTAATTGGCCTATTTCGATCCACAACTGGGTATATATATTTCCTAGCGTAGAGTTTTCGGTCTATGTTCAGACGTTTTAAACTCTGAAGAGTGTCAGACGAAAAGCTTTAGTTTACTAAATGTTTGCTTTTTTCAAAGCCATTTACATGGCCATTTGTTACATTTTCAAAAGGTTTTTTCCCCTGATAAGATTTGGGCATCACTCTGCATTTCAATGCATATCTCCCTTATCATTCTTATTGTATGAATCGCTTTTTTGGTGCCTTTATCGGCTGCAAGCTGCTCTTCCTTAACTACCCCTCGGACGATACTTCCTAAACGTATAATTTCATGAGACTCGTTGGATTAATGGATCTGCAAAGTTCATATTTTGTTGTGCCAAGCTTTTTAAGTTGGGAAATAAGAATACTGAGCATGTTAAATACTTCTAGCGAACGATTTTTAATGATTTTTACTGTTTGTTCATCATTGGTTTCCTCGACGCTTTTGACACTAAGGCAGCCAAAAGCAGGGATATTTTAGCATTATAGCCAGCGTTTCTTTAAGGTTTGTGATTTAACTGCTTATATTTTTAGGCACTACTTGCTATTTTGATTGCCATCGGTGTAGCTGAAGCAATAGATGCAGCTTGCCAAGCTCAATCGACTTCAGCCCTCAAGAAGATGCTGCTTTCCGCAGGAGGGACACTGAACCCACAAATGGTAGCCGTAGATGAAGCGGGTGCAAGACTCTTTAAATCACACTTCAGTACTAAAGATATCAATGTTCAGCGAGTAAGAACTTTAAGGAAAAGAAAGAGGGACGGAAAAAGGGATTTTGAAGAAGATGTTATCATGGAAGATGAAGATATTGAAGAAGACGATAATGATGACAGGAAAAAACGTCGTAAGCGAAGGTAAGGCCCTGTAACACCCGTGTGACAGACTTTACTTGAAGGTCCGGCTATAGCCGACCTGCACCATGAGAAATGTGCAATGATAAATTAGCAATCTCTAACATCATCATCAAAAATGATATTACAAAAACGAAGCTAAGAAGGAGACGAACACATGATTTGAAAGCAAAGCAGGCGAAATTAAAGAAATCGAGTATTGCAGAGTAAAGCTACAAAGAGAAAAGTTTTTCAGTTGTTTTCCAGCTTCTGATGTCCCTTTTCCTTTTACACACAGCCTCATTTACCTACCAGCCTCAGTTTCATTTTTTTCAATACGTTGATAAATATTTGAGTTTCCGTAAACATTTTGCAACATATTGAGAATAAAGTCATGGAATTTCTGTAAAATAAAGGAATGATTTGCTCAAAAAAGCTATCGATTACTTTCTCATAAGTCATCTCAAGGTGTAGAGACACGATCCTTCGTCCCAAATAAACCTAGATATACCCGCTGAAGCCCCTCCCCGCCCCAATCAGGCAAAATGTTTGGGACGTCAGGCCGATTCGGGGCAATTTTATCGCAATTGAGCAATAAAATTCGGGCAAGACCCATGCTAAGCACCCTTTAACGTTTAGGTTGTGCTACGCCCATAGGGATTTGTGATTTAAAATCATTGTTTTGTGATGCTCAAATTTCTTTCGTCATGAAGATAAGAAGTAGTGTCTTCAGAGTCCAGCAAAGTTATTGAACTTCCTCCAGACAAAAACGTCCCAGAAGGCAAACCTTCCTCACAAAACAATGGAAAGTGGGCGTAGCTTTGGTGTGTCGTAGGAGCTCTATTGTTTTTCGTGGGCCTTTCTCCGGTCGTGTTTTGGATTTTTGTAGGTATGAGCAACCAAAGTCTGAAGTATATCATAAAAAATCTTGATGATGATTTATGTCGTTCATTTCTGTCACCCACTTTTTTCCTAATTTTAACTAAATACATATTTTTCATCCTAGAAGCACAACTCTCGGCAGTTGCTATGGCCCTGGAGTACCTTTGAATAACATGTACTTGCTCTGTCACACCTGCGATTCAACAACTGTGTTGTCATCTGACTACTTCCCTCGATACGTTAATGAAGTCATTTGCAACCCCAACAAAACTCCGTCCTGCTTCCACGGACAAGGTCAATGTACATCTAACAGCGTCCCCATTGTATTCCTAAAGAAGACCGGCAATTGCGTGACAAGTGGATCAGGAATTCTACTGGAAGAGTGGATGGCAGAAACCATCAACATCCGCACTTGTTGCGAATGTAGGCTGTACCCGGGATCGTTTCTCATCCCCTTCACTATCTGAGCCAGTTGACCAGACCTCCCAATTTTCGTTTAAAGGATTAAATAATGTGCATTTATCAAATAGACTTATAAAGAAACAGACATATAGAGGACTCCAATTTGCATTCGTATTCACATAATCTTAGATCAATAAAACACAATGCTTATTCTGAGTGCGTATCTATCTAATATTCAAGACAAGGCTTAGAGCCAAAGTGGCAGGAACTGTGATATCAATTTTAGATAAAACTGCAATTGATAACTTGAAGTTGGTTTTTCTTCCTTCCATCTTTATCTTCTTATTACTGTTATAGATTATAAACAAACTACAGCAAAGTTTATATTTTATACGGCAACACATGAACAAACTTCAGTATTTTGATTTAATACTATTTTATATGTAAGGATTCGGCTAATAATTCTTTTAGAAAATTAACTGCCCTCAGTTAACCTTCTTAGATACAACAATTTGTGCTGATTGCTGAGCAAGGAGACTAAAATGGGTGAGCCGGGTATGCTACTGGATGGCATTTCCAATCTTTATGAGAGTAGTGCCTTTGCAAAGTGAGGTCGACTTTGAAGGCCCTCTTGGCAATATTCCACAGCGTCAAAAACAAAATTCATATACTCCAAGCATTTGGAAATTTAAATTTTCAGATGCTTGCTTTCATTGCATTTGATTATAATTGCAATTGTATGCTATTTCGCTTTATTACCGTATTTCAATCACTAAATCCTTATCTTCTATAAATGACACCACTACGAAACGTCTTGGCAGGGATAGTTCATGATGACATGAAGACTTGTAATTTTGATTATCACAATTTACTAGAAATGGATACTTCGGTTCTTTCGTTGTTATCTTAATGCTGTCGGTTATCTCTGGTTTTAAAACACAAAAATAAAAAGCTTTTTCTTAAATTTTCTGTCGACCTAACGAAATATCAAAAATACAATTGCCATATCAATCAAAATAGCTTTAAATTATAGAAAACATTTAATCGTTTAAACAATGGTCATGCTTTTCTTTCGTGTGAAACTAACTTGCTGGCCTATCTGTTCAATGTTTCCGTTCCCGAGTAGCATCTCGAATGAATTTGTTCAGTTTTTAGTAAGCCTTCGTCTATTTAACCCTTCCCTCTATATATGCCCTCTTTTTATAAACATCCTAATTCATACCTATAATTCCCCTAATCCAATGAACGGCCAAAATGGTTACACATTTCTTAATGAGAGAGAACCTTGGGTCAGCACTAAGTTCCAAAGTTCCTTAATTTGGCATCAAATTTTTTTGCGTTTTACTGCTAAAAGTTTCTTAGATGGTTTCTTATTTTCGGGACCTAAAACACAGAACCAAAGTTGCCTTGTTGTTTTGAAATTGAATATCTTTGGAAAAACATCAACGATGATTGTCATAAAAATCCTATGCAGATCAAAACCCAAGTATGCTATATTTTCCAAAGAAGTATCAACAAAAAAAAGACCAGTAAAAACTATGGTCAAAGAGGTTGTTTAGTCGATGAAAGAAGTAAAATCTGTAGTAAAATAATCTTTCCTCCATCCAGCAGCGGATTCAGGGACTGCAGGGCCTGGGGCCAAACACATCTGCGGGGCCCTTGTTCTTTACAATTTCTTCTTTTTTTCTTAGGTGCGCGGCCCCTTATTTACTACCAGAAGCGCGGGGCCTAGGGAAATATGTCCCTGGGCCCCCTTAAAGCCGCCACTAACGCCATCCATACCATTTAGAGCTATAAAGTCTTCGGAGCAGTCTCTAAATTTATCCCGATACTCATCAGTAATTTTCTTTTAGAAATGGAAATTTTGCAGTTTCTTAATTTAGTACTAAAGTTTCTTAAATTTGTGGCCATCCTAGATTCTGTGCTAGTGTCTTATAACCAAAAGACGTGTATTAGATGAAATTAAGCACGTTTTCGATTGCCCCCTCCCCCCCTTCACAATGCCAATAAATCGGCAATTGCTGAGACCCCTTACCCCGGTTCTAAAGAGGGCTTGGGAAGTCTCCTGCGCATTGACAAAGCAGCAATCATTTTGTAACTTCCCGGCGCCATGTGTTCATTGCAACGAATGATGCAGTGATGCAGGGAGTTAACTTGAAGAAGCCGTCTGCCAAATTACTCATGGATTTTAACATGGCTAGACATGTGTGAATTGCATCTAGGTTTCAGCTGAAAGTCCTGACGGCCTATTCCATCAGATTTGCAATTTTCATGGATTATGTGCGACGTATTATGCTAGTCGCGTTGAATCACTACAGAGCAGAGCACTTGCTCATCTGCTCATGAAGAACAACTTTGTAGCCAAAACTCAATCAGTTTGCATGTCAAAATGCTGCCTGTTGTGGATCGAAAATTAAGGATGGAGGCATTAACGAAAAATTTACGATATGAGTATCCTAAGAATTTTGCACGAAAGGTCCTAGTCGACCTGGTGTTGGCCGACCACACTTACGCTAGGCCATCGTCGTTAGACCCCGAGTTCAACAGGATTCACTCAACATCTTTGTTATTTACAAAGTCACAACCAGATACAAAAGATGACGAATCCGTCGAAGAAGAGATAGATATCGAGAGAACTGAAGAAACGGCAGATATTAAAGTGAAATATGATGGGAATAATGGGAAAAGGCAAATGACCGAAATGGAAGAGTGTTTTAAGGCCATCAACTGTGATGAACATTGGCAAGAGGAAGATCAATTTTTAAGGTACACACTCCGTGCTGAAAAATAGATCGTCAAAACCGTCAGGGGAAACTTTGTTCTAATTTCCTTTTAATTTGGATAAATTAAACAGGTCACCTTTTTATAGAAAACAATTAAAAACTGGCTTGCTAACCTTTATCAACGAATTATAAAAACTAATCTATTAATCAAAGTTATTCGTGAATAATGAAACAAATAGCTTAGTATCAGACTCTAGTTTATTGTTTTATTTACCTTCCACAGATTTTTTCCTTGTTTCATAATTAGATACCTACAGTCTTCTTAAGAAAGCTGTTTGGGAAATAAACATTTCTTTTAAGATAAGATCTCCCTCAAAACAAACTCAATGTGGGCTCTGTTGAGAAAAACTAACTTATAGATGTGTCCTACAGCGTAAAAGCTCAAAAAATCACATTTATTTGAATTGCATCATTTAAAATGGTGGAGGGACCATTGATAATTAGCATACAAGCGTGTAAACAACATGGGTTGCAGGGGTGTGTCACCCCCAACTTATGAAATTCTTTGAACTAGTCAGAAGTTTGAGAATAATCAGATAATAGTAATGCTTATTCAGGTCAGAGAATAGCAAAACATACACTAATCCTGATAATTTTCTCAATTCAGAAAGGCAATGACCCAACCCTATAAGGTTTAGGTTATGTAAGTAAAGGCTTACTACATTTTAAGCAAAAATTGGTTTATTGTCAGTCAGAAATTTCATACCCTTCCCCCTCCCCCAGTTTCACTCAGTGTAACTCAGTTAATGTCCTTTCTTGTATAAAATTTACTCTAACCTTCTAAGGTTTTTCAGATACATTGTTTGTTTATACAGTGCCATTCAGGACAGCTAGGAGGATAGGCAAAATTGTATTCAAAATCTAGGAACATATTCTTGTAAAAGTTAAGAAAAAACAACTTTTCTTGGTGTGCTTTTGCTTTTCATGAAACAATTATTCATGCTACACAATCAGTATATAAAAAAAATTTCAAAATCAACCAAGTATCACCTAATTTGGTCTTTTGGTCTAATTGAAAAATTTTTCTAAGGCAAATTTGGAAAAAAATGTGACCTAACCCTACCTAATGTATTTTTATTGAAATTTGGAACAAATATGGTATCGCTCAGTTAGATTTTCCTTGAGCTTTTTTGTAGCAATATTTTGATTTTTATTAAACTTTCAAGCAGTATTTGGATGAGACCATCTGCTCATTCCTTAGAACCACTTAACTAACTCTAGTAAATGCTCCGCTACCTCAAATTCAAAAGAGGTTCTAACAGAAACTGCTAATTGCTCAACACTGGCACAGTCAGCAGTGTTATATCCATCATATTTCTGTGTTTGAGTCTCACAGCACTTCTTTTGTATACAACAGGTCAGGATGGACAAGAGATCAGACCAGACTGTTTGATCAAGCCTACAAAGTTTTATCAACATATCGTCTGGCTAGATGTTGTTATGAAGGGGTATGTTTTGCATAGAATAATTTTCATATGTAAAATTTGCATCCATCATTGACTTTATAATTTTTTTGTTAAGTGCCGTCTAACTAGCCTCAAAATTTTTGCCACTTTAAAGCCTGGAAAAGAGGGAGATAAATATCATCAGCTGAAATTGAAGGGCTTTCTACCAAGATTGATTATACAAGGGTTTTCCAGCATATATCAATCTGTTCAATCATGTATGGTTTTTTAAATGTGTGCTAATTTAATTTTTTTTGATGAGGAACTTGAAAATCTGGTTCTGAATTATTGACACACTATTCATGAATAGAGGTGTGCATTTATTTGAAAGTGTGCACTTTTAGAAAGGAAAGTTTACCTGATAGGACTTTTTCTAGTTTCAAAATACTCAATTGCCACCTTTACTTAACTCTGAAAAATATACAATAGGAATAAACCCTGAAGCAACAAAATTGCCCCGGTATTGATTTTCAAATACCCGAGAAGTATTCAGGTCAAACATCAGTGCTGTAATTCAAAGAAATTTCTATCATTGCCCGATGGCTTTGCAAAAGTATATAGTAACAATTTTTTTGCTTCCTTGTCCACAACTGAAACTGTATATATTTGAGATTCCAGTTAATCATAAATTAATCTTCTTTAATGAAAAGATTGATGTTTTGAATATTTCCTTATTGATTCCATAATTCAATATGTTGCAAAATCTTTCCCTCTGTTCTTTATATATTATTTTAAAATTTGATAAAATGCTGTCCAGACAGTGCTTTTAGATTGCATCATTGTTAAAGTGTCTTGTTCTTATAAATTAGACAAAATGAGTTTGGGATTTTGATTTTTCTGCAAACAGACTGTATGCATGCAATTGGCTCTGAGTAGACCTATAGGGATATTTCAAAAGGCTAAATAAAGTAACGGAAGGATTTTGATGGATGTTTAGTGCCATAGATAGATGCTATAGATAAGGTTTAATTGTCTGTTACCAGGTGTTTTCTTCTTTCGCAAATGTTAGGAAGCCCAGTAAGTCTGAATAACATGTTTTGACAATAGGTTGAATTGTCTGTTGCCAGGTGTTTGCTCTTTTTTGCAAATGTTAGAAAACCCAGTAAGTCTGAATAGCATGTTTTGTCAAAAGGATCTTTCTTTTACAACCAAACAGAATAATTTCAGCAAAAGGTCTCACATGAATTGTGAAAGTTCTGCAAATTAGGGCAGTTTAACATCTTTTAGAAAGAGTGAGACCAACAAAACCATAGTTTGAACAACAACAAGACCAATAAGTCCTGCAAGACCACAGTTTAACAACCCCTTCAATGAGATGCCTTAGTTGCTTTTTTTCAGGCTAAAGTAGTCGTTAGATATTTTTAAAATTGACTTTTTACAGAAGTCAAACCAGGATGACGTATGGAAAAAAGTTTCCTGCAGGTTGTATATATCCACAAGACAAAGAGCTATCAAAAATTGCAAAGCATTGTAGAAATTGCCATATTCCAAAAGAAGTTTATTGAATGCTAATTTTGAAAGATTTTGTTCTAGCGTATCACTCATAATGCTTAGAATATACATTCATCATATCTGTAGTTGATGAAATTGAGCAATTGTTTATAAAAATTTGCTTAACTTCATTCGTTACAGCATCAAAATGAACAAATTCTAAGAAGTCTTGCTCTTGAAAAGACTGCCAAAAGGTTCAGGAACTTAGCTGGTGCAGCTGCTTGGGTAATTTTGACTTTTATACCATTTTCCATACTTGAAGTTTAGAATAGACAAGCATCAGACTGCTAGATAGAAATTGGTAAGATAAATGCTCTTTGTCCATATGCTTTTAACTGAATATAAAATGTTACATATTGACCTTCTGATATTGCAATATTCTTAATTTTTATGTAGTTTGACATGTTAACAGGGGGCTTTTTCTTGTATTTTTGTGTTTATTTGCATATAGGTTAATTCTTCTTAAAGAGATTTTGGAGCCTAAGTTAGATAATGTAAATGAATGCATTTTCGTAGATTTTTTTCACAAGTAACTGAGCCTATGACAATGAAATTTGAATAAAGCAATTATAGCAGTGTAGAAACAATAAGGATATGGGAAATTCTGTTCAAATTTGAAAGAGACCCACCTTTCGGATTCATCAGCTTTATTTCAAACCTCTGACCTTTATGTTTTTAGGACTCAAAGTTGATGCCTTGGCTTCATACAACATTGGTGGATGGAATGAATTCTTGTCTATTTATTTGTTATTTGGAGCTTCTGCAAACACTAAAAGCAAAGGTTAGCTGACAATAACTATTTGTACTGACAGACAATGTGAGCGAGTGATATGACCAGGGCAGGGTTTTACCCACAACAAGTGACTATGTATGTTGGTTGTTTTACCAACTGATATGGCAGGTCAAATTTTCAATTCCATGCCCAAAGCTGTGCCACTCAAACACAATTCTCCCTCTTTACCAAGTTTGCAGGGCTACCATTGCTATAAAAGCCATCAAGGCAACCACAACTGTGTAGGGTTGAGAGGGATGAATGAAAGGAGGAGTGAATTAAGGAAAATATGCTGAAAGAAATTTGAGAGTGGCATGAATGGATCTTTGACTCCCAGTGTCTCTTTCTCTATTAACTGAGTTGTCACTAACGAGTGTGCAAGCTATAATGCATTTCATTTAGCAATTTTTGTGCCTTTTGAATATTTGATTTTAACATTTTTAAGGAACTTTTTGAGTGTGTCTATATTTGATTTTAACATTTTGAAGGAACCAAGAGGCCCTTTGTTATTACAATCAGTAAAAAAGGTTGAGGTTTTATTGGTTTTCTTAGCTTTTTCTAGGCAGTAAAAATTGTTTTGTGATTTCAAAGTAAAGCTATGAACAAATTAATTTATTTTCAATTTTTACAATGTATATATCCTGTCATTGCAGATTCCATTGCTAGTTGAGAAGATGATTCAACACTCCACCCCTGCAGACAACCGTTTATTTTATTTGAATTCTCCCAATATTGTCAGCTGTCTTAACAAAGTTTGGGACCCAACACCCAACTTGAAACCAAGCAAGGTCAAGGTATGGTTTTGTTTACCCTAATCACAAAAAGTTTCTAATTAGTTCCCATTGATAATTTTCAGACATTAGTAAAATAGCCTTAATTTAACTTCTTTACCAGTGAGTTATGTATTTGCATATACAAAGTAAAATTTATTTGAAAAGCTAACTACAGTTATTTCTATAAGTTTTTATTTTTTGTCACTTCCATGTATTTTTCACAGTAAATAAATATCTTCTGAAAACTTTTTACAAAATAAACCATCTTGGAGTACTGATACTTATTATCAAATGGTGATACACATATAGCACATCCCAAACTCTTATTAGCTGAGAAGAAAGCGTTGTACTTAAGCCCAATTTTAATGAGTTTTCAGATTGATTTAAGCATGTTTTGTGTCAAACTAGCGTTAAATCCTGAAGCAAATCAACAGAGTCTACTAGCACTTGAGAGAATTTTGAGTACTTAGCTACAAAGCCATTACTCAGTTTTATGCCTTTTATTGTTGGTTGAGAACATAAAGCAAGCTGAAAGATTTTGCCTCAGGATGTTTGCCATTCTCTTTCATGTTTCTTTACCAGGCCACCAGTTTTGAAAATTATATATGGCAGTCAGTTCCCTTGTTGAGTGTCTTTGAAATATGCCTCTGCAAGTAACTACTGTTAAGTTTTTCAGTCTGTCATTCAGTTTACCTGAAAACTTTTGTAAAAAGATTCATGAAGCTCTTTTTGTGTCTTACAGGAAAGCAATGCTCCAATTCCTCAAGACTCAAAATTAGACAACAAACCTCTGCTAGTTGTGTTGCCAAGAGGACCGATGGTGAAATTATCACATTCTAAAAGGTCAAAGTTTTGGCAGAGTCAGCTTGGTACTGTTGGGAGAGTTTTGCAGTTGAATATTCTAGATGTTGAGAAGCCTGAAGATTTTGCTGCTTCGTCTTTTTTGGAAAATTTAATTGGCCTGGCCAGGTCAAAAATATCATTGGTATGTTTAAGAAAATTATTTATGTTATTTAATTTAGGAATTGACATAAAGAATGTTATATGTTGAATTATTCGAATACTATTTCAGGATTGTTTTAATGACAATTTAAGAAAGCAAAGCTCAAATTTTTTCACTTCTAGTTCAAGTCAAAATTCCCAGGAAGACCTGTTATACTAATTGGATGGTCCATTGGAGCTTTGCTTTCATGTCATGTAAGTATACGATACTCATATTCTTTTAAATGACGTTTTTGCTGGTGATCTCTAGAAATTACTCAAGTCATAGTCTCGAACTTTTGGCAACCCTGGGGATGATTTTTGAGGTAATCATTGTAAGAAATAGCAAAGCAGTTTTCTTCGCTGTGTCCGTCTGGTGGCACCCATAATTTTAAAGGGAGAAGTATGTCGCATCATTCATTGGTTTACTGAGACAAAGAACAAAATTATATTTCAGTGAGTTTTCATTTCACAACAAAGGAGGTCTCTTAATTGCTGTTGGTCACCTATACTTATTTATAACGCTTCTCTAATTCCGAGGACGTTCCAAATTCAGCAAACAAAAGTCAATGAACAACACAACAGACCTCCTTTAAGATCAGTCCTTGTGAAACTTAAGGATTAAGCCCTTTGGAAGAAGTCATATCTTACTTATTTTGTATGAATATTGATCCTCTGTGAATTGTCGCTACGTATTTTGCAGAAGTTAGATAAAACACGGTATTTCCCCAGCACCATGTTCTATTAACAGTAAATTACTTCCCTGATGTTTACTCTTTACATAGTATACAATTTGGCATTTAATCGATAAACTCATAAAGACTCGAATTAAAACGTTATATATTTCTTTTAAGATAACAAAACAATAACAAATTGGCTATATACTCTCATCGCACGCTCGCAAGTAAGAATAGTAAAAAGCCATGTTTCTAAAGCTCTTCAAACCCACGCGTTTGCTCCTTCCCCGCGTTTAATTGTAAGCAGATTATTTATTTTACACAACATAAAAAATTGTTGTAGTTAATTCGAAAACGACTGCTTCAATATTTGGGCCTTTTAAGATTCCAGCAATGCTTTTCTTGCAAAACTTCCTCACGTTTTTCACCATTTTCAAAGATGAAGATACATATATGTATGTTATTTTTGCATTTATGGATTGTTTGTATTATCATTTGTTTTAAAGCTTGCAGCGTTGGAACAAGTATCTGGTGTTATTTGCCTTGGATATCCTTCAAATGGTATGGATGGCATTAGAGAGGTATGGTTATTAATGGTTACCTGATGAGCTCTGCTTATTTGATGGTTCTAAAGATATAACAGCTGATGGTTCTGAAGATATAAAAGCAAAGAGTGTGGTTTTTAAGACCTAGGGCATAGACGTATTTAAGAGCTTTTGCATATTCAAGAAAGCAGTTCTTTGTAACTGTAGGCTTTAGTCTGTTAACGTCCGTTTCTCACTTAGGTTCCCAGTCAGCCCTTTTTGTGCATTTTATACACATTTCTGTACGACCTAAACATTGTCCAAAAACCTTTGACCGTGAATGAGAAAATCCTTGCCCAATAAACTTTGCCAGCATACGACCCAGTGCCATGAGGTATCTTTTCTGTTATGCTCACTTATTCAAGCCTTTGAAATTCTTTGTTAAGTGAAGTAGCATTTTGTTGTTGAAGAGAGACCACGCTAGTTGTAAACCTTTGCTTCACCATGGAAAACAGCTACAAGATTTCTTATGTCAGCTTTTTTCTGAAAGGAAATGTACAAATATTTCGTAAACGGCTGCCCAAACAAACTGAGATTTGCCAAAATGCTAAGCAATTTGCTAAATAATGCCCAGGCTGAGATTCCAAATGTCAACCAGAGAAGAAACAGAATAGATAGTATTTTTTAAATAAGAACAGTACTGTTCTGTGCAAACTAAGCAAAAACGGTTTAATAGATTTACTGAAAGTATCTTAAGAACCATATTGCTGCCAAGTAAGAATAAACTGACTAAGCAGCTCCAACAACGAGGTTCAAATATTAGAAAATGCTTAAGTGTATAAGGCTGAGCTCCGGAACCCATGCTGATTATAGGAAACGTATAATATTTCTTGTCCATCTTTGTTGGAGCCAGTTTCTTGGCCAAGCTAGGGAAACAGCAAACCAGAGGCCCAAGACAACTCTGCCCCTGATGAGAGAAGGTGCCCTTAAAATCTTAGAGGATTTAAAGCTTTTTAAGAGTTACCATAAGGACACATAATAACTTAAAGGTATAGCTGTTTAATTTTCATTGTTAGAGTTGCCAGTATTATTTTTACCCGCGTCCTAAACTTTTCCTAAACAAGAGACTGCCGCGTGTTTTTGCTGAATGGGTTGAGCTTTTTAATAATTTTAGTTTTGTTTATAAAATTTGTGTATGTTTGCTCTAACCCTTAAGAACCATCATGTTTTCTTGGTTCTATACACATGATATTTTCTTTAGACCGAAACTTACAATATTGCTGACATCAAATGCCCAATGATGTTTGTGATTGGGACACATTCTTCAACCAGCTCGGCTGATTTTATTGAGGTACGTATACTCTAATCTTGATTTTTTATACGGCTTGTGCAGCTGTTGCTTATCTCGTGATTTCGTTATTGTCATTGCTATGGAAAAAGAATATAAATGAATAAGCTCGATCTTTTCTCTCTCTCTCTCTTTCTAATTCCTCCTCCATTTCCATTAAGCATTGCCAACTAAAAATCTATAAAAATGTATATCAGATATATTTTATCGTTTTACCATCATATTATAGAAGGCAGGGACATTGTGACATTGCACTACCTCCCTCTCATTAATGCTCATTGTTTTTGTAAAAAGCACTATACGCTGATATTTCAAGACTGTAATTACTCCCTAACGTCCCTGCAAATAAGCCAGCTTTAATTGTACCCAAAAAGGGCTCTCTTTCTTTCATTTCTTTTTTTATAATTTTTCTTCTTTTGAGCTTCTTCTTGATCTTCAATTATTCATGCAAAAACAAAGATTTATTGTAATTATCATGTACTTTGTCTTCATATTGATTGCCTGAGTTTGTTATCATCCAAGTGTAGTTTAGATAGAAAGCAGTGCTAAAAATGAAGAATAAAGCATTTTCAGAATTGTGAAGAAATCAAATACAGAAATCTGCATCTCTCTTCATTACTTTCATTTGAATTTACTTATTTCTAAAAACCTATATGCATATTCAAAACTTCTTTAGGGTTTAAGAGAAAAGTTTCGTGTTGACACAAATATGCTGCTTGTCGAAGGAGGGAATGAAATGGTAAGTGCGAGAGCGTTGTTTTTGGCTTCCTTGCATCTTTGTTGTTGTTTCATGATCGCATTAGACATAGAAGGCAACAGCTCACGATATTGAAAGTCCATCAACTGAAGCCCCTTAATTGCTGGGTAAGCGGTATTCCATTACGCTATTTTGCCTTGCTCTACATATGCAATATTTTCTTCAGTTGCAGCTCACTTCTTCTCTAAAGAAAAGAATGCGAATTACCCAGAACATGGTTGACAGACTGGTCATGGTAATATTTTAGAGTTTATTCCTTCTATTGTTTGTTATCCTTATCTATGTTATAATTTCATTTCCAACTTCTGATTAATCCAAGTTCACGGTAGAATAACCCTGAGGATTCTATCGTTTAATTTCCAACACTCCCTGTGCTGTTCAATATTGTACAAAATTCTTGTAAAGATACCACCTTGCAGTTGATGTGAGGTGGTATTTGACTGCCGTAACAATGTTCTAGCAAGAATTTCATTTTCGTGAAGTTTCAAATTTCACAACAGCAAAAGATGGGAAGGAGAAATAGAGGTTGGGACAGGGAGAAAAATTATTTCACGCTATAAAAAGCTTTTAGTTAATTTTTCGCGATTAGTTAATTTTTCTTATTGTTGTTTATAATTTTTCCAGAAACCCAAACATTATCCCAGTTTTTCAAGGAAATCAAATATAGCTTTTTCTAAAAAAGGGCTTCTAAAATGAAAGGATTTTCAAAAGGAGGAAAATGTTTAATCTTGAGTATCCTTTTCATTCCCTATTCCAGTTTTTATTGTATCAATTTAGTGGATCATGAAAGTTCCCTTTGTTTAGGATGAAATGGAAAAATTCATTTCGGATGTGCTGGCCAAAAGTGACAGTGTGAAAGACTCGTCAAGGCCAGATACGCCTTCATCGTCAAGTCAACAACTAAAGCTTAGTGACAAGAAAAGAAAGTTAAAAAGAGCAGATACGGCTGGCATAGAGAAGAAAAAACCGAAACTCATGCAGTCACAGCAACAGAAGTCCAATACAGCAGGAAAAAGTGGAGAAGAAGGAGGCAAAATAAAAAGCAAGTTGAAAACGGATGGTAGCAGCACATTGACGACGACAAACGAGTTTGCAACAGCAGCTGCCAAAAATGCATCGAGTGCTGGAGTAGAAAAAGGCAATGGTAAACAAACAGGAGCGGCAGGAAAAGCAGTTGATGAAGATCCAGTCAAGAGCCAAGTATCTAAACTATTTTTAAAAGGCCTGCATGGAAGGTATGGTGAAAAGGCCGCCAAAAAGACGAAGCTAGTCAAAAGGCCTGTACCTGTTGGGAAAAGTGTTGCAGCCACGCCAAAGCAAGTAGATTCAAAAGCCGACTATGCGGCCTTGCAGAAGTTCCCTACAACATCTTCCATTCTGCTATCAAACACCGGTGCCCACCTTCGTCTCCAAGATGGGAGGATTCTTCGAGTTTCAAGTGCAGATTGTCAGAAGATGCAACACCATATAGGGATTTCAACTGCTAGTGCCTTGAAAACGTCTCTAGTAAGTAACCAGACTTTGCGATTGAACAATACTATTTCGACTTCAAACACAGATGCTGCTAAAGTAAGTAACTTTATGGCATCGTCTTTAAAAGTAGGAGGACAAGTCCAGTCAACGATTCCAATGACTGCACACTCAAAGCCAGTTTCCAGATTCACAAATTTAGCTGTTGTCGGAGGTCCATCAACAATAGCCCATGAAAACACAAAAGCCCTTGCTGGGAACAGTCACATCAGCTCTAAAGAGCAATTTACTTCTGAGCCTTCATTGAGCAAGGCAGCATTGGAAATTACAGCCTCTCATTCTCAGGCTAAGCCAACAGCCTCTTCCGCGCAGCTCTCGTCAAATGACCTTAAATACCTTAATGAGTTGTTTTCCAAAAGTCAAAGTGACACAAAGCTCGCTTGCAGCTCAGTCGAAACGTGTAGTAGTATTACAGGGAGCAAACAATCACGTACGGTTCCCGATAGTCCGATTTCAGCTAGAATAGGCATAGGCACGCTGACAAATCTTGCTAATGCTGATGGCTCTCCTCCTGGAAGTGGGACAAGACACTCGCCCGGAAGTAGTGCAAAGAATTCGTCAGTGACAGCTACCAGTAGCGTAGCCACATCTAGCATACCAAGTGGCACCAACGTCCTTCAAAGTACGCAACAACCTTTGCAACAATCGGATTCTCACTCATCTCAAAATGATATCCAGTCAAACGCAATGAGACCCAAAAAGATTGAGTTTTCCACTTTTAAGCCAACATCAGTTGCAGTAACTGGCCCTATATCTGTTAAAAGCCATGTTGTGGCTGCTTCCTCTCTTTCTAGCCTATTGAACCATAGCAGAACTAACTTTTCTCAAACAAGCACTACTTTATTTAGTAATTCCACCAGCCAAGTTAGTCTTGCGAATTCCAAGTTCACACAATCAAGACCCACAATAGAACTATCCCAGTTTGTCAAAAAGCCCACATTACCCGCGTCTTCTTCGGCACCGAGCCTTGCCACGACTCGTCAGCCAATCTCTTTAGCAGCAATATCAAATAGCCCTGCCAAACTTACATTTACCAGCCGACAAATTCAAGGCAACGCTGCAAGAGGAGCTAGAAGTCCCCAGACTATAACGTTGCACATCCCGAACTCTGCCATGCTGAAGGATCATAAAGGAATGAAAAATAACGGTTCAGAAATTAAACTGATTGGATTGTTGAACCAAAAACGCGGTAGTCCTATGTCATCACCTATCCACTTCTCTGTGCAGAGTAGAAGTGCCCCAGGTTCTCCACAGTCACAAAGTCCGACAATTGTATTTACTTCAAAGGCAGAGACAACGACAGCGGCCCAGGCAAGAGTCGTAAATTTGAACAAAGTGAAAGATGTCACAGTCAACAATGCTGGGAATTCATCCACTGGAGTAACCACGTTCACCCCTGGAATTCAATCATCTGTTCCAGTAGCAAAGGCTGTTGGTGCTGACTCCTTACCAAAGAAAGAAAGTTCTTCAATAAAAGTATGCAAGCCTGGAAATATACAAACGGCCCTCATTAAGTCTCTGACCGCGGCATCGTTTTCCTTGAAACAGAAGGAGTCAATTGCCAACTTGCTGAAGAATCCAGGCCTTATTAAACCAAGGGACCTTTTGAGTCAAAACGAAGATGCGGTCACACAAAGCAAAACTATTGGTGATACGAAAGAAAAGAGTAAAGCTGGAGGGGTAAAACAGGGTGCTACTGAGTGTGTGAGTTTTGTCAGTGACGATAATGTACCAGTTGTTGTTGAAAATCGTGGGCACAGCAAGGAACGAACAGGTGGCGAGTTGAACGGTCATGGTGGAGCACGAGGCAAAGTATTGGCACCTGATATAAAAAATGCTGACCCAAATGTTGACGTTGGTAAGCAACAGACAAAGCAGCAATCAAACAATGCTACCGATAAGCGCAGTTATAAGAGGTCTGGGTCTAATGACGTAAAGATTCACGATGTAGCCAAAGGATCTGATCAGCTGAAAGTTAGCAACGAAACCTTTGGTGACGACAGTAGAGAGGAAAATCGTGGGAAACAGAAAAGAACACAGGACGGTGATGATTTCCGTATAGAGAAGGATGATGATGAAGACAATGGGCCTACTGCAAGCAAACGCCTAGCCAGGAGAGATTCAGCTTCAAGCAATGGAAAGAGAAAAATTCCAAATGCTCAAAAGATGGAAGAGTGAATTTTGATCTGGGACATCGTTAATTTATTTCCAAGATTATTTTTTTTTAGAAAATTCGTTTGTTGTTCAACTTATCAACCTAGCAAATTTGTTTAGCTGTAGGTCAGGAACTACCAGAGTTTGATTGCAAATGTGCCAAGACTTAATGCCTTGTTTCAGTACCCAGTTAGTTCTGAATATCTTTGAATGCGTATGTAATGTACTTGTGGCTTGCTCAAAGGAATTAAGTCATAAATCTTTGTTAGGTTTCCAGTCACTTCAAAACCTCTTATACTGGAGTTTCCCAATACTTGTGATATACTGGAGTTTCCCAAAAGATGAACAATCGCTTTTTCAACGTACTTTGGAAGCAGAATTGATGATTTTTTAAGTTCTAGAGTCTATGATTGCCGGGTAGCTAGAAATACCATTAAGCTGGAAGTTTATAGCTCTAAAACTCTATTTGTAGATATGTTTTATTCATTATTCGCATAGATGTATCTAAAGCCATGATGTTTCGTGTTAAACGTTGTCGTTGGTTTGGTTTTTTTTAATTCTTATGTTCTTGTTAAAAAGTTAAAAAAATAGTTTTTGCACTGCCAAATAAACCTATGAAAAAGTTTTGAATATAGCACGGAGAAACAGAAACAAAGCAAACTAAAGTATTTTTCATCCTATGGTACTCTGTGCCAAAGTTCTCTGAGGAGTATCGGACAAAAAATCCTCAAAGAATGCCATGTGTCTGCAAAGTATGCTACTTTAATATGACATGTCCCTGCTTTTCCGTGCTATTTTCAAATTTTTGTACTGGGTTAATTAGAAGCTAAACATTTCGTGACTGTAATGTCGTTTGTCGAACTGTCACTTGAATTATGAAGTATTCTGGTGTTTAAAGTGTAAATAGTAAAAATGCTGATTGATATTTGTGTTTAGCCGTGCTTTCGTATTGTTCGATGATTGTGCTAGAGATCAATAATAGTGATAAAAAGTGTCCTTAGTGTTTAACAGATAATCTGGTTTTTCAACGTCACATATCCAGCTGAAGAGTGTTAAACCCACCCTTCATCGTAATTCTCCAAAATTTGCCTTTTGTATTCCACAAAGGTGATATTTCGAAGACACAAATCACCTATTGTCGTGCACCAAGCAGTTCTGGCAAATGGACACTGGTTTCGAAAACACCCTGCCTTAAAGAGACACGTACTCCTGAACATGCAGATGCAAAAACTTGGGGAACGGTGGCCCTTGTCCAAGCCCCCCGGCTCTTACCTATACGGGTCCCTGGCTCACCCTAAACTTCCCTTCGCCATATACATAAACCTGCTTCAATTGCTCCTTTCTACCGTGACTTACTGGAAAATAAAATTATAATAGACAAATAATTTTGTCAGACAAAACATAAATCTTGCCAAATTTGTTTCATTGAAAAAGATGCTTAGAAGCAAAATAATAATTTGTTTATGCAAACCACGGAACATTCATAATTAATTTGTGTGCGATTACCATCAACGACTTTTCATAGACTTCTCATGTAATGCTGGCCTGAAAATCTTTTGCACACGTTTGCTTTTGGTTCTATAGACAATTGGAAAAGTGAATCCTCGTTCTTGATGCATGTAATAATTGTCTTTGAGGTAAAACTTTCTCATTATATTCTGCTTAATAAAACCACCTGCAACTTTCAAGACTGCCTTCTTCATTGGGTTTGGAAAAGAGACGTCGGCTTCTCTGCTGCGTAATGCCTGGAAATCATTTTGGTAACTGCATTAGATATTTCTTTTTAATTTGTTTCATAGGTCCTTAACGAGCATCATGAACTGAAAGAATGGCCAATAAGCTCCAAGACATTCTGATGTCTGCAACAGAACAGCATATGTTACATTTGTTTGGACAATTTTGCATTATTTTTTGTCTGAAATGAAAGCAAGATATTCTAAAGAAGACGACATCAACTTGTACAGTACCTTACTGCAGAGGCCTTCTGGCGCATGCCTTAATCAGCAAATGCTAGCCATACTTAAATTGTTACAACTTTATGTGAACTAGAGGGGATCTTTCTATTTTTGATTCTGCAAAGTGTTTATGTAAATGTGTAGCTTACAAGATTTGACAATATCCACAAAAGATGTGCAAATTAGAGAAATTTTGCGGAAATCGGCAGGTTTTTTAAGATCTTCACGCTTTTCTTATAATGTCGCCATGATTGTTGGATTATTTCATGCTGATAATTAGGAAGATTGACTCTATCCCCGTGATCCCCGTTAGTCAACCATTTTTCTTGCTTGTGGTTACCTTGGCGATAGGTCGATACGGTCATCCAAGGCTTTTGTTGTTGTGGTTGTTAAAGAGTTGACTGCTCTTTTCAGGGACCGCGTACCATTCAGCACCAGATTCATCCCCAGATTCATCCCCAGATTCATCCCCAGATTCGAAAACTTGCTTGTACTGCTCGAAATGTATCGAAATAACAATGATTAGCAAGAAAATATGTTATTTCCAGAGTTTCCTTTCTATTTCCACTCGATAAAATTTTTTTCTTGCCAATTTATTTTTGATGTTTTTAGCGGGCCTAGGCATGCGTATTTTCCATCCCCAGATTCATCCCCAGATTCGCGTTTTGTATAATATGGGTCTAATAACAGCATGAGAGGTGTCAAAATGACAATAATTCGAGAAAATATGTAGCAATATGCGGTTCTCCGTCAATTTCTACTAGATAAATGTCACTTTTCTACCACTTTGTTTCCAATGTTGCTTGTTGGCCTAGGCAGTACTTTTCATCCCCAGATTCGCGGCCACAGGGATACCAAACGACCACAGGGATACCATTGCCAATATTGAAACTGCTTGTACTAATGTATCTATTATAATTATAAATTGTTTGTACTGATGTATCTATTATAATTATATACAAAACGTAACAAAACTGGGAATTATATACAAAACTGATTATAAAACAAGGCTTAGTTACTGCAATTACATAAACTAATCAACATTTTGGTTAAAATACATTAATATTTAAAAAAAGAATTAAATCAAACATTATAATCGTACATATTTTCAATCGTAATATTGCTACACATTCTCTCGAATTATTGTCATTTTGACACCTCTCATGCTGTTTTTAGACCCATATTATACAAAACGCGAATCTGGGGATATACCTATCTGGGGATGGAAAAATATTGGCAATGGTATCCCTGTGGCCGCGAATCTGGGGATGAAAAGTACTGCCTAGGCCAACAAGCAACATTGGAAACAAAGTGGTAGAAAAGTGACATTTATCTAGTAGAAATTGACGGAGAACCGCATATTGCTACATATTTTCTCGAATTATTGTCATTTTGACACCTCTCATGCTGTTATTAGACCCATATTATACAAAACGCGAATCTGGGGATGAATCTGGGGATGGAAAATACGCATGCCTAGGCCCGCTAAAAACATCAAAAATAAATTGGCAAGAAAAAAATTTTATCGAGTGGAAATAGAAAGGAAACTCTGGAAATAACATATTTTCTTGCTAATCATTGTTATTTCGATACATTTCGAGCAGTACAAGCAAGTTTTCGAATCTGGGGATGAATCTGGGGATGAATCTGGGGATGAATCTGGGGATGAATCTGGTGCTGAATGGTACGCGGTTTTTCAGGGATATGTTCCAGCTGATAAACTTCAAAAAGTAGAAGAAAAATACCATAAATGGCCACAGAACTGCTAACAAATGGCAATCCAGAGCCAATGTCTATAGAAGGAAGATTATCAAGTGAGGCAATACCACTGAACAGAAACTTACAGCAAGAAAATGTTCCGTCATCATTAGGTGGGCCTTACGTGGACTCACCATTAAACACAGCAGAATCGATACCAAAGCAAGATGCCAATACTGATGTGAATGAAACAGAAATAATAGATGCACAAATAATTGCAGATTTGTTCCAAAGGATACAGGCTGGTGATAACTATGCCAAGTTCGAGCTTGGACAATTTTATTTTGAGAGAAGAGAATACACAGATGCAAAAAAATTGTTCGACGAAATCAGCAATGAAAACATGCAAGCCATATACCAGCTTGCAGTGATGTATTACGATGGCTTAGGTGTTGAAACAAACTACGTAAGAATATGTGTTACTTTCGTTACCCAAACAATATTTTGATTCGTGCCTATTAAGAGAATCAGTTGCAAAATGTCAAGGAAATTTTTGCCTTTTCAAAAAGCTTTTCTGGAATTTATTGCAGATTAATATGCTCCAAATCGCTATCCACCAGACGAGAAAACATTTTTCACAAAAGAAACGCTGCAAAAAGTTGTCTAGACAGTATTTGATGGATATTCACAGCCTAGACATAAATTGCATGGGCTAGACCATGAACTAGAATATTATATATCATCTATATTATCCTCTATATTATGATATATCTTTTATAGTTGGCAGAGTATGGCTGATTTTGACAAGGTCTTGGATTTAGCAACAACTCTGCACCTCTGGTGCCCAAATGCCCAAATTCCCTAGCACTATCGATCTAGTTTTAGGTGGGCCCTCTATGCTGCCATTTTTGCATCTGCTATTTTCATGCTCTGCACATAGACTGAGGATAATAAATACCATTCTGGTAGTTTTGGCTTTATTGGGGTTCCCAACCTGAAACCGAATTACATATTAAGTGTATGCCTGGTCGAAAAAGCTACAGATTTGAGAGAGGCTACAATATTTTCAGTAATAAAAAAACCAAGGCAACATTATTCAGTGGTGATTTTAAGTACATTGTATTATTGGGGAAGAAAACCCTCTCAGCCTCCAGTTTTCTGTATTAGTTTTGTTTATATATATATTCTTCATCAGTAATACTTTACAAATCAAACGGAGCTAACATATACAAAATCAATACAATAGAATTAATACAATAGAGTTGGTATAATAAAGTGAATACAATGAGGAGGTTAGAGGAAAATTGCTTATTACAGTAGTTATTGTTGAAAGTGTAACTCAATGGGAGGGTTAGAAGAAAGCACAGGAGAGGGTGCTGCTAAAGTAGGCGGCAATGCAAGTCTCACGGGGGCTAAAATAATATGTGTAGCAGAAAAGAACACCTTTTAAAGAAGAATAATATAGATAGGAGAGAACATAAAGAAAAAAACATGTGCTAATGGAAGGAGAAAAAGAAAAAAAAATAATAAAATGCAAAGAAATAGCCTAAAATCTATGTATCAACATGCTTAGTGTTTAAGCCCTTAGGAGAAAACTGTCTAGCTTATACTGCCAGAAGCTTTCTCACATCCTATTTCCCCCAGTAAGCCTATCAATTATACTAACCCTTATATCCTGCAGAAATCCCCGGTGGCCTTCTCCAGAAAAGTGCCTGAAAAATTCTGCCTGAGGTACTGAGGATCCCTGACTAAACTTACGATTACATGCCTTATTATAGTTATTAAACCTTAATCTAAAAGGCACCTTAGTGCTACCAACATACTGCACATCACAAACATTGCACTCTAACAAATACACCACATTAGACGAATCATAGTTAAACAAGTAATTTATCTTATTTTCCTTACCAGTTACCTTAGACTCAAAACTATCACAGTTAATCATGACATTACACACTTGACAATGAGCTTTACCACAACTAGAACACCCCTTAGTATGTCTGCCCTTAGTATATGCTTATATATTTATAATTATATGCTTGTGAATCAGGGTCATCAAGAACAGAGGGACAATTTTTCGTCAGGCAAAATTGAAAGGGCTCTCTTTTTAAAAGCTACCTGGTCTTATATTTCTGCTATGCTCTCTTTTATTCTTGAAAAGGCCATTCATCATTTAATTGTTCATTTTGAGGACCATCTTTTTGCTAACATCATATTTGCTTATTTTTCTGTTATTCAGCAAAATAATTTCTGACCAATTATCAGTTTGCATCTACATCTCTATGGAGGAAATGAGTTGGGCTCAAATGCCTTCAAGTTGCTCTATCACCCCTCCCCTTTTCAAATATTTCTTGCATCCCTCCTAGCAACAATCTTCTATGCCCTCATTATAGAATTTTGCAGATATAATGCAAAATGAAAGATAGCTACCAAATCTAGTGGCAACATCACAGACAACATCTGTGGGTCTGATCTTAGGGGAGAGGTAATATTTTGGCCAAGTACCTCATGATTTGATTATACGATATTAGTGAGCAATGAGGTAAGAAAAATTCTAGTCGGTAAGTAGTAAAGTCATTTATTTTTTAGAAAAGAGCTGTTGAGATGATGAAGACAGTCATTGGTACCCAAGACCCTCAATGGGAATTCCTTGTTCCTTATGCACAGTATCAATTAGGAAGAGCATTTTTTGAAGGATTCGGAGTTGAGCAATCTGACAGTGAGGCAGAAATGTTGTGGATCAAGGCTGCTAGAGATGGTGATCCTGATGGCTCTGTAAAAGCTCAAACAACTTTAGGAATGTTTTACTCCAGACCTGGGGAAGATACATATGATATACAAAAGGTATTTAGCTTATTTGAAGACGATCATGAATGTGAGTTAGATTTGCCACAACTGAATTGTTGTGTGGTGGAGGAAAGAAATAAAGGATCTGAAATGAGGTAGCTAGGAAATCAATTTAACAAACGATTTTAAGAAGCTCTCCAAATAAATTATTAACTTTCTGGCATTTTCTCTGCATCTTCAAGGAATTCCCCCTCCCCTGAATTTTAAAATTATGTAAAAATTAACCGAATTTTAAGTCTCCTTTTAGCATTATCTTAGATCTACAAACTTGAATTTCTCCCAAAATTGTTCAATTATTGCTAACCTAAATTCAGCTTTGATTAAAAATTTGCAGGCTCATTTTTGGCACCAAGAGGCAACAGGAAATGGCTCATTAGAATCACAAGGTACCACAATTTCAACAATCATAATTTTTGCTTTTACCCTTAACTGTATTTTCTCAATCTGCTTACAATACTATGGATCATCCAAGAAGCATTCGTAGACCATTCTGTGATTAGTATTTTGACCATGTGCTTAAGCTAGAAATCTAAATTTTTATATTAATATTCTCTTCACTGTGCAGTAAGTGCATAATTCTTCGACAATGCCAGGCCCTTGGCCAAGATGACAAATTTTCTCACAAAGAAGTGTGATATTTTTTATCGTTATACGTACAGGGTCATTGCTAGAAAAATTTTAAGGGGCAGGGCTCGTTTCATTGAGAAAATATAAAGAACCCTTTGTTCCCAATGAGCAATCCATTCTGTTCCTATTGTTTCCAAACATTGGTGCCCCTCCAGTAATTCTCACCTTAATACAGTAATAATTGTAAAGAGCACTCAACTGTGACTGTGATGCTTATGATATTTCATGAATTTTAATTTGTTTTCTTAGCGGCGTTAGGTTTACTGTATCAACATGGCCTCGGAGTGATTAAGGACAACAAAGCGTCATATAAGTGCCTCAAAAGTGCCGCTGAAAGAGGAAACATATATGCGATTGGAAACATGTCGTATTATTATTACAAGCTGAAGCTATTCAACAATGCTGTTGATTTTGCCCAAAGGTTGGTCTCTACTTTTGAATTTTTTACTGGTCCACTCGGACCTTTGTTCTTTGTTCAACCCATTTGCTACACCATTCTAGTTTAAATTTTGCATATTTTCGTGCGCCTTCAACGGGCTGTTTGCGATCCCCGACCCCAACCCTTTCTTTTTCAATGCTTTTAGCGGTATTATCAGCTACAACTATGAGCAAAAGCTGCAATTCAAGGGAACATTCAGAACAGGGAATGGTTTCGAGGGAAGGATGGCTGTCTTTATAAAATTTAAGTGCTTTGATGTGAGGTTTTAAGCCCCTTCGCCGATTTTCATGCTAATGCCAGCAATGAAAACTCGGAGTAGCAACTTGAATGTGTCCAGCACTAAACAAAGGACTGGCTAACAACAATCGTCACTGCAGAATAAGTGGTGAAGCAGAGGAAAAATCTGTTGGTGGTTGTTTAGACTGCCACTCGCCAAAAAAGTGGTCTGGCATTTTATTGAGAGAAAACTAACAGCAAAAGTCGTTTTATGAACTGGGGCACTGGGACATGGCCATGGGTCCATTTTACCAGTATCAAACCTGGTGCCAATGTCTACCTTTTTATTTGCGTTTAAAGCCCTGAAAAAATTTGTCTGCATTGTGAAGTACCCTGTGCAACTTTACTGCTCAATTTTTCTGGTACTTACACCGACCTGAATTCCTTATAAAAGATAATTATCTTGACTTTCTTTGCGCTCTTTCATAGAGCCATTTCCATCACTGATGCAGAGAAGGTCGCGGAGGTAACTGGATGCTTGGTGCATTACATCAGAAAAGGCATTGCAATGAGCTGTTTTGTGTACGGAAGATGCCTCGCAAAGGGCTACGGGATTTACCGTGATCAGCAAACTGCATTGAAGTACTATGCTAAGGTTACTATTATTTCTTTTTATTATATGTATTTATTCTATTTCAACCAATGATAGATATTTTTCGCAGACTTTTAAAGTAGTTCTGGAAATTCGCAATTATACTGGAAGTTGCTGTTTATAAGACCGATTAGACCTATTACGATAAGGGTAACAAAACCGGAAATTGAAGTTTTGATAACCCATCCGGAAAACAAGTACAGATATGAGAATAAACGTAAACGAATTAAGCTTAGTTAATGTGTTCAAAAGTTGTAAACCCCCAGGCCAATACAAACCAGGGTCGTTGCAAAGTCATAACCATCGTGTCCCCAATCACATAAATGCGCAAGAATGCCATTCATAATATTAAGAATTCTGAATGTATGTAGCGTTTTATAGCTCACGCTTGCTATGCTCGTGAAAAGCTTTTAGCTAGATGGTGCATTTGTCGGGAAGATGAACGATTTGTAGCCCTTCAGCAATTGAGTCACCCACCTGAACGGAGCCAGGAAGGAACGGAGTCATTCTGCAGCTAATTTGAGTACCTTAGCGAGGAAACAACTTACGTTTTTGGTGAACGTAAATGCAAGAAAATGTTATATTAATGAAATTCAAAATCCATCCATTCAATTCCTTCAGGTCTAATACGTATTTCTAATTATATTCCTACTCGAGTTATAATTATATTTTTTTGCGAGTGGCGAAGCTAACTAGAAAGAAATGAATTATTGCCAAGTTTAAATCTTTAGTTTTCTTGGGAATTGTGGTTACATACTAGAATACTTTTTCGGTTTTCAGTCCCTGACTACTTTCTGCCCCGTTCTTCAAAAGGGTTTGATGGTTATGCCTTTTCACTTGCTTGCATGTGTCATATCTAGTAGTTCAAGTAAGTAGGTACAGCAGAAAAACATAAACAACAAAAGTAACAAAGTAATAAGGTGCACAAAAAAAATGCAATCGTCTAGATTACTATTCCACTATCTTATTTTCATGTTTTTCTTTATTTGTTTATGATAAATCGCCATAGCCTCTAATTTCTAATCCTTATGTTCCTTTCTATGTATCTAATCCTTTTAGGCTGCGGAATTCGACCTTGACATTGCCAGTCATCTACAAGAGCTGATGATACAGGGGTACATCTAGTTGTGTTCAAATCTAGTTCTCTACCTTGGACCAGTCTCATCGTATGGAAAGATCACATTGTAAATAAGGTAAACAAGTTTGACAACGTACTGTGTTACATTTGATGAAAATATGACTGTAAAAAGTTTGCACTTTAATCTGTATATATTTTTACTGTATGAATATTTTGATAAACTTACATATTAGCTTCAGTTTTTGAATTTCTGATGGAAATCATTACAGCTGGATCTTGGCAACGTAGATTTAATAATATGTCTTTTAGTTCATAATATCTGGTCAAAAATATACAAATGTCATACTGCCAGCTATGTTTGGCTATAGAAGCATTTGTTGAGCATTGTAATCGCGTTCAAGGTAAGTAATCAAAGAAAATATTGATGATAATAAAAGAAGTATATATATAGTTATGATATAATGATATTTTACATTTTCAAGGTAATATTTATCAAACAAAATAAATTCAAATTATCTTGAATGTACCAAAGACAGATTTCCTAACGTCTTACTTCACGCAGCCATTGCTATTACAAACGAGACAACCAATTAACCAGTGACGCACCTTGGCCTTTTTAGACAAGGGTAGAGAATGATAAAAAGTAGAATTTACCAACAAAGACAACGGTGAAGGCAATTTGTCGCTATTTTACCTACCGTAAAATGATTTTATTCACCGTCGCAGGTTACTTTGGCCTACATCACACCCCGGGACACCTTCACTGTTGGCCTGAAACCAGCAGCCAACAAAAATTGGAAACTATTAATTATTTTCATTTGTATACTAAATCAAACCCTTAGTTAAGTCATTATCTTCTCAAGAACTTACGAATCTCAATAAATATCCCTGTCTCAAAAATATCCGCTGCCAGTTTTGATTGCATTGTATTTGAAATTAAAATTTGTCACTTTATTAAACTATAACATTAAATTTAAGCTTTTAAACATGCATTGAATTTATTTCCGTAGAAACTAAGCATCTGAATTTAAATATTAACTGCTGTAGTAATTAATTGATACTACTCATAATTCACAAGGCTACTTTGTACATGAGATCATACTTAATGCAAAATGTAACAAAAGTAAAAACAATGAGAATAAAACTAATCAAAATTACTTTCAAGCTACCAAATCTTGTCAAGATATTGACTCAGTATAATTTAACTTCAATGGATCTGCTTGAGGGTAACGTAGGCGAATTGTGAACAATCAACCACACGAGATTTCACCCCAAGAGTTTAATGGCATCAGTTGATGTGTTATAATATCAAATGTTAACATGACTGCTTCGGGGCCTAGCATACATAAAATGAAGCAGTTTTAGTTAATTCATGGATTCAGCGATTTTTTTCAAATTCCTTTACTATAATTTACTCAACGATACGTTATAATATGTTATTATGATATTTCTCTTACGTTTTTTATCAATTTAATTCAACTTAATGCCGTGCAAATTTTGCCAAAGATGTGACTCTATGCAGAGAATCAGCTACATTTAAATATCACATAATCTTAAGAAATTTTTCCTCTTGTTGTTTCTGTGGCTATTATATATGATTTTGTCTTGTCTTTTTATTTCAACCTTGCTTTCGCAGATTGTAGCAGTCTCTTATTACATTTATAGCCGTTTTCAGAGGAGTTAGTCGTTTAGGGACCTCCTCTCGAATATTTCCTTGAATAAATCACTTGAAATTGAGAATTATCCCTTCATTTTCCGTATTTGCTCATAACTATGTATTTGTATTGGTGTGCGTATTAACCTCTCATCTTCTCTAGTACAATGGTGTTGTTAAACGCTGAATAGGGACGGTGTAATTTCTCTCGAGCCTTTTCATGATCATAAAATATGATACACCTCTGAATAGTATCCCTCAGCGCTCCTGTCCCTGCTAGAAGCATAAATTCAGTGAAATATCAACGAGGTCAAATATACTAAATTTCACACATGATTACATCTGATTACATCCCTATAAACCTATTTTTCTTAAGCTCTGATTCAATGACGAATCATGACAAGGTTTGATATTTCCATGAAATATTACGTTTTTAAACACCTTCGTAACAGAATGCCAGACCAGCTGACAGCTTCTAAAGGCATTTTCTTCATTACAAAAAGACGCTGCTCTGACTTTGTTCTGACTTTTGGACATTTACAGCGCTAAACTTTGGGGTCATTGGCCCAATTATGAAATTTAGGGTAACATGATAGCAATATGTCTTATGCTTTCTTACACTTTTTCGTATCTTTAGGCCTTTCTGATCTGGCAGTATCTTTACCATCAGCGAATAAAATAAGATTCATAACGTAGCTTCTTTCTTTGCAAACGAGCATTCTGAACATTCTATATACAATCTTTATTTTGTTCATCCAGCTGTTTGCGTTAATAATATGAACATCATCATAATGACATTTCCAGAGGCTGTAAGTCTCCTTCCCTAGGATATATTCTGCTACTTTTCACAAATGGCACAGATCTACGCACCGTTTCTTTAATCTTTGTGCAATAGAATCTTTATTGTGAATATTGGTTTATTCTTGTCTTTTTGGGATACTCTCCTGAAGCATTTCATCTGCACTGGAATCACGATTTTCCGACTCCCACTTGCTTTCTGACACGGTATTGAAGCAGCATTATGGCTATTTATTTCTTTGCAGAAAGAGGAATCTTTAAGAACTGAATACAAGTATTTCCAACTTTTGTCTTTGATGCCTTTTTCGGATATCCATTTTTTCTTATTCCAATGTACCAGGGTTTTGTCCCGTCTTGAGAGTGTTGCCAAGAATTGAATGTGTGGTAGTGATTTTCAAGAACTTCTTCTTGGAACACAGTCTCTCTGGTTGGATACCGCTAAAAGGATCATACTGACTGTTAACTAATGAAAATTACTGTTTATCGGTCTGTCTTAAAGTCCTCGATGCCGCAAAGGCAGAGTGGTACATGCTTTTGATGTATAAAACAGAACGGTTCTAAGCTGCTACTCTGAATTTCAAGCTTAATGCGATTATCAGGCAGCAATAACGAAATATCTGTAGAATTCAATTTGAAATTTTTTATTTCATATATTAGAGCCACACCTCTCTACTACACCCTTGCCATTGATATTCTTTCTCATTATCTTAGACTATCAACATTGTCTCTAGCTGTAATGAAAATAACGACCTACAGTTAAAATCCGAGTATGTAGAGGACCACATTTGCATGGGAATCACGTCTTAAGGCTGATTTCCACGAGACGAATTTCGCAGCAGCACCTAATAACCATTCAATGCATAGTAAATTTGCTTGATTTGTACAAAAACAATCTTGGAACATTCGCCATGCGTGCAGTTCTGAAAATGGGCACCTTAAAAGTGTTGATTTTTGGGGGAAATTATTATATAATTTCGCAGCGAATTCGGAGTCACGTGGAAATCAAAGACAATTTCGAAGCGAATTCGCAGCGATTTCAGTGCGAAATTCGCCTCGTGGAAATCAGCCTTTAGGCCTATTTTTTCAAGTGCACGTTGTGGAGACATATTCTTATAGTGAATATCAATGTTTAGATTGAATTGAAGACATCAAATGGGGATTGATTAAAAATGCATTTGTATTAATAAAAAGCGAGAAACGGAAACTCATAATAGCCATGGAAAATGATGTGTCCCTACCTTACTAATCAGGCGTCCTCTTGAGTTAATTGCTATGTATCTTCCTGACTCTATTCCTTTGATTCTTATTTTCGTTGGTCCAATAACTTGGACTTGCATCACAGCTGAGAGTAAATATGTTGACATAAATTATCATAACAAAAACCAAATTTATTAAATGTCTCACGATGTAAATGTACGCATTACGATTCAAAATGAATAATTCGACTTAGTTTAACGATTAATATCAAATCTCGTTGTCAACAATTGATAATATCTAATTGATAATATTATTGCCAACTCTAATTATTCACATTCTAAATGCAATTGTTATATGTTTGAATATTTGTACTTTCTTTCAAAATAATCAGCATGAATTCATTTTATGAAAAGCTGCCCTGCCTGTTTTTTTTCAACAATGAGTGATGTTTTAATGCCTCAGTATGGACGCTCTGTTTGTCTCCAAAAAAGTTTCTGATTAAATGGATGGCGAAGGTGTTTCAAGCAAGTTTGTTTCTGGGTAATTGCAATTTATGGCTATCCCTCCTAATTGCGTTCTATGGCTATCCCTCAAAATAGGTGAATTTCGTTGGAAGCATATTTTACTCAAACAATGCCTGGAATCATCCGTGTGGATTGAATATAGTGAGGCGTTCAACAGTTTGTCCCAGACAGCAAGGAAATTAATCTAAGGCTGCTATGCTACAGGCGTATTGCTAGCTACGTTAGATTTAGGGTTGTTCTCAGTCATAGATAAACAAAGACGTTGTTACTTTTCGTTACATAGAACGCTTAAAGACTCTTCAAACCCGTAATGCTGTGAGTTAATTGGTAAAATGTGGAAACACGTGCCCATCCCAGAGCCTATTCCGCCATTATCTAAACACACGCGTGTCTGTGTATCCTGAAGCAATTGCAAGACAGCTAATTGATAACAGCACTTTTTTAAAGCGTAACCCTGGCGATCTTTATATGTTTGTCGTTATGAATAATGATATAAAGTTAACAATTACTTTTTTATTCGTGATACGCAACATTTTCCTTTTTGTTATTGTTTTGTCTTCATATTTTTGTTCCTTGGGTATCATAATTATCTTTCATATTGACGAAGCAGCAGGGGCAGGATGGCTGGGGCAAAGAGCTTAGGCCCAAGTCTTCCTTAACCAATGTAGTATTATGCGTATGTATATCCCGAGCTAGCTTTAAACCGAACGCAGATGTCGGAAAACATTTGCAATGAAGACATTTTGAACACAGCTTTGTTGAGGATGCTTTTCCCATTTTGAAAATCAACGTTGCTCACCAAATTTTGTTTAGTTAGTTCTATAAACTAACATCAAAATTATTCTGTCGCTGTCATTTTGTGCAAGAAGATGGGAATCATATCAAAAATGCAGTTCTATTTACTTTCCAGGATTAAGATAGTGGTCCTCGGAGGTTTACTTCACTATCTACGCGTCCTATCGTGAATTACATCAAAAGGGTGTTCTCCTCTCATTCAGACTAAATTCAACTATCGAATCATTAAAATTCTAGGCTAATCATTACATAAAGTAATCATTTCAATTCTAAGCTTTATTCAACTATCGAATCATCAGAAATGCCTACCATTTACTTCATTGATGTTGTTGGTCCCGTTTACAATTCCATTGGGCAAAATTTGAAGCAACCAACCAGTCCGGCAATAAAGTATGAAGTTGCCCCATGTCGATGGATACACATCCTTGCGCTTTGGTTTTTTATTTTCGTTCTTGAACTTAACAACACTGTACGAAACGGCTTTCCTTGGCCTCTTGTGACTGGCCAGTATGCTCCGCTCTAAAAGCAGTTTGACAAGTTCTGTAGGATCATCGTGGATATCAAGGTGGTTGGCACTTTGATCACTTTGTTCCACACTGAGGCAGGAACCAATGATTAATAATTCTGATAGAAGCACGAGACTACAGAAGATCTAGGAATAAGAAACCTTGATTAGAAAACTAAAAGATCAGTGACAGTTTGATCAGTAATGGATCGACTAATATTCTTATTTAGAAAAAACTTGCAAACATCGGGATAGAAGTTGAAAGATATGGGGAATATTGTCAAGAGCAAGAGAGAAGAGCTATGAAAATAACAAGGGGCCTCTCGCAAAAACATTATCAGAAAACAATAGCAAAAAAAAGGGCTAATTTTCGGCATTGACCTAGGGAGGCTCAGCTACCCTGTTTTGTCATCTCCTCTAGCTTTACACCCCTGGACAGTTTCCCTATGGTAAAAGGCAGTGGATATGACTTGTTAGTGTATAAAATAAGAGAAAAAAATCCCGTCAATTTTCAAACACCCCAGCAACAAACTAAAGACAACGTTTCTTGAAAATGACAAAATTAGTTGTAAGAGCCAAACGTTCACTTCGTGAGAATATCATTGGTTTTCTTCACAAAGGAAAGATACATAAGATTGTTTGCACTGCTTTGCCTTTACAAGAAGTTTATGTATAGCACCTTACTAGAAAACGTTTCGCGTTCATATTATGGTAAACAGTATAGTGTAACCAAAGTTTCGCATTATGAGAAACCACGATTTCGTGTTTCAAGCCTCATTAAAAGGCCAGTCTTTTTGGACACAATCATTAGAGTGTTTTGACGCGATATTTTGTCGCCATATTTCCTGCAAATATCATATCGATCCTCGTTTGTATTCGACAGCCCGCGAATGTCTGTTGAAATTGATAATCTTTGGTTCGTGATTTTTCCTGAAAATCTCGAAATCAGGTAATTATCTTATAGATGGTTACTAAATGATCAATATTTTAAACGCTTTAAAATCGCATTAGTCGAGTTATTTGCTTTGATGGTTGTAAAACAGTGTTTTCCTCGTTTATAGAACCCTTTTAATCTCCATTAGCATCAATTTTCCATAAGATTTGATGAAAAACTTTCAAATATTTGGGCCAATAAGCGCCACATTTCAGATTTTCAGTCTTTTAGAGTGCTTTCCATTCCTTAAGTACAAATACATGGGTGATGGCCTAGTCTGACACTAAAAGCTGATTTTTTAGGCACGAGTGGAGAACATCCTATAGATGAATTTGTTTGTCGCTATTCATATATCTTCGAAGTTAAAATCATTGGAGCAAAAGATAACTACATTTAGAATCTTTACATTTTTCTTGAGTTTGCCGACAAATCTGAAGATGGGTGGGCATTTCCAACCCTTTCCCATTTGGCCACCCCCCCCCCCTGGATTCAGTAGTGTTTATTGAAATGATTGCAGATCCTAATGATACGGTCTGTTGTGATTGTCTTCTTCATATTTGATCTCAGCAATAACTGTTGTGGTTTTACTGTATTATTCATAAAGAATGTCTCATAAACAAAATGACAGTAGTCAAAGTAGTAGTACAAGGTCTTTACCTAATCAGGCCGTCGAAGCCATCGAATTTTAGCCGAAAAATGGGGGGCCAAAGGACTAACTTTCCGACGAAAAACAGTAACGCGTTACTGCAGTCCTAACGTTTTACAAGAATTTTCGGCAAAATTTCCTTGCTAATTTAATAAATAGCACCCCTTCGCCGTTTTCCTACTACCTATCAGAAACCTATTTTTCATAGACAAATCTGCCAGCTTTTAAAGTGGACGTTTTCGGAGAAAATGCGGATTTTTCCATGAAAAGGTGTTTTTTTCTATGGAAAAGCCTTTATCGAAAGATTTGATTTGCCGATGTTTCATTCTGTCGGCAAATAATTCAAATCCACCACCGGTGTAAGTTAAAAGACATTATAATGCATATTTGACTTGTCTGAGTGCCTCTCTAAAGTTCTTTCTCGTAGGATTTTCTGGTTAGTCTTGTAGTAAGTTTGCTGGACGTGCACTGAAGTCAAAAGATATGAAAAAACTGAGATAACCTTGTTTAAAGCTATGACGTAATTGTAACAAGCTAATTATAAATACCATACTAGTTACTCAGTGATTGTAGGAGTCAAGGAAGCGTTTTGCGTGTTCAGATTAAGATAATTTTTAAAGGCAATGGATTATTGGGAACATGTACTTGTGATGTACTACAAAGAGATCGTTTCCTCAATTGAGTGTAATTAGTCAATCATGCTTTAGATAGAAAAAAAGCTATGATTAAGTTTGTATGAAACAAAACAATTCCAAGTATGAAATAAATAAGAAATGAACGGTTCACAAGTTTACCCACAAATTGATGTTGTTTTAGTGAAACAATTGATCTGAAATGTTTAGTTGTTTTAATTTCATTTGTGAATTTTTGTTTTACAGCTTTATCTTTTATTTTGTGTTTCTTTCCATTATCTTATTTATTCGATGTATTTTTTATTGGACGTCACATCTTGTTCATTTGATCACAAGGCTCTTAAAAGTCTAGCGCGTGGCCTATAGCAGCATTCCTTCAATCGATAAAATGCCTTGAGTTGATCCATTTGCTTTAGTAATTTTTGGTGTATTTGATCACAATAAATGATGAAAGGAGTTGACCTATCAATGTCTATATAATGATATAATATGGTCGAGCTAATGGAAATGAATGCCGCTTATATGATTATCAATTAATAGTTACTTTCTAACGGTGAATATTGGGTTTGAAAAACATGAATGAATGAATGAATGAATGAATGAATGAATGAATGAATGAATGAATGAATGAATGAATGAATGAATGAATGAATGAATGAATGAATGAATGAATGAATGAATGAATTATGGAGGAGTAGAATAAAAATAAATTTAACGCATCAAACTTGAATCAGTACAATGTTTAGTTATAAAATAATCAGGTTTCCTCATTTGTTTTCAAAATAGATGTGCTTAAGTTTTTGAAAAAATGTAACATGTTTCTGGATCAAAGAAGACTCGATTCAGTATTCCAATCGGGGGCTGCAGCCATTAGAGACAAACGTTAGTTGCTGTTTTTAGGGGCCTTCTCGAATGAATAAACCCAAAGAGTCGTACGTTTTAAGTTTTCATAACAGCTGGTCATTTAACTTCAATTTATCAAAATATTTGCAGAATTAGCGGTCGTCCTATTTCCAGAGCCGGTACATGTTGTATACAGTGAATCATATTGATGACAGCAAAGCGACAAGCAAGGTATCGGAAACATACTTACAATCATTCTGAGAGAGTCCGCTATGCCCTATGTCTTTACACGCTAATCCACCTCTCGGGCCCTATTCGAAGACACAGTATGTCAAGAGCCAAAGATTTCGGCTTCACGACTTCTAAATGTGTTTTTGTTCGATGTTGGATAAGTTATGGTTCACTGTTTCTCTCCAAGTTTCCTATCGAGCGCCTGTCTCCTTTGCCTCGTTCAAATTTTTCGTCCACGTGCACTGTTGAATTTATGAATGAAGTCTAAAGACCTCTGCCATACCAGAGCATTGCAATGTACATTAATTAAGCAGTCTTCCTTCTTATTGGACCAAACAAACAGTGTCTGATAATTAACCGATATTTCTTTGAAAGGATGGTTTAGGCTTCATTGAATTAACCTTTTCCTTATTAAAAAATTAGGCAAGCGTTATTACCTTGTTAATTGAAAGGAAGTAACGCAATGAGTTCCTCATTAGAATCCAGTCTATATTCAATCATTTGTCGCAGGTGGATTTCCATCCAATCATACCTTCAGCAAAAACAAACCAAGTCTACATACCGTTGCTTTTTGTCATTGATTTGATAATTTTTAAGACTACCTGACTCTGGCAAAACTAAGGCCTATCGTTTGCCTTGCTACAAACTGATTTGAAATTAAAGGGTCAAACATGAGAACTAGAGAAAATTAAGTTTCTTTAGGCGGGCTTGAATACTGGATAATTAGAACTGGATACTTTTACTGTCTCGTCTCAACCTACCAGAAAAATGCTCCATTCTTTTCAATAAGTGCCTCTGTAAAAGGATGTTTGTCACTAATTATGCCATTTGTCTGGTTGGTGTCTTGGTGGGCTTAAATTGTTAGGGTTTGTTAGTAAAATTTCTTCCTTCTCGGGGGTTTAATGCAGTCATGCAATCAAAATGTTAAAATTTCTTGGGGCAGTTTGTCTCTTAGGCCCAAAATTCCCAGTTTGTCTCTTAGGCATCAAAACAATAGGTTTTCCCCCCTCCCAATATTTGACCAAGTGTCCGCCCCTGGTTCATACGTACCAAGTGATGGTTGTAAGCTTATCATAAGAGTCAAGAAATTTCCAGTCTTCCTTCGGGCAACAAGATTCGCTAAATGCAATCTTCCTTGTTGTTGAACAGAAATATTGTTCGTTAAGGCTTTCTGGCCATTATTGGTAGGGAGATTTGCACGTATGTTTGCAAGTGTAATTTGGACTCAAGAACCAGATGTTGTTTGTAGCTTGAAATGAAATCTTATGGCCTTTAACAGAAGAAATTTTTTGCGTTAATCCGTAAGAGGTTGTTTAATGAAGTTCAGTATTGATTGATCTTCTTAAAGTTAGAAAGTATTAGAAACGTGAGTAAACCTACAGGATAATCAGCAATAGAAGTACAGAGGGTGTTATCATTTTCTTTGCGAAAACTCGTCTCAAAGTTCACATATCTCTCATTTTGCATTCTTATTTGTACAGCAGAATGAGGCTTCAATCTTGGATAATATAATTGAATGAAGCTTTAATTTTTTGAAAATGCAGGAAAACAGTTGTAACAGAAGCGGCCTTCCCCTCATCCCCCTTGTGAATGTTGGAGTTGCAGGGACAGCACCTAAGAACAATTCAAACAACTTCAACATTCAAATGGAGGGACTAGGAGTTACCTTTTTCGATAAAGTGTAATTTTTTTTAAAAATCTCTGTCATTTTTGTCAGGGATGGTAGCTGGAAAGGGTAAGCTTTCCATTGAACATTTTTGTGACCACGCCCTTTGGGGTACCCCTTTTTGAAAACTAATTTCAAGTAGGCAATATCATTGGGTTTCCAGCCACTGCGGAGCATCAAGACATGTGGGGGTGGCTAAAACCGTATAAAAAGAGGCTTTACTGGTAGTTTATTACTCAGTATTTGGCTAAACCCCCCAGCCCATCCCCCTGCTCCGCGGTGCCTGGCTTGTACTAACTTATATTCAAGATTCACATGTTTCTCAGACACCAACTTTCTGAAGATTGTATTCGTCGCTATGCAACACGCACCCACTGATTAAGGAATATTCGCCGTCCTACAATGTTGTAATCCTTTTTAGACTGTTGTATTACATCGTTGCCAATATAATTAATTGCTAATTAATTCAATTGGTGTTCCGTGATTTCTCGCTTCGCTTATTCCAAAGGGAAGTCATCTTGGAAGAAATTCGATATTTCATCAGAAAAGATTGGAATCCGATACTTGCCTCAAGACTTGCCTGACCATTCGCTCTACAAGTTGCCTAGATAAAAGCCAGACCTAGATAAGAGTAGGATGATATGTTACGTTTTGCATCATTTAAAGATTTTGATTGCAGGCAACAAGATGTATTTGATTCTGACATAATCAAAAGGGCATTGTCCTCTTTTTGAGGAGTTTAAAGGGCGTAGCTGCTTATAATTTTCATGGTGCCAAATCCCCTCACATTTTCCGAATCTCTATTCTCTATTGGTAGACGCATATCTTTTCTTACATCATTCAATTTGGACCGATTGCCACGCTAAGCTACCGTTGGTAAAATTTAAAGGGTCTTCTTCTCAAACGAACGACACTATTGGTAGTAGTTTAACTACTCACTCGATCATTTTGTTCCCTGCAGCATGTCTGAGCCGTTTATAGAGCCAGAAGTTTCTTAATTTGTGAGATATATCCTTTTTTATGCCTTTAATTTTTAAGCTATGTACAAATAATCTAGGATTAAATTCATGACATCGAGCTCGGAAAGGTCACTAATCGTCTATCCAGAAAACAATTGAATGGCAACCTATAATATCTCAATAAAAAATACCAATTAAAACTTGTCTTATTGTTCTATACGGTTAACAATATTTGTATGAAGAAATTGTAAGCATAACAACTGGAATTTTAACTTCCACTCGTTTCAGTCCCTACATTTATTATGTTTTATCTATAAGTTTTCATTCTTAGTTAATAACCCAAATGTACGTACAACACTGAAAGTACAACTCGAAACACTGCAGTTGTCTGGACAGCTCATTAAGAGTTCTTCTAATTAGCTCCTCGTAAAACTAAAGCAGTTTTAAGATTAACAATTTACGATTATTCCCAAGTAATTTTTGTTGTAGGTTTTCTCTAGTTTGTTCATAGAGATGGGAATATAAGAATTCTCCATCTCTATGATTTTTTTCCAACTCTTCGTGAATGCGAGGCTGGGTTTAATGGGCCTAAGCTTTCCAGGCAAATGGAATGTCTAAAGCGAGTTGAAATTAGTTGTATAAAACATGGTAGATGACCGTTTATCATATAATGGGTTACATAAAGCGAAGGATAGAGGCATACAGGATATTTTAGAAATGCATTTAAAAAGCAGATCTATAGATTACAATGTTTCTGGAGAGGAACAAGCAGACCATACAGGACTTATCACTGGGTGTAATTCCCGCCAAGATAAGAAAATTGTACCTTCGAGAACAATTGAAGAGAACCTCATATCTTACACAGCCATAACGGCTGATCCAACTCCGCACGAAGAGCAGTATCTTGGTTTGAAATCCTTTCTGACTGCATGTAATGGAACTTATAGGTCCGATTTGATGCAACTGTTGTTTCCGGTGTTTTCAATTTTCGTGGTGGAACAAATAGAAATGGATCATTTTGTATCCGCACAAACATTTTTCAACAAATATTATAGTGAACACGAAGAGAAATACGAAAAGGAAGTCAATGAGCTTTTGCTGCTGACTAAAAGCAAGGATTTTGTGAATGACAAATCAAAAGTTGCACATTTAAAACAGAAAAAGTGGCGTATTGTTTTATCTAGTAAGATATTTAATTACTTGATTCAGCATTTGCGAAATAATAACCATTCACTTTTACTTCAGACAATAAATAAAAATATAGATATAAAGATATTGGATGACTCAAGACAGGTGGATAATAAAGAATGGACTGAGGTTGATATTCAAAAGAATGATGTAGATGAAATTCCTGGGGATGATGAAGAGGTGAACAAATTGAATGGTTATATTCAGAAAGTGGAAAAGGCTAGCAAGACAAAGCCGTCAATTACATTGTACTCATTTGTGAATTCCTATCAAGGGTATGTTGTATCATTTTTATGCTTATGTAAAACATTGTTGATGCAAAATGACAATTCAACGAGCTAAAGGAACAAATGAAAGTCTGACCAAATTCAGAATTCATCAAAAAAAATTTTTTTTCTACAAAAAGATCCAGGTGTAAGATTCTACAAAAAGACCCAGCTTTGGACTTTTGAGGCCCCCTTCCCAGTTCATAAGGTACCAACCACGAAGAAGGAATTTTCTTTCAATTGTTTGGAGCATAAGATGTGTAAAAAACAATGTAATTTTAAGTAATTTCAGAAGTGCTACCTTTTTTCTCCAGCAGTGCTTTACCTCATAATTATACCTTGCTATCCAAAGAAAGTAAAAACTTATGTTAAATTTTCACTAAGGTATTTTCACGGTATGACATACAAACTTTTGTTTATAAAACTTCCTCAAAGTTTGAAATTTCCAACTCTGATCTTTCCTAACTTTTTAAGAAGCTGTCTGAGCAGTAGCACTACTTTTATCTGAAGCATGTTAGTGTAGAGAAAACTGTAGCAAAATATTTTTGTCTGGAGTTCATATTTTTATCTTTTTAATATTTTATTAAGTTTTTCAGTTTTCACTATTAACATAACATGGAAAATATTTTAAGGATGAACTCCCTTTACTTGAACCAATAAAGGAGAGAGTCTGCCTTTATTTGTTAATATCCTGTGATCCTGAGAAAAGAAATCAGAGGACAAAATATATCCTGCTTATCATTTTGAAGTGTGTGTTGTTAGCACTTGCCTATTCTCAGGAATTTTTTATGTACAAAAGTAGAAACGAAGGCAATTTGTGAATCAGATGTGCAGTATATAATATATTTCAGTAATCAACATTATTAGAAAACCTAGTATAGATTCAGTATTTTGATTTATATTTTTCACATTTTAATATATGTATTTTTTTTAGTTTATCATCTGTAAAGTTTTCTCCAAATGGTAATGTGATTTGTGCTGGATTTGAAGATTCTTCTGTACGGTTATGGAGTTTGAATGTGAAAAAATTTGGACAGCCAAATCCTAAAACATCAAGCATTAAAACAGGTATTTGCCTAGGATCTCTCTGAATTTCATCAAATATTGTTATCTTGAAGTCAGGCCATTAACATCTCCATTTCAAGAATATGATGCTCAAAGGGTACATTTAGACAGTCTCTTGATAGTGCAACAGTTGCTTGAAAACCATAAGAACAATTTGTACATGTAGCACATATTTCCTAAATAGTCTTTAACTCTTACTAGTGTTTTTTCCTTTCTTTTCTTCCCAAAAAATATGTTGTTTCTGATCAAATAATTATTCAAGTTTCAAAATCATGCAATTATTTCAATAAGATGCTTAATTTGACTTTTGCCCAAGGATGAAATAAGGCTAATCTTGGAAAAATAGCAGTTATAACTTATGATATAAGAAGCTATGTGTGAAAATTATGTTAATTGAAACTTCTTTAACTATCATATTCAATTTTCTTAGGTCGATGAAGTATGATCTAAGTTTTGTGACGTTTTATTCTACTTTAGGCTTGCAACATCCCTAGTTGTCTTTTCAAAGAGGACCATCCTGCATAATTTTTTTCTAAAAGTCCCCCCCCCCCCTCTTCATTGTCTGTTCTATGAAATTTTCAAAATGCATTTCATCTCATTAGCTTCATGAAATGTACCCAGTCTGTAATCTACTTGTATTTATACTTGATGTTCTTGGCATGACAGAAAAGAAAATGCCTCGTTTAATCAATTTCATAAACTTTGTGTGATGATTTTGTCTGCTTTCTATATAGCAACAACTTCAACTGAGACATCATCTAATGAAAGCATTGTTTTAAGAGGACATCAAGGATCTGTCTATTCACTCCAGTTTCTGCCTGAAGGCAATGCTTTGCTTTCTGCTTCAGAGGACTGCTCAGGTATGTTAGCTGAGATACACGAATCATAAGTACTTGCAAAAGAGGATCATGTCTCAATTCAGCCCTTAATATACTGTAAGGCTAAGGGAGCTCTTAAGACCCAACCAGGGGCGACACTTGATCAAATATTAGGGGGGCAAGCCTATTGTTTTAATAAGATGACTTCACATTTCCCATTGTTTTAGAACAAAAGACCATTGTCCTCCAAAGTATTGGGGGGGCAGTCGCCCCCCCCCCCCCCCCAAGTGTCACAGCCACTGGACCCAACACATCAAGATTTAAATACCATTTTTAGCAAAATGCCACAAGCCCACTGATAATGCATTCACTAGTTCAAAGGTGTTTAACACTTTCAAATTGGGTCATATTTTGCTCACTGAGTTTGTTCCTTGGCTGCCAAGCATTATTCAGCAATGCCAATGTTCAGCTGTTTTTCTAGACGTTTAACAACCTGTGCTGAGTGTTCTTGGGGCATGTATGTGTTACTAGCAAGTTACTGTTACAAATTGTTTTTTCATAATTTGTTTATATAGTAAAATACAACAGTACCCTATCCCTTTTTACTTTGACATCATCTTGTATTTCTGTCTTGTCTGTGTCCAAATATCAGATGAGCAGAATGTTCTTTGAAAAATTCAGAAAAAGGACAATTATTAAAGCTATTCATTGGGTTATGAGTGAAATTATTGCAAAATATTTATTAATATCAGTACTGGGTAAGAATCATATTTTAAGAGTTTAGTTATATTTTGTGGCTTATACTAACAAAGTGAGTAATGGGGAAAATGCAGTGAATTCTCCAAATCACCTGTTTGAGAAGCCTGTTCTTCTTTACTAACTCTGCCACAATATCTGGCTCTTGAAATTCTCAGCCCCACCGCAACCCCTCTTAATTTTACTATTAGAGCTTTTTGAATTCCTTACATGTGTCTCCTGCACTATAGTTTATTTTCATGCCTCCAGTCTTTGTTTATCTTCAAAGACCAAATGCTGCTCGGATTCTTGAATTTTCTCCCTTTCACACAGTTAAATCCTTTATATATATGATATATATGATAAAAATGTGCATTTTGTTTGAATAGTTCGTCTTTGGAGTGTACAGTCACAAACATCCATGGTTGAATACAAAGGCCATGACAGCCCTGTCTGGGACATCAGTTCTGGCTGCAAGGGCTCATACTTTGTTTCTTCATCGAAAGATCATACCATTCGCCTGTGGGCAACTGAATATGCTTTTCCACTGAGGCTATTTGCAGGACATCTCAACAGTGTTGATGTAAGCATGTATAGTATTTACGATGGTGTTCGTAATATGAGTGTTAAAACTGCAGCAAATGTAAAGGCGTATGTTTGATTTGAAAAGATACGACTAGTTCGATTATAGCACCAAGATTTACTTTCACCCCCGATGAAGTCATCTTTGATGATTTTGACTACCTAAGAAATCATTTCGAAAAGAACGCCTTTTCCTTTGGCTTGCGTTTGGAATACGTCTGGTAAATTAAATTATCGCCAGACCCGCACATCTTTTGAAAATTAGGCCTATTAATTCACGAAAAAGCGAAGCGGCTGTAATTTTGGTTTCTGTTGCATAAATTCTAGGCTTTCATTTACTGCTTGCTTAGCTATCATAGTTATATAATGCCAATAATAACAATCAGCACAAACACTGGCATGGGCCTGCGATTATAGACAAAAACGCTTACCTTTTATAACTATTCATAGGTAGTTTTGAAAGTGGGGTTATAGTTTGTTCTAACGTACTTGTCATAGCTTCTGAAACGTCAGAATGAAAAAATGTATTATTTGTTTTATAACCATGAGATAAATCTAAGAAAGAGGTGAAATGATAAATGCATATCATTTCTGTATAGACAAATATGTTTTTAGAGGCATTGCTCAAAGTTTGCATCGTTCGGTGTATGGTGATTTTTTTTCTTTGAACCTGGACTTCATTTCCCTAACGTAAGAGCATTTATCCCCACAAATATAAGAATTTTTCCTAAGAAAATATTGTAAATCACTTATGTTGGTAATAAACTCGCCAAACAAGTGTTTCTTATTCTTTCCACTGATCTCTTTTTCAGTGCGTTCAGTTTCATCCAAATGGTAATTATGTTGCGAGTGGATCGGCAGATAGAACATGCCGGTTGTGGGACCTTCAAAGTGCACAGTTTGTCCGAGTTTTTGTTGGGCATGACGTAAGATTCGATATGCATTTTCTTCCTACGCTCTTATCCTAATAACCTAGAAAGTAAATCTTTTGCCAATTCCTTTAAAATGTTACCCTTTCAACTACAGTCACTGACAGAACTCCTCGGAGCGCCCTGTTGCTTAAGTGTTGTTTTAAAGCATATTATTGTTTTCTGGTAAAAAAGCCTGACATTGCATTCCCATCCAACAAAACAAATTTGGTTGTAATGTTAGATATCATAGTTGTCTGAAATGAATCAATGGAAACACACTAAACCTCTTAAATTTACACAAAACAATACTGTTGGGAGGGGAAAGGAGGATGCAGTATGAAATATTCAAAAATTTAGTGTAGTGTACCAAGGTTTGTAGTGCAACGATTGTAGGATATCCCGGTTAGAAATATGGTCCGTGATTTTCGTTCTGTCTTCTCTATAGATTAATCCAAGGGCATGCTTCTCTTACTAGTAATGTACCCTGCATTGTACATTATCTTGAAATAGCTTTATTTTAACATGAAATAAAGTTTTATTTACGTATCGTTAAGGCATGGATCCTTATTGCTCACATTATTGTTTAGGCTCAAATTTCTTTGTAGATGCATAACTCTGTTGCGTTTTCCCCATTTTTTATCTATGGCACCTGTCGTTCGGTCTTACTTCCATTCAGATGTTGTCATTTTTCAAAAAATCCTTTATCATGTGTAGAAATATAAAAACACTCGTGGTAGATTGTGTCTGTAGCAAGATTCGTTTATGGTATCGAATCGAGTGGCATTGATTTCTTTTAGGCCCCAATATACAGCATTGCATTCAGTCCGGATGGGACGCATCTGGTATCAGCTGGTGATGACAACAGAGTTCTAGTATGGGACATTCGTAATGGCAAAGTTTTAAAGGACCTACGTGGACATACTGATACCCTTTACAGCGTGGCATTTAGCAAGGACGGATCAATGCTAGTGTCTGGCGGGCTTGACAATAGTATTCGCGTTTGGAATGCAGAGGCGATTATAAAACATGGAACATCAGGGATGGCCACCAGTGACAGCCTGTATCACTTGATAAGTGCGTATTCAACAAAAGCGACAAGTGTCCTTGAATTGCATTTCTCGCAAGGCAACTTATTGTTGGCAGCAGGGCTCCATGAAACTAGGTAATTTTGTATATATATATATGTAAAATGAACCGATAACTTAGTATATTTTGTACTATTTATCGTAACTGGCGTGACTATTTACCAGACCCCAAAGAAGGCGACATCGAGAATCATTGTAAATCATTTATATGCAGAGGACTTTCTCGCAAGTTTGTATAAACTAGATTGTCGAATTTCAAGCCCCACCTTCTTTACGCACCCAAATGGACTGCAGCAACTAAGAGATACTAGAGCTGTTTCATTTTACAATTATGACTCACTTAGACCCCGTTTACACGGGAAAGATCCAGGCCGGGATCGATCCAAAACTGGTACGGATCGGCGGCCTTCCGTTTACACGCGAACGCTCTGGATTGATCCGCTATCCGTGCTAATTTGGGTTCGCTTTGGAAAGCGTTCCAATTTGGGATCGATCCAGTTTGGGATCGATCCCGTCTCGTGTAAACGCTCGAAAAGGTTGAATCGATCCCAAATTGGCACGGATAGGAAACGAGGCTAATAAATTTTCCAATTGGAGGTGCTTTGAACATGGTGCTTCGAGCTTTTTTCTATCAGATTTTGCGCGCCTTCTCGTTTCTCGCCCACCAGAAGAGAAAAACAAAACAATATGGAGGAATTTTTTTACAACTTAACAACTTTTTGGGGAGATTGTATTTGAAATGATCTTAAAATTCCTACCAATCTTAACACTTTTGCGGGGTCTTGTCAACCATGTTTTCCCACATTTTTGTCCACTATTAAATGCCTTATCTTACACCCTTCTTATGTTCTGACATTGATTTAGCAGTTTCCACCCCATCTTTACATACAATGGTGTCTACTAAAGCATTTCATCTTATACAATAGCAGCATTTATCTTTAAGACATCACATCAATGTAAGACACCAAGTTCCAATCTACCTACACTCTTATAAATGAAAGCTTCTCAAAACTGAGGACGTTTTGTCTAAAGTTAGTGTCTTACGTAGGCTTTGCCGTATTTTGTAACAAATGATTAAGGTTGAAAAGTTCTTCATCCCTTCAATCGAAAATACTGTTTTCAAGTTAGCCAAAGGGGACAGCCTGTAGAATTTAGTGATGCCTTTACCTAAAGAAATCTAACTAAATTTCCTGTATGAAACTGATTAACTTGCGATTTTATATTAACCAATATTTATATTCGTATCAGAAACTAATTCACGACTCTCTCATTCTCTTGTCTCTCACAAACTTGAAAGTCGTTGTAGTAACCACTGTCGAAAGTGATCACAATGACTTTTGGAGTTTGTAGCAAAATGCTTTGGTTAGAATAAAGAGCGGGGGTCGGGATGGTCTTTAGAATCCAAAAATGATTTACGGTAGAGGGGGGGGGGGGCATTTTCCCCGACCTCAAAATATGTCTCCAATATTAGCAAATGTTTAATAGCATGCAGAATTAAGATGACAACGAACACCTCCCAATTACAGACATTTGTTGTTTCCCCGGTGTCCGCCATGCATTGTAAATCGGCGCTAGTGGTACAGAAATTTTAGCAATTGTGTATTCGTCCATTGTGAATCATCTTTGCCAATGAAATATTTGTAAGTCCCATGTTTGTATCAGTTGCTTTACTCCGAAGCGCCTTGGGATTTGAATATACACGAAGATGAAGGAATGCCATTTTTGAGAAAAACTAAGCGTAGATTCATTCCAGTGAAGTTTTCCTTTTTACAAGTAAGACGTGTGGCCTAGCACAGAAATATCTTGAGCGAGCAACCCTGTTAAGTTGACTGCAGCCGAAGTAGAAGAATTTCCTTGGAGTGACGAGGTTCTACTGACTGCTTAAGACAAGGTAATAGAAACTCTTATCATATGGCATTTTTTTACTCAAATGTAAATACAACGGTGTGTGGTGTCCGCTCTATGCATAGCAAACACTGTTATGATGTACTGTGGTTGGACACTCTGATACTCTGAACTGTAAGTGATAAGTAGACAGTGCCGTCGTAACGAAATTCATATTAGGGGGGCTGCCCATTATATTGCTTCTCATTCAATACATTGTTATAAAGGAAATATACTAAAGTTGACAATTAATGGGGGGCTCCAACCCTGCTGCTTTTGACAGCCCTTAGTATAATGAATGCCACTTTTTCCGTGGCACAGGCTTGATTACAAAACCTTTTTTATGACATACGCGTATCGCATCAAACAACCACAACAAACCATTAAGCCAAACTCTAAAAGTAGAGTTTTTAAAGACCGAAAGATTTGCGATGTTAAGTAACCGATATTATTATTAAAATGCTATTTCTTGTTAGATTTTTTAGTTCTACCTAAGCATCATTATCATAAACATACCAGCATATCCCCTTAGGGCACCTGCTGTTGAAAGATAAGCCTCAGCTCAGGGGCTCAAAATAAGTCATTTGGGGGACCTGCCAGGATAAATTGGGCCGACTTGATACACAAGGGACCGACTCTTCAAAACCAATCTAAGCACAAGCAGAGAAACGTAATAAAAATGAATGAAGCATACGTTTGAGGAAATACGAAGAGACCCCGCGCTGTGGTAAGATGGGTAATTCTTTGTCCTTAGAACTGGCTGTCATTTGGTACTTTTGAGGGGAATGTAAGGACGCCAAAAAAATTATTTACCTTTGTTTTGCTTAACTTGTTCTTTGGGATCATTTTTTAACCATACTTCAACCAAAACTACCAGTACAAATCTTTGATGTGGAGGGCGGCCGTGAAGGGGCATACAGGCTTGTCCCGAATGCGTACCATATAAGGGGGTCTAGGCGCATGCTTCCCCAAAATTTTTGATTTTCCTGCGTCCTCCTTCCCCCTGCTGGCATCCTAGAGGCCTATAAACCCGATAACTTGGTTGTTTAATCGATTCTTTCTGGTTCCGTCCCAGGGACAGCAGAAGCAGGAGGACTACAAGGGCTTTAGCCCCCTAACAATTTCCAAATGTACTTAAAACCAAACATAAATCGCCCTGCTCTTGTTTATTAGCATGTTCAGACGCCCCCAAAATAATTTTTTAGCCCCCTCAATCTGTAATTTGCTCAAGTCCTACTGTTATTGCAAGTCACTTCCACCAACTTACAGTCTTATGTGCATTGAATAACTAGAAACAGCGCTGAATCAAAGTGTATGCAAATCTAAAACTAAAAGCAAACCAACTCTTAATGAATACCAACACTTAACAAGTTCCTAAGTAGCTTCTCTTTCATGGAAGAGGCTTGATCTCTTTTTCTGTAAGTCAATTGAGTATTGTTGTAAAAGTTTTGTGAAGTTTGACAACTGTTGCATTGTTAGTTAGTTAGGATAGGAAGAGGGGAATTGTATAATTAGCTACAGTTTTGTTTCAAGCTAATGGGGATATCATTTCTCTGTCAGTGGCTGACAGATTATAGTTTAAAGTACAAGATGATACAAATTTCACTTTATTAAGTGACCCCCCCCCCCCAGCAGTTGTTATTTTCTCATCTTACAAATGTTTCTCTGATTATTGTCAATCAGTGACTCAATGAGAGATAATTCAAATTTGCAAAGTTAATATCTGTTGTCTTTGCTGTGCAATTTTGTTCCATTTTCATACAAGTTTTATAAATATTGGAGATCATATACAGTTATTTTTCTTTTGTTGCCAAGTATTAAAGTGTTTCTGCTTGACAGAGAATATTTATGTAACAACTGTTAAAAATTCAAAACTTTTTTTCATTTCAACAAAGCTAAATTTTGCTTTTTTATAACTAAGACTGATTATAACATTTCAACACATGGATGGTAAGCTACTGCTACACCTGGGACTTTGAATCCACTAAGCATGGGGTGCATCTTTTTATTTCAGTAAGTGGCATGCTTAGCTCCTGGAACTCAATTATAAAGCTAATACTGAGAGGTGAAATAGTTTGCTTAACTGATCTATATTGCTCTTTGTCCACTTTATGACTAGAATGATAACATGAATCAAGTGCATTGTATTCCTATGCATTATCTTCCATGTTATTTTAACATAGGGGGCAAATTTTTCATCATCAAGCTCTAAAAAATTTTACCCCTTAAACAAAAATATTTCATTTTTGTTTGAAAAAATATTTGTTTCTGGTAAAAAATCCCCTGACACTGCATCCCCTTTGCTGCCAAAACAATGTTGGTTGCAGAATTAGATATTAAGGTTATCTGAAATGAATCCACCGGACTACCCCAAAACATTTGTATGTGCATAAATCAACTTATGACCACAGAAACAAAAACTAATCAACAGAGTATCAATCTGCTGTCACAACTCTCAAATCATAATTTAGTTATGGTTGAAGAGGCATTGTCACACACAAAAATAATGATGGAAATTATTTGAATCCATACATAAACTCTTTAAGAAAACGCAATATGCCTGCTATCATTGTCAGGTTTACTAGCAAAAATAAAATTAAAAATTTGTATAGGATACTAAATATTAAATATCTTAACAAAACACAACAGTTTATACTGTTTTAGTTTGATTTTACAAACAGTCAGAGCTACTTGACCCAGAATTATCATCATCTAATGAGGCATATAATGCTTTGTTGCGCCTTACAAGAAAGGTTGGCTTCTGGCTTGGTTCATCAGAAAACTCATCACTTGAATGCTTTCTTTTCATTTCTTTAGATTCAGCTTGTGAATCAACCTCTGAAGATTTTGAGAAACTGGTACTACTCAATGCACTTTCATCTCCATCATCCGATGAATCATCATCTAATGATATCTCACTGGGATCACCTGCAAAATTTGGTATCTCATTAAAATCATCTGAACTGCTAGAATCAAGGTCAGATGATGTGTCTCTTGATCCAACTTTATTGGAGTGACCATAATTCTCTGTTTTCCTTATAATTGATATATTACATGGATTTTTTATATCAAGCTTTTCACACAGTTCCATAGTTTGGTTATTACTGTTGCCAGATTTTGAATTTGAGCTATTTGTTCTCTCAAAGTTCTGGGGTATGGATAGGTCTTTAAATGTCTCTCTAATCTCATTGATCTGTTTATCTGTTATCCTGTATTTTTCAAGTTCTTCATCGTTCCTTGGAACCCAAGTGGCACGGGATGTTGCATTATACAGTGTATATGTTGATTTTGTCACTGCTAACCATTCTTCATCATATTGGAGCTCTTTTTTCCCAGTTGATGGCCCCATATCTATGACTTGCAAAAAGTTCCTGTTTGGTAGACATTTATCCAAGGCCAGAAATTTTGTAAATGTCTTTTCTCCATCACCATTTTCTTTGTGTTCAACAAGAGCAGCAAATTTCACATGTAAATGGGCAGCAAACCAAAAAGATGGTTTCAATGCCTTCAAAAGCTCTAAGCAAGCTGGGCTGCCAAGTCTTTTGCTTTCAACCTCCTCTCTGAAAAATCTTTTTTTCCTAAGAAGATCCTCAACATCACCATAGTTATATACATTTTTGGGCCAATCATGACTAATAAATATATCTAAATGTTCCTTAAGCACTTTCAGCTTGAAAACTTCGTAGCTTCTTGTATGATAGATGCTTCTCATTGTGCTATCATTGAATGGGGGCATTTCAAAATGTCCCTTATAAAAGTCGTGGTCTTTGTATATCCCTGATATCCCACCTATCTTAAATCCACCATAATTAACCACGCCTGCATAACCTAAATAGTAAATATTTGGTGCAACCCATCCACCAAAGGGAAGCTCCCAGAGGTGCTTCGATGCCTCGTGGTTACCCCCAATAAACAGGGTAAGAACTGGGGCAGTTTTCACCCCTGAGTAATAATCTTTAAACACACCCATTTGTCTGTATTTTGGCGGGACGGCCATTGATAGAAGGTCTTCATGATCTCTAACAGCTTGAAAATCACCACAGCATATCAGTAAATCGATCTTCTTGTTTTTTGCTGTCTGAATGTACTGCACTGTTTCATAGATTTTTTCTAGCTCCCCGTGGCAACATCCTTGCACAGCTATGCATACATTTTCACCGCAAGCATCTTCCTCAGCTTCAGTCAGCAAGCAGCCAGCGTCAGGTGTTGCTTCACCAAATTGTGATGCTTTCTCATCAGACATTATCTTAGGTACGGTAGGCAGGTATCTTTTTAAAAACTTCGAGTTGCTTCCAAAAGTACAGGACCCTTCGTTATGATAACACAAAATAGGCCGACCACCTGACATAACAAAACAAATCTCCTAACCAAAACGAGGGTTGGCTCGGAGCCCAGTAGTGGTGGATAAGTACAAAGATTGGGGAATTGTCTAGTTTCCATACAGCCCGATCTGATATTCATAAATAAGCATAATTGATAGTCATAAATTAGTATGATTAATTATTTCAAGTAAAGAGTTAGGGTTAGGGTTAGGGTTAGGTTTAGGGTTAAGGTTAGGGTAAACTAATTACGTCATCAGGTCGAGCAGTATGGAAACTAGACAGCTCCAAAAGATTGGATGCAAATTAACTAGGTACCTATTTGAGGTTCAAATGACATATAGAATAGAAAGAAGCTTGCGACCGATTAGGTGATCAATTTTATATTACCTTATGTTTCTTTTTTGTGTTTTTTTGTGTTTCTAAAAAGTAGCTCTTTAAACCTTTGTATTTAAGAAACCATACAGGATCTTTTAGTGCCAAAACCAACAAAAAGATGAAAAAGCTGAGTACTTATCTTGACCTTTGTTTTGTATTTAAAAATGCGTATTGTCAGCATAAAAAGAAAATTAAGAACACTTTTGTAGCCCAGAATATACCATCAATAACCTTACTGTAATAGCATTACTGAAACTCAACGAAAAACAAGAGAGTGTCCGACGAGCCAAAGAGCAATACCTCAATGGCCTGGCAAACACTCTCACAGTCACACCCAACGGCATGAACAGCACCACTGACCGTTAACCTTACAGCCACATTGTCATTATTTAATATCATAGGACTCAGGAATGTGCTGATTGGGGGGCGTGAGGGGGCGTCACGCCCTCCCCAATGTCTGCAAACTTTTAGTTGGTCATGCAGCGGGAACCTTAGCATTAATTAGGAGGTTTGACCAAATTTCAACCTATATTTCATTCATTTTATTGGTCATGGTTGGCCATAGTCAATTTTCTTTTTCGTAATACACTCTTTTTTATAAGAACAAATTTTATAAGACAAATTAAGAACAAGCTGAGGCTGAGTTACTGTATAATGCAATTTTGAACAACGCTTTATGTAAAAAATGAGGACTTTTAGCCATATGTGGGTTCTTTTTCGGTAAATATTCAAACCTCTGGGCAAATGAAGGCTGTCTCACTCAATTTGTTAGCAATAAGGCCTAAACACCATTCTTGAGCGAAAATGCTAACAATCGCACTGCTTACAACCTATTAATTTAAGAACAAGTTAAGAGCAATTTTTAGGCGGTACAGAATTTGAATATGGCTTATAAAAACGCAAACATTTTACGACATACTAAAAGCTTTTTTGTCTGACACTCCTCACGGCATAAAACGTCAGAATAAGGGTTATTTCGGACCTTTATTCTAACGTTTTATGCTCTGAGGAGTGTCAGACGAAAAAGCTTTTAGTATGTCGTAAAATGTTTAGTTTTTTTCAAAGCCATTTTCAAATTAAAAACAATCCATCCTGATGTTTTTAGAAAAACAGTCAACCTGAACTCGAATTTACTGGTTCGTACAAAAAAAGTGTATTGCAAATAACTTGCTATAAGGAGCAAGCTAACGACTCTTACGTGTTTCTTATAAGAAATGACTGCAAGAAATAACTGCAAGAAGTTTTCTGAGATGCATTCTTAGCTAATGTGAAGGGTGTGGTCGCAAACATTTTCTGCTCGCAGGATCTCCGTCTTTCCATTTTGCCCTAGAGCCTCTGAAACCTCTCGGTGGTCTCCACCCACATTTGCCCTTTGATTCTTATAAAAATTTATAGATTATAGGACATTTTATATGCTGAAGTTATTGTTATGAGGAGCTCATTTTTGCAGATTTCCTTAAAATTGGCTTTTCGCAAAAAGATGCTCATGGTTTCAACCAAACACGCAAACTCCAGGAAAATAAGTTTCCACAAACTTAATTTTCTAATACTTTCATGCCACCATTTGCTCTTATTTGTTATCATTAAGTGTGTATATGATCATCTATTTAATTGTTAATGAATTTTCTATAAAGAATTAATCGGTCAAAAAAGTAAAATTGGTCACCTTTTTTCCGAACCCCCCTCAAATACAATTGTCTAGGCACATCACTGATAGTACTTCATCCTCATTACATTTTCATTCCACCACCCACACTCTCTCATTCGCCACACTTCCCTCCTCCACCGCTGCGCCTGATTCACACCATTCCACATCAGCCAATCCGACACCACCATCTTGTTGGGGAGACGAGCAAGAGAAAGTTTTTTAAAAAGTGAGGCAACCCTCCGTCATGGAGTCAAAGAGCATGCGCACAGAACGAAGTTATTATTACGCATGCTCTCTGAATCCAGGACGGAGGGTTGCCTCACTCATTTGAAGACTTTCGCTCGCTCGTCTCCCCAACAACATCTCTTTTAAATGTGTACATTTTTAGTCTGTTAACTTTTGTTCTGATGAAGTCCCGTATGCAGGGGCGAAATATTAGCCTTCACTATTTTTTTTGTTCATTCTCGGCGCATTGCGGTGATTCTTATTTGCTACATTTTGAGAGAAAGATCGTTTTGTATTTGCTCACATTTTCATGAAACATAAGTAATGAAGAACTACACGGGACCTGTTTTATTTTCCCGTGATGGAGAATCTTAAAGATATTTGAACTGAAGTCAAATCATGCGTCCACATTATCTAATTTTTTTTTAAATTATGTAGGATACTTTCCGACGATCAAAGAAGCTTTGAAATATTATTTGATGGTCTTACAAAGTCTTAGGAGCTTGGGCAACTTGCTTTCTTCTTCTATGTTGCACTTTGATGAATTAGATGTAACAAATACTTTAGACAGTGGTGTCGCCAGCTACTAGACCGAGAGGGGCGGGGGAGGGAGCAAACAAAGCAGGTTAAACCACGCCCTTCTTACTGCCAGAAAACTCCCTTTTTGCTAAATCGAACGCAAATTTTACCAATAGGAAAGGCCCATGGCTAAATTGTGGTTACGTATAGGTTGTTTGAAAATTATATGAAACAAATCACAAAGAATACCTTTCAAATAAATTACAACTCTTATCAAATCTTCTTATCAAATTTAGGCAAAATACAAAATCGATCTTGCCAAGACCTGGTTTACGTGTTCCCTTGCCCCCTAAAGTACGCCCATAAATAAAGAAATGTAGGTACCATAAGTTGCTCAATAAGTTAAATCTGTCTTAATTTTACTAAGATGCATTCAAAAATGTCGAAAAACTTCTCTGCTTAATGACGTCATCACCTAAGTCAGTTATTTTCATCCGTAAAGATTTTATCTTACTTCGTCAACGGTCTACCCATCCAGGCTATGCAGACAAAGCAATCGAGAAAAAGACACCACAACAAACATTTGCTTTGAGTTTTACAAGTTATATAAAAGACGGATTGAACTTAATTACATACAAGTTAGCAATCTAAAAATATGAACAAGCCACAACCTTGAAAAGGATATGATATTTGGTGGAAGATTACAGACTTCAACATTTTACAAAGCAGTAGATTTGGCTTTTTCATTTTCTGAAAATATGGTTCTTGGCCGCTATAATCTTTCACCAAGGCTTTAAAATATTTTCTTACATGTCTTTTGCACTATCAAGGCTGCTTTATCAGAACATGACTAGATACATAAATAGGAAAATGGTATTTTACAAAAAGTAACAGCTTTAATGAACGAAAAAATTTGCTTTATCTTGAATTTCCCAATGTCAAGTGACAATCGACCGACAAATAGTACAACGTATAACGTAATTCAGCATTTGTTACATTATAAAGTGATTGTTTTTTACATTTTCAACACCATCGTTTATTTTGACTCTGAGAAATACGTAAGGTGCTGTGATGGGCTAGCTTTCTATCACTGAGGTAATAATAAATTCATTCAACTCTTAAGAAGTTATTTCAATGAAATCGTTACAGACATAGCATTATAATCTGCTGACAAAATCTAACGTAAAAACGCTTTTCTTGAAAACAAGACATCTGGAATAGACCAACATCTTCCAAAAAGACAGTCTTTGGTGCTAAGAACATGTCAAATCTGGACGAAAAAAAAAGTAATAATAAGAGTTCCGTAATACCCTCTATGTTCACAATGCATTATCGAACTATTGTAACCAATATTATGCTGAAAAAGTATTCTCTTATTGTGCTTTGTATAACGATAAATAGCAAGTCAAAATATGAGCATTTTTAAACAACATGTTGTGGGGGCAAAGAAGGCACACCTCCTTGAGCTGGAAATATACACTTCAACTGTTTATGAAAATTGAAGGGCACGTGCTCTCTGTGCCCCCAGGTTTCTATGTCCGTGTTAAAAGGGATCCTTATAAGGTAGCTGTTATAAGCAATGATAAACAGCATTACCAGATTTTTTCAACTGAAATTTTCGATTTCGTAGACTGTTAGTGCTATGATAAGAATAATATATCAGCTATTCTAATGGAAATCCGGTCCATTACATGTAAAAATTCAACACAATTCGATAAACACCTGATGTGCTACCAATACTGAGATTGTCACCTTAAATAGAGAGCCATGCCTTAAATGGAGAGCCTTGCCTTATAAGGAAACCAACGCCACATACGTATAAAGCGAGCAACATACGTAGAATGAAATTGAGCCCCTCACCTGTACAAAAATTGTTCGAATTTCCCCTTAATAAGCATTGAAAGAGTCTTTATAAACTTTAAGTCCGTCTCCTAGCGTTCCATCAGGTGTAACTGCCATTTCTAAAAGTGATGCAGCATCTGATCCACCGTTGACCATACAATGTACTACAACCTTTGGTCTTGCGGTTGGATTACCGGGGACGTATCCCTCTCTAAAGAGGACAGAATCAGAACGTTTAGAAATGAAGTACCTGAAAAGGACATGCAAGGAAGCACTTTCCCTGCCTTTCAAGCAAATCTTGAATGACAAATAGAAATCAATAATGTTTCTTGTTTACAATTCAAATAATTTTACTTAATAAATGATTAATGAAATTTTTAGAAACATACCTGAAGTAAACATTGTTAACAGTAGTCATTGGTCCAAGTACGGTTTGAATCTGTTTGAAAAATGCGAATATTTAATGTAAGGAAATGAATGGGCAGAATAATGCTCCAAGTTTGTTGATATTTCCAAGTTTCAAAAATATAAATTTTTTTTGATGATTTCTGTGCTCCGTTTTGATCGTGAGCATGTCTCATAAATAGTCCTTACTTACAGTCTATTATCATTTGAAGTGGAATTTGTTTTTTAATGTTCAACTAGATTATATAGTTTTAAACCCCCGCAAAATTTTTAAAATATAATGCTATACTGCCTTTCTTGGCTCAAATTATGGGTTGGGAGCCGCTATTAAAAATCTTATATTTGACACTAGATCTTATAAACGATTAAACCATAAAAAGAATCAATTTCTCTTAATTCCAAGTTCATGCACCTATTCACTAACTTTATAAAAGTTCTGACCAGCCCTCATGCAGTAGATTAAAGAGATACAGCCATTTAACATATTAAACATTTTTGCATAAAGCAATTACAAAAGGCTTAAGGAAACATCCTTGTGGCAATTCGCGTCAAAAATATCCGATAAAACAGTATAATCAACAATACGATTCATCAAATCTACGTTCTTTGCAAGAAATTTATCAACTAGATATTCATACTGTACTCATTTACTTACAGCTCTTCGGACGTTTCCTTCGAGTATTTGGAAAGCTGCAGTCATTGAGTCAAGATACTCTGGGTTCCACTTTTGCATTAATTTGAATGTGATTTCACCTAATCAAATAGCAGGAAACACAGTTGGTAAATCTTCCAGGAAGAGACAAGGTAAGAATATACGTTCATTCTAAAAGGTTCAGTGAGAATTTTTTTGCGAGAAAGAAAATAAACTAATCTCCCCATTTTTTGTTCTTGGGACTTCTATTTCCATTTGTTTTACCTCACGACCAGAGTCTCTGAAGGGGAATTTGAGATGGAAAGCCTCTACTTTACATTTTACACCTACATTAAGAATATTCTCAACATTATTCTGAAATTATTCGTAACTCATTTAAGGACAGTTTGAACAGGTCTTTTGAATTTCGATTCTGATTTCTGGATGGTGACTAAATACTCTTCTTTATTCGGCAACTGAACTTTGTAAATTTCAAAAAATTGTAACGGGAACGTATCAAGCATTTGATAATTAGAAGAGCATGTTTTTCGACGCAAAATTTTTCTACATGAAGTAAATAAATCCCACTAGGGATACTTGAGATATCATGAAGTTTAAAATCAAACAATCAACAACTATCGATGAAACATTATTGTAAAAGCTGGTCCTTTGACTACGTGGGCTTAGCGGATGTAAAATGTTTTGGAGTTTAATTTCTTGCCTGAAAACCATCGCTTTATTAAGACAAAGCTACCCGCATAGAGCCTAAAATGGGGTGAATGTTGCCTGATTAGAGAGGATCAGCCCTCCCTGCTTCTATGTCTCCTTGGTCCATGTTTGACTACAACAGAGGAATTTTCAATATGCAGGTTGATTATGGCTTCAATGCCACTTAGAGTATGTTTACTAGAAGATGGTAGAATACATACACCCTTTATGCCTCTGATTATAAGCTCGAATGGTAAGACAAAAAAACATAAATGACCCATTGTATTGTAGGACATATGATCTGTACTTATCTACAATCCCGGACAAAAATGGTTGAGACTTTTCAAGGAAAGCTTATATTTTCATTTTCCTTTCAAAAATAACTTCCCCCCTACCCCAATTGAATGTTGAATGCATGATTTTGAAGGAGAAATGATAGAACTACAAATCCAGCATTGATCCGGGGGGGGAGGAGGGAATCAAATTTATAAGGGTGACATAAAGTAGAAAATTGCAGAAATTGCATTTTGTCTCAATAATTTTGTCCGGGATTGTAGTTATGCATTGTGGTTAAATTCTCAATAGATTCCTTCTTCGATGAATCGATTACTGTAGTAGATAAATATATTAAAACTTACCTGGATATGGTGCAAAAACGATAGGCTGGTTTGGTGGCATCTGACCAGGCTGGCAAGGGTTCATGCAAGTTGGTGCTGGCATGCAGCAAGGTGCAGGTGGTGGGGGTGGGGGCATCATCATTGGTGGGCATGGATTCGAGCATGAAGGCCCAGGGGCACAACATTGTGGGTCTGGAAAGGGGTATGGGTACGGGAATGGAAAGGGAATTCCTAAAAGGAAGTATATTGAATCAATAAAAAAAGAATGCAAATCAAAATGTTATGATAATGGTATAGGTATTTGATTTATGTCAAACTGAAAGATATCTGAGAGCTTGTTCAATAGCGTTCTGTTATCTGACGAAGCATTTGAAGGAAGTCAACAATGCCTTTCTACAATCTGCAGCATACACATTAAAACGTATAGTGTTAATTGATATTACGATTTTTTAATATCTTTTATTACCATCAGTCGACACAAAAAACGTATCCAGTCTTTAAATGCAGTTTAGAAAACCACATCAGACTATACTCGAGACGAGTCTAAGAAAAGCTTCTTTGTGTGAGGTTGAATGGAATACATGGATAAAGTTAATTGATAACATTTGTAACATACCCTTGACTGTTGCAAGCAATAATGCGGACACTAATGTCCTGACGAAGACCATTTTGTTTATCTGAAATGGAGCAGTTTATTGTTTGTTCATTTGTTACTTTTATACGGTGAAAGTGTCTGGCGAGAATGAGCGTCAAATGGTGTATAATATTTTTTCAGAGTATACGAAGTACATTGGCACAGGCGCTCTAATTGGACCAAAAGCACTTTACAAAATAAGGTAATTCCAAGCAAGTAAACAATTTTTTATGAATTGTAAATTCAGTTTATAGTCAAATCGTCAATTTTCAAATAACAACATTTTACTTTCTACAGTATTTCAGTATTAGAGGGTGTCACTATTACGCCATAAGACGATCAAGCTTTGCTTGTGCTGTTGTTTATAGGAATCATGTGCTTGTCTCCTTGCTATTTTCTAAAATCACTGCGTATCTGCTTTTGCAGCTAAGTGGTACTTTACAATGAAGGTATCTCTAATGTTAGTAATTGTTTAAAAACTGCCCAGGAACATATATCTTGAATCGGTTCAAAAGGAGTTTACAACATCCAAAAATTCTTCGATCAACTATAATTTTTTAGCTCTGATATGGAAAAATAATGATGATGAATATAAAATAAGAGGCTGGAGCTTGTCGAGGTCAAGAATACAGAACAAGCATTCAGTAGAACTGAAATTACGAAAAAGGCCCCAGAGAGTCAAATATCGGGTTACCAACTCAAAAAATCAAAACCCGAACATCTGCTTTATTCAGCTATTTCAGCATCTGTCCAAGTTGATTTCTGTGTTCTCTTTAACATAGAAACAATATATCCACTTAGGCCCTTTCTAAGAAACTAGAGGCCCTTTTTGCATTTCATGACTGGACTTGATAGTTATATGATGATAATAATAACGAAACTTTATCGTCTAATGTTTATTAGTGAAGCTTCCTCGTCTAATGTTTTCCTAAAGTCGCTGATTTCTTAAAATGTTTTTGCTACAACTAGGCCTACCCAAACTGCGGTCAGTTTCCAAATATCTAAAATTGTTTGCAACGCTAGTAGACATATTTACCGTTTGATAAAATGAAATTATCATAATCTGTCATAGAAAAAATACTTTTTTAGCCATTGCTTCTAAACGCTTATGCATAAGATGATTTTCATTCACAAATTCAAACAAACATTCTCAATCTTACCTTTTATTTTTCCGTTATTTAGCCTCTTTTTTCCGATGCAACTCAAAATTTCCCCTACCGAAAATCTTTTGTCACGGTTCAAATATTCTGTGAAAAGTTGCGACCGGCTTGTCTACTGGAGCGTTCGATGCAAAACATCGCATCATTTCTTTTTCGGACGGCAGCTTTTCCAAGTGATCAACGGGGAACCAATCAGAAACAACGTAACTCATTGAGCAACCAATCACCGCCTTTGCTAGTCATTGGGTAGCCAATCAGAAAACAGTGGATCAGTAGTATGAATCATTGGCTTCATTAATTATTCAGGAACTTGGTATTCAAGACTCTTGACCCCATCAATTTATGTTCAGAGGTTGCAAACAATACAATCTCGCTTAATAAACATTCGACAAACTAACAAGGACTAAATTGGCTTTTAAAAAGTTACAAGAGTCGTTTTCTTATTGTTGCGGCGAGGATGTAATGCTGCGTCGTATGTTGTAAACTTGAACTGATTAATAGTCGGCTCAGCTTAATAGTTCATATCAGTTCATCCAAACAGCAATGTTGAAATTCCAAGGATGTCTCTTCATTATCGTTTTAATTTTCATTAGCCGTGTAATTTCCAAAGGGTACAAGGCTGTTCGGTTCTAGCGATTCATGCATAATCAATAGTAGGCCATTATATTAGCTTTTGGGTATTAAAAAACAAAAATCCTACTTATACTAAGAAATCTAATCTTTTTTGTAATACAAACAGATATTCTGTAATATCAGCCTTACCCTTGTTGAGAAGGAGTCTTGGAAACTGTTGCTTCTGTATAATACATTATGCCGTTGAGAGAAGAACAAAAATTTTTAACGTCTCATCAAAAATCTGATTTGCTTGAGAGTGCAAATATTTCATTCAAAATATGACCAGGTGTTAAAAAATTGTTCAATACCGTTAGAAATAACTACTATATACAAACAGAGAAATATGAAAATATCAGCAACATGAGATAATATTTTCTCACGAATGTATCTTAAATAAGCAAAAGAAATTGTACCAAAGTAACAAGAAAAAAATGAATATCAACAAATAACTAAACTAAACTGTTGTTCGTATTGGTGGCGTTTGCGGCCCATATTCCTTTTTTGTGGCACAAACCCGTGACCCTAGGATATCACGCGGGTAAGTGCGAGAACGTAAAGGGATTGCGACAAGTGAATTATAAGTTTTGATAACAGCAATTCAATCATTTATGGAGTTTGAGATTTACAAATCAAACAGTTTTGCCTTATGATACATTCAAGAGGATTTTTTAGATTGTTTTATTTGTTAATACAATTATGGGCATAGGACTTTCATTTGAGGACAGACGTAGAAACTAGGGAGGATAGGGGCACGTGCCCCACTTTTCGTAGACAGAGGTAAAGTTTCTGGCTCACAGAAGTACATTTTTATGCCCCCAACTTGTTTGTGGATCAATAGTAAAGAAGCGAGAATTCTTTACACGATTTCCAAGTCAGTAAAATGCTACTCGCAAAGAGATTAAGGCAAGCAGAACTTTCATGATGATTCAAAGACATCTGCATTAATTGTCAATAGCTTACTACTATATACTGCGACCAAGCATGCATACTTTGTTCATCTTGAGAAAATTGCCCTGATGTCAAGGCTAAGCAGAAATGTTCAATTTTTCAATCAACTTAAGAATTAGCATCAATGAAAATCTATGACATAACATAGTCTTGTGTGATCACTATCAATAATTTATACAACCAAGATTGAAAAAAATCTAGCAGGATGTTGTCGTATAGAGTTTTGTACGTAGAATAGAACGTTACAATTACGGTTGCTTAGTGAGACAGAAGACTACCATCTGAAAAGGGGTGTGTTCTAAAGCGAAAGAGTTGTGTTATGTTTGAATCTAAAATAGTGTGATCTCTGCTTCTGATTCTGAAAGCAAAAATTAGATTGTTGAAATCCACAAACACACAATATGAGAATATTAAAGGGTAAAGGGGAACACAAAAACTTAAAAAAAGGTATGTCTACATCAGGCACGATTCCCCGTACCCTGTACTCGCCCCTACACCCATGCCTGCAAATCAGCTGAGTTCAGTTATGTCATTGTGTCAATTTGGATTTTTTACATAAATAAACGAAAAGTACAAAAACTGGTGTCTAAGTGACATTCTATATGAAGTATTACAATAAATCCCTGGAAAGAAGAAACTCAGAATTCAAGAACCTATAGGCTGAACTTTAGACCTTTTATTTAAGAATGTTTTTAGATTTGAATGTTGTTCGAGGATCATTTGGAGCTGCAATCTGGGTGTTGGCGATTTAAAGCTACAAACCATCCATAACTCACTACTTTTTATTTCAAACAATTTTTTCTTCGAGAAAATATTGAATTGAAGCATTTCAGCTTTCCTTCTCCAAATGCAAGGAATATACCGCTTTGAAAAAGAGCCGTAAATGATCTTTAAATATACATTTCAACAAAACTAAGACTAGTCCGACTCATGAAAATAAAATTCTTCGTTCTTGGAATTTACTGTATGAATGGTTTCACTTCATCTGTTCTCAAAGTCACACAAAACGGTGAAAAACTAGATCTGGTGCCACAAACACATGGTACAAACAAAAAGGAGTAAAGCAGAAACCGATCCTTTTCTTTGTGTCGTGCCTTTTGCTTGTCAACCCAACAGAGAAAATGTATGTTATCGAGCCTCGAAATTATTTACCATCTGCTTCTAAGATTTGTGACTGCATCGATCTCTCGTACGTTGTAAGTGTATTTGCAGCAACCAACAGGTCTTGGCACCTAACGTGGAATTAAATAAATATTCAACCATACGAAGCTAAATTGAATATTATCATAAAGCAACTTCTCCTCAAAAACATTTACAAGAATGCTCGGCTCCTGACGAAATTCTTTTTATTGCCCAGCTACCACTTTGTCAATCTAGAAGCCAAAACCTCAAGGGCCAAGAAATCATGTGCCAATATTCCCAGTGGATTTTTAACATCTTGTCATTATAAATGTTAAGCTGAAAATTTTCTAAACAACGGCAGCAAACTGGCAAAACATTTTCACAGAGAAATTTATAAATATTAAAACGTCAATATACTTGTCGAGGTTTGATACTTCTGCCGCCAATTTTTCAACCATCTGACTTAAATTTGTGGCCATCTTCTCAACCTAAAAACAACCATTGAAGAAATGAACATTGAATCGAACTAACATGCATCAATGCGGTCGAGAACAGTTCTTGTTCCGATTAGGCGATGACACCCTAAGAAAATCCTGGGACAGTTGAATTTGGTGACATGGTACTCTTGGATTTGGTGATAGCTGTAATAATTTTGCTCTTCTTACAGATAACCCTGGATAATGTTGGCTTGTCGTGAGATGTCTTGAGAGCCTGTATATACCACGAAGGGGAATTGGTTTTTGATCGTAAATAAAAGAGGTAAGTTAATTTTACAGGCATAATTATACTAAGAACAAAAATTCCATTTGAGAAATGCAAGAATTTCGTGCTTGTTTGACGTGTACTCGGTGAATTGCTTAAGTGTTTCAATGCATTGATTTTTTATGTCAAATGTGCCACTATATTTGAATAATACTACTATACGGGGAAAATCCCAATTGAGGATAAACGTAACTGAATTTTATTTTCATCTCAAAACGGTGGAGTACTGGAAAACCAATTATGTTTTCCAAAAAAAATTCAAGAAGATGCCAAATAACATTTGCTTGCTCAGTAACGAAACAAGGCAAGCAGAAGTAATCTATTCTTGCCAAAGCCAGTACTTAGTGTTATGTAATGTCGTTTCGTGATAAATCTAATGTAAAAATGCTGGAATGATTTTGAAAGCTAAAAAATACATACATTGAGCTGTTTTGTGCCAGTATAAGATGAGATTTCTGCCAGCAGCATTTGACTTTCTTTCAGAGCAGCAATGAGCTTTTCTGTTGGAAAAATAAAAGGCAGTAAAATTTGAGTTAGTAAATTGGGAGAAACAAAGCAACTCAATAATGGAAGAAAAATATATTACTTGTTAATAGTGTTTTGATCGACAGTGTTATCAGCGTAAAGCCTACTCCTTATCCCAAAGAAATACTAATGATAGCAGTATTCAACTATGAAAGCTGCCGGGTGCTACATGACTCTGTTTGGTTATAAAAAGTACAATACAAATATCCTGAGCAATGTGATACTGAAAGCTATTGAGCAATATGACTAGATGAAAGTATATTTTTACTATCTTGTGCCTTCTGTCAATGTTCCATCGAATTCTTGAAGGAATACTTGAAATATTGGGTTCTGAATATAAGTTAATTCACCTGCTTGCTATCATTAGGATTTATATTGTGAAGCAAATAGCAGGGGGAAGGCAGGAAGGTACACAGTGAGTGACTACGAGGCCTTTGTTTTTGAAAATGTTAAAAAATGAAAATGACTTGTGATTTGGCAATGAGAAGAAAGACCTCATGGTCTCAAAGAGCACCTGGAAATACCTATAAAATTGCAGAATTCAGTCAAATGAGTTAAAGATGTGATTGCCAATGAAAGATTTGAAATTTGCAAACAGATTACTGTTAATTTTCTTTGCTCACAACGTATGGAACCGAGACAAAACGACATTATATTAATGAGGGAAAAAGCCTGTGCTTGTGTGGTTAAATCTCAGCCAATTCTTTAAAAGGTTAACTGAATTTGTACATTTAGAGTTATTTCATGACGCTCTATTTCAATTAACGTACAATCATGCCATACCTATAGGCATTTGTCTTATACGGAAGCGTAAACAGTTCGCTGATAAAGCATGCTATTCATTCTATGTGAGCATCCATGCTTTAATGACTATATGATGAAGCAAATTGAATAGTTTACCTTGGTCTGTTACTACAACATCCTCCACTTGAATATAGTGCCTTGTGTTATCGAGAGCTTCCCCCATTGTTGAATAATTGTTACGAAGTCGGTCCAAAGATTCGTCTAGTGGTCTCAATCCTGCATCCTAAACATAGAGGAAAAAAATCGTAGGCCCAGGCAGCAAGGAAAAATTGTAACAAGCAGTTAAGTTAAGAAATAAATCGTAACAGGTAACAGAAAATAGCAATAATACATATTTTCTGATAGCTATTACCTCAAAGAAACCAAGTAAATAATTCAGACAGAGAATATCTTAAAATGATTGTTTTGGAGGGACTTTTATTGGATTAAAATTCAAGCAAGGAAAACGAATTTGGTTAACAAATGCTATCAAAAAGTGAATATTTATCCCTAGCAGTTTGTCAGATATTTTAAAGATTATAAACTGAAATATAACATTTTTGTAAAACAGTCAAAAACGCACTTGTATCTTTAGCAGCTGATCTAATGCCATTGTCTGCTTCTTTGCATGCACTGTTTGCTCAAGCTGTCGAATTTCCGATTTCAACTTCTGGTTTTCTTGCCATATATTGTATATTTGGTCCTAAGTGTATTGAAAGCATATTGTAAAAAAATACATTCATATATCTTCTTGTTCGAAGGTAGCATAGCGGAAACATAGCATAATTTCTTGTTCATTAATACTACGCGATGTTTGATAACAATGACAAAAAAAGTTATTCGTAAGAGATGAAATCGTAGGCACAAAAAAGCACGTAATATATAAATATCTGAAATAAAGGACATTATTATCTCTCCCAAATACCCTCTAACGCCATTTTCCTTTCTTCCCAGATTCATGGCATATTCATTTAACAATTTACTTTATAAAACCTACCTTTGCTTCCTTTTCCTGCTTTGTGAATGATTCCTTTGCCTGTAAGACAGATCAATTTTAAATAGACAAAAATGAAATGCCAAATGGCAGTAAATTAATGCTAGAGAATTGATAGGAAGGCATCGGCATCAGCTAATCCATAAACACAATTCATACGTAAACAGAATTCGTAATTTGTTATCGTCTTAATCCTCAATCTGAAGTATACTCAAGCAGGGATTACTTTGAGATCTTTTTAAGTCCAAGCGTAATCTTGCAAGATGTAGATGCTAGATAGATCTTTATTCTTTCGCAAACTTTCTTTCTAAATGTGGAAAAAGAGTCGTCTGAAGTTTAGTAATTCTATTCTGCATGATTTTTCAATAAAACACCTTAAAATAATTTCTGTTCTCTTACCAGGTAATATGAATAGCAACTTCTAAACTTAATCACTCCTTATCGACAACGGCAATTTTCAAAAAGCACGTTAGACTGTGGTTTATCTTCAAGCTGATTTTCAAAAATATATTTATATCTGTGAAAATCAAATAATATCTATACTATGGTGAAAACAGAATGTGCCACCTTAGCATGCAAATACATCGCCTGCAGCATCCTGCAGTATTCATGATCCAGCTGTGTTGATGTCACTGACTCTTGCTGTTCCTGCTTGGACAAGGCGTAATATACACTTAAAAACAGTAAAAATATGTTCACTACTACAACATATACATACAAGCTGAAAGTTGAATTGCAAGAAACGTTGCTAATTGGGTCCCATGAACTACCAGAAGATGCATTTAGGATACTTTTTGAGAGATATTACGGTACACGAAGAATGGCAAAGAAAGCTGGATTCGTTGAAAGCTACAGCTTACGAGTTTAATCAACCGAGCATTACAGCAAAAGGGCCGTTCAGTTTGAGGCAATGCATGACAGGGACTTGATGGTGCCTTAGGACAAGCAGGTTTCTGTTCGGTATTCGTTTAGAATGCGACGTTGTCGACAAATCCAGCACTTAATAAACTGTATGTGGTAGCATAATTCTCTATGTATATAAATTATTATCTATCGGCAGAAGAAAGAATTACACGAAGATTACGTCATCAAAGCCTTGACAAAACATTACCTGGTTGCCCAATGCTATCCCAGAATCAGCATTGGTTGATTTTCCTGTTACGAAAAAAAATCAAATTAAGATTCAGATGGAGATCATGATTAGGGCGTGGAAGGCCGATGACATGGTGGAAAGACAATATCAAGATTGACATGCACGAGTTGAATCTGAATGCCGACCCTGCAGGGGATAGAAATGAATGGCAAAGGAGGATTCGGGCGGCCGACCTTGACAAATCAGGACAAGCCTTCGGCGAGGAAGAAGAAGGTGGATATCATGATAGATTTCGACAATTCCTGATAACAGAACAAACTTCATGCAATACATGTATAGATGAATCTTACCACCGTGTGTAGAATGCCCTGGTTTCTTCTTTTCATCCTTTGTTGTCATGTGGGTTCGCACATCTACATTTCCCATGTGCCGTGACAAATCAAGATAACTGCCGTCAGCTACCACCCTTGTCCTTTCACTCCAAGCAGAAGGGTCAAATGGCGTTGAAGTGACCTTTGCCTTCTTCTTCTTGGCATCTTGACCTTTCAAGGGTCCCTCAACCATTGAATGAGAGGCAATTGCACTGATGTCGTTTATAAAACTTGGATCTCCAGCTCTCCCTATTGTTGAATTGTCTTTTGCTACCTTTGGAGGTTTTGATTCCTAGATAGGAAGTTTGATATTTCAAAAAGTCAGATTTCAAAAAATCAAGTTTCCGCAAATTGATAAATGTGAATAGCACAGAAAAGTGGAAGCATTATATACTTGGTCTTTCTCCCATATCTATATCCCATAAGGCATTACAAATGAGAAGTCGGTCGAAGGCAGGGTATGGGGAGAAGAGTGATCAATTCTATTTATGAAAATTCACAAGCCCATTCGAAAGTTGGCAGAAAAGCTCTTACAGCCAACTGAAATCCTAAAGCTTTCATGATTCTCATTAAAATGATTCTGATTCTCGATCACAAACTTGTTATCGTAAACATCCCAAGTAAACTGTACATATCAACGTCCAAGGAAAATATCATCCTTTCAATGTAATTTAATATTTTGACAAGAATCTCTTTTTAACTCTTTCGAGCTTTGAGAGGCCTTATGAGTAGGCGCAGACATGCATTGTGAAACACCAAGAAGGTCTTCCACGTTTTGTTACGTTGTGTAACAGAAGAATTTTGTAAGTAAATCTTCTAAACGTGTCTCTAAATTTACCTTTGGGTTCTTGTATCTTGACTGTATTATTCGTGGTGCTAAGGGAATAAAGGTACATTCATTGTTAAACCTTCTATCTTCTTTTCCTTCACGAGTCCAAGACGAAATAATTATGTATCAAATATACATGGAAATATGGTTACAATGACTAAGCAAAAACGTCTATTTAAAATTTCAGTACTTTTTGGTGTATGGAACATAACTGTTCTAAGTTGCTACTCGGGTTTCACGCTTGTTGCGAGTATCTGGCAACTGTTGAAACTATTCTTTTGTCATTAAATTGTCTTAGTTGTTCCATTGACCATAAACAGTGGTTGACAGTGCTTGACTGGTGCAGGAGCATAGTTTATATGTATTGAATATAAGTATATTGTATAATATATATAAATAGGTTTACACACCTAAACCATACATTTCTCTATTTAGCATTTCACTGAAAATATAAACATTATCAAAATTTCTAAAACATTTTTACACAGAATTTATCAATTAAAAACCAAGCACACTTATTTTGCAAATACTCACCTTTATTCTTTTTCTTTGTTGGCTTTCCTTGTAACCTAAAATGAAGCAAATGGTTCTTAGACTGGAGCTGAATCTGTTCTTGGTTTATAGGTTGATTTGGTATTTCGAGAAAGCAAGACTATCTAGTTGTCACAAAGCACACCTTAATCCATCATAAGTCAACATAAATCATATTAAAAAATATCAATGAAAGATCAATAGTATTACTAGTATCAACTGGCTATTTTTCCTGAAAAAACACAAATATAGTCATAGGAATATCAACTAAAACAGTTGTAAATCATGTATAAAAATCATACAAATCCTACTTTGAACCGTGTTTTGACAATTTGCCAGTAGAATCTTGCTCTGTATCATTGTTTGTCTCTAAAAAAGAAAATTTTAGTTTTTTACAGAGATAAATAACATTGAATCACCTTCAGTTCATGAATCACTTGCAAATAATAAAGACAAATTCAGCAGCTTAGAGATAAGCTGGGGGTTTATCAAAATACTTATACATCTGGCACATGACATTCACACTATATGATCTGCCTATCAGCCAAGTATTAAATATCCAGCAATCAACCAAATGAAAAAAGTTTATGATAAACCTGCAGATAATTTCTTTCAAATATCTGGTAATTTAAAAAAACAAGATATAAATTTTTCCAGGAAAAAGTACTCAAAACACAATAATTAAGACCAGCTTACCATTTGCTAAAGTATCCTTGTCTTCAAATATAATTTTTGGTGGTGAATCAACTTTCATGGTATAATTGTCTCCAGTATCATTTGATTGAGATCTGCGTGCTTCCCTCTCAGGTGATGGAGAATGGCAAATTACTTTGGCAGGTGAGAACACCTTGTGGGTTGTGGTTGAAATTTCAGTTGAATCATTTCCATACACAGGACCAGATGCATCAACAACCAAAACTTCATTTCTGCACATAAAGTTGAGATGACAACTGGTGTTATATACTATCAAAAATTTGTTTTCCTTAATTCTTTCCAATAGCAATTAAGAGGAAATTGAAATCAACACATCAAAAACTTTTATTTTCTTTCCTTCATAGAAAAAGACCAAAATTTCATTTAGAGATTAAACTGACCTACAAGTATGATTTTGTGAACCTCATAAAAACATTTCCTTGAAGAGCACAAGCAAAAATTATGTATATACATTCAACAGATAGCAAAATCTAAAAATTATGATGCAACAGGACAGATGCCAAAACAAAGTGCAAATCTCACCTGTAACCAGAAACTCCAATTCCCTTTTCAGGTGTTTGAAAATGTTCTTAAATAGAAGAAAAATTACACAGATTTAGGTTTTTAAGGTATATTAGTAAACTTTTTGCATTTCTTCACCTGTCAGCTGGTACTGTGATTCACTAAATTTTAACATAAAAATGCAACATATAGCTTTGTTGATCACTTGATCTTATGGAGTGCTTAATTGATAATATTAATAAATAAACAAACAAATAAACCATCTTGACTAGGCCTTCCCACATACCTAGAATATCAGCATCTTTTGGTTTTTTCTGAGACCTAGAATTGAACAAATTAGCTTTTAAATGCTTAATAGTGATAAATCAATATAGAATGCCCCATTGGAAATAAAATAAAATATTTGCCACAAAAAAATTTCAAGCAAACCTTTCAGGTGTTTTTATATCAGAGTGTTGAAGTTGGAGAGTAGAAGCAATTTTCTTCTTTTGTTCTAGAAAAAAATGAAGCCTGTTTAAGTTATATTGGGTAAAAGGATTTTGTATTCTCTAAACTTCATCTGCTCAATACCAAATAGGTTGATATGCAAAATGCACAAATTTGAAAATTTGTCAGTTTACAGCAATATCATAATCACCTTGTCCTATTTGACTGTGCACTTCTGAAGATGATCTGAAAATAGTAAATAAGAATTGCTAAAAGTCAGTCTGCACAAAAGCTTCTTTAAATGAAAATTACTGACACATTCCTCAGAAATGTTTAATTCAGAAGAATTATTCTAAATTTATGACAACTACATATCCATGAATTCAGTTACCCATTGACTACATCTCACATGAATCTTTGAGTAGCATCTTAGTTGATTTCTACATTTGCCATGATCTTTCAAGAACAGAGCTGTCAACAGTTTCTTCCGATATGTGATGGCAACAGTATTCATGATATCAACACAATTAAGGACATTTTCCATTCTTGGTTATTTTGTGGAATTTTATGCATTGATATTGGGTCAGAGCCCTTTTATTTTGGATTCTTTCCAACTGAATATTCTGTAACAGTTGATAACTCTCTTAGTACAGGGAGGACCAATCATCTCCCCCACTCTCTCTCTCTCTCTCTCTCTCTCTCTCTATCTCTCTATCTCTCTCTCTCTCTCAATTGGAGAGGAATTGCATGAGGTAAAATGCTTAAAATTCAGAATCTAGAATTTTTTTGAACATGTGAAAAATAATTTAGTAAAGCTGTGATTAAACTTTTAATCATTTATTCACAGCACAGTCTATGATATATTACTGCCAGAATTCAGTCCCCTTAAAAGAGATATGAAATAGACATCTTCACCTGTCACTCTCATCATTGCAATATGTACCACTATCACCCAGAATGCCTTGGGCAAGTGCTCTAAAAAAGAAGGAGTTAAGAGCTGCATGGGTTTCACAAATAAGTTATTTTCAAGATAATAAGCAATACTGGTCTTTCGTGGAGGCTGTTCGAGGAGCTCAAAGAGAAAATGAGGTATTTGTTTTGTCACACATTGAATTCCTTGTCCAAGGAAAAGTCTGAAAATGGTTGTCTGGCATTTGATTCTCTCTGATAAAACTAGCTACCAATTAAATAAAACAATTGGATGAATCAGTTTATAAGTGTAGCATATGTCTGTGAAATTTAAAACGTATATGTGTATTTGTGTATATATTGTTACAGTGGGGTGACAAAGGTGGTAGGGGTGCCCCTCAGGGCTGGAAAATGTCTGGCAGCGCCAGCAGCGGCGCTGCCAGGAAATTTTTGGAACAAATTAACTGCAGGAAATTGTTGACGTTTGCCAGGAAATTTTTAATGTGAAATCTCCATTGCTTGATTTAATGTTACAATATTTCTACGGAATACTGTTTTCTTGTGATATAAATACTGTATAATTTTTGTTCTGCACTACCAACAAAAAACCAAGATTAGCTTTCAATCATCTGGTATTATAAGCATCTGTTGTGCCAAATTTCCGTGCATGATTTTCAGCTATTAATTTAAGTCCAGCAAGCTAAAACAAAGTTCATTCCTTTTTTTACATTAGCCATTCTATTTATGTAAAAACACTTAAAGACAGCCAATCTTGTTACGTCAATTGTTTTGAAGGTGAACATGCCCCAAAACCTGTGTGGATGTGTCCATTATTATTCTTTTTTTTCTACTGGCATTCACATATATTTTTCATCACTTGCTTTATAAAATGTAAGCGTTTTGGTCTTAAATCTTTGTCTCTAGCACCACCCCTGATTTAAAACATTTATTTTAACCATTAAAAAATAAAATAGTATTCTTACATGTTGTATGAACTACTAGCTTTGATGATAAACCACCCCAGGGCAAGATGTATAGATATATCAATACTTATAAAGTATCTAGTTTGCTGGTACTGATATGAAATTTAATCAAAGTTATTATAGATTTTCAGATCTACTTTCTTTAACCTTGAAAAAAAACTATGAGTATCGTGCTTGATCATGTTCTCCTTGATCATCTAATACAGTATAAACAAAATAAATCCAGTTTCGAATAGTTATGATCAAGACTGCAGGACCAACAATTAGTTCTTTTTATTGTGACAGTTTGTTTTTAGGACAAACTTTTTAACAAATCAAGCTACTTGAAATATCAATTTCAGTGGTTGGAAACTTTCTCGAAGCTTCGCAGGAAATCTTGAATTTTTTATTTTGCTGCCAGGAAGAAATTTTTTTTTCAAGGCCTGGTGCCCCTCTAAGGGATTTGGCAGTTCGGTGCCCCTAAATTGGTAGCATTAGTGAAAAAGCATAAATAAAGTATCAAATGCCAATAAACAGACTTTCCAGTTATTTTGACATACATACTATACATGTTTGGGGGCCCTTACTCCTAAATCGTTTATCATATATCTAGAATACCAGTTTCAAAGTAAAATAACATAACAAAACGTAATGTATCTTTACATAGAATAAAGGTAAGTTTGTCTAAACTATACATCAATCTTTGCAAGTCGAATAAAAAAGATTCAAAAGAGTGACTTTTACTTCCGTCGAGGTTCTTTCGTTCTGCCAGTCGCCGCGGGTTGGTAAAGGCTCCTCTTGTTTATTCCCGCCATTAGGCCACCCGCCAATTTTTCCTAGAAGCCGCGTCTTCAAAAGGAGACATACTTTTTCAAGAATGGATAGAGTAGAAATGGGCAGGGGGGCATAGAATGAGGGGTAGATCATGTTTCTTTACCACTGTGTTCCATAAAACTGTACCTGCACAACTCTGCCAGTGACACTTAGCTTCCTGCAATGTTGCAAGAAGTGACCTTCTATTATATAAAAAGGCCTGACCCGAAAAAATTTGCAGGGATCTTTGCAATTTGACAGAACCTTTTTAAGGGGTGGTGTCCTTAGAGTTTGGATGGGGTTTTGCTGTAGGCAAATATAGAAGCCGCGCAATTTACCATACCCACAACCAAAACCGATATTCTTGCGTTTGTGTTAAAGGTTCTCTGCTTTTTAACATAGGGGCTTTTGCAAAAGTGATTGTCACAAGCTACATAGGTTGCCATTGTAATCCTGCAAAAATAAATGTTTCTTTGGTATTAATGTGCCTGATATCAAAGCGTTAACAGGGAGCTTTGAATAAGGTCCTGTGTTTGGAAAAGGGAAGAATGTCAAGAGAGCTTTTATCCCATTCCGCGTCAGTTTTTATTGCCAACTAAACTGGTGCGTGTAAAGACTGCATTTTGTTTAAGGCTAGGCTTACAAGAGGGTACCCAACATGTTTTCGTGGAAGGGAGAATCGTCATTTTTGGAGTCTGTAATCGGGAATTGGCAAATTTTTGGGTACGGGATTTCGGGGATCCGGGAATCAGGCGATCTATTAGCTATTCTCTTGCAACATTCAAAACCTGCTAAAGTATTTCTTCTTTCTCCAGATTTCTTTTATTTGCGTTGATTACTTTGTTTCAAAGTATCCAGCCTTTCCTGGATCTCTTAATTTCTGTCTCCCAATAATTCATATTTTTGCTTTACGGAGGCTGATTTAGAGCAGTTTTGATAGAGTATATATTTTTCCAGGTATTAAAAAAGATACTGTACTGGATTGTATATGACAGTAAGTGGTTCTGTATGCAAAAAGTTCATTAATGTGATTAAATAATAACGGTATTGATTTTCTTCGATATCTGAAATCTGTTAAGAGAAGGTCAAGAAATCTAAGACAAACGAAGGATTCGATAAAATCCTTAATTTATTTAAAATGAAAGCATCAATCTAAGATCACTGCAACTACGGCTATACGCCTATATGGCTTTGTTGCGTTAAAGAAGAGATCTTTACAACAACAATTTTTCAAATTCATATGAGCCCATTTCTACTTTAAGAGAATAGGGAAATAGGGAAACCTGTTTTGCTCAATAGCACTTGCTGTTTATTTTATTCAAAATTATATATCGAAATTATAGACGTAAAATTATACATACACAATTTACTGACAATACATACTTGCTTATTACATGGTACATTACATTACAAGATCATTTGAGCGAATGATAGCGTCAAAGAAAAATGTTTAAATCACCACCTTATTGGTATCGTAGTTCATCTCGCAATATCTTAATGGTTAATTCAAAATGGAATGAAACATGAAAAGCCTTCCTAATTCCTCATAAAATTGCTATTTCCCGGTAAATTATCGAAATATTAAACTAGATTTGAAAACTTTTGTATCGATTAACCAGCATACAATAATGATGAAGAGATTTTATACTATTTAGCGGTACGGAAATGTGGTTTTGATACAGTTGAAACACTTCAGAGTATTCGCTGAGCTATCAAAATTAGCTCATTTTTTAGCCTATATACCCCCCCCTAATTAGTTCTGCTACCTATTGTGAATTAATGTGATTAAATGAAAATATTCTAATCAGTTTCTAGACAGGACTGCAGCACATAACCCCGACTAGTGGAATAAATCTGGAAAATCAGGAGCTAGTTTTTAGATGCTAGCGTAGAAGTGGATGGCACCATTGATAAGTTTTTCACAATCGCGTATCTTGTCGTTGTAAGGCCATTTGCTACCCACTGTTCGATTTACATTCACGTAATAACAATGCCTCTTGACATAATGTTCTTATTTTTGGAATCTACAAGTGTCGGCCAAGCGTACATTTTAATCCACTGACATTTCGAATCTGATGTGTGGAATCTAGAATGCATTACGTCACTGAACCGCTCTGAAGTGTACTCGATTTCAACAGGAGGCACTTGATTGACGATCGCCCATGAGAGGCGGACGCACTCACAGACATAGGTGGCCATGTATGGCTTTGAAGATAAGAAATCTGGTAGTTCTGGAAGAATCTCTTTCAGTTGGTCTTCAACATCCTGAAAAATAAGAACAGAAAAGGAAATGCAAAGTCTTATTTGAAAAGTCTTATTTTGATTTTCTCTTAAGAAATAACTTTCAACTAGAGGTATGAATGGCTATATTGCTCGGATCATCCTTTTTAAAATTCTGCTTCACTACTTCCTGCTAATTTGCAGTGCAGGAAAACATAAATGTTCACGATAGTTCCACTTCTTGTTGTGTTGACCACCTCACGTACCAAAGTTGATTATCTCTTATCTGTCATCGGTAAATTACAGTATGCATGCGCTACCAGACGATCAAAAAATTCCTGAGTTCAGAATATATATATCGTCGCTTCGCAAAAACATACATAAACACAGAATTTAAGTATCCTAAATCTAAAACCTTCAAAATCGTCCCACCCATTTAGAAATTAATTCTAAAGCATGGGAATAGGGTTGCTGAACTTCAAAAGTAAGCAAGGTATTTCATCACCTTAACCATTTGTTCAATGTTATATCTTTCAGTTGTTGATTGGAGATATTCTTCAATATGATGTTTGATATCTGCATCTGGATTTCCAACGGCGAATTCTGTGTGGTTCTTTTGAACACCAAGAAGGCTGTGGACAGATGCTCGAATCAACCCAGCATAGTCTTGGCAGATCCTGAAAGACGCCTGCAAGAAAATTTAAGGTATGGTTTGGTGAAGGTATGACTGTCGAATTTAAGAATTAATAGCAAATCTTATAGAAATGGTTTGGCAAAAAGTTTGTAAACAGAACAGACCAACATCAACACAATTCTTTTCGCTCGTGCACCCAGGGGTGTAATCCAAAGATTGGTGCAAGAGAATCCACATATATCAAAAAGTAGAAAACGATTAGTTCTAGATACGCACCCGTTACAGAAAAAGGTTTAAATCAGCCCCTATATTTTGGTGCGATGTGTTACCGGTCATATCCTTTTGCGTAAAAATCGTAAAGTTGTAAAGATTTAAATTATGGACTGTTATGAAAATTTACATTCACCTGTTTGCGTGCGCATGAAAGTCGCGTTTTTCAATGCGTTGCTTTATTATGACATTGTGCGTTATTTCGTAAACTGTAGCCTCTATGGGCGGCCACCCGGTTCCCAAATCCTTCTACGGATATTCAAATGAATCCTGGCTGCCACCGTTTCAAAATTGTAAGGGGGTAATGGACAAAAAAGCCGTCATACATCTTTGTCTTGAAAGGTGCAGAGATTCTTCATAGCAGAACATTATTATTCTTAAAGATTGGAAGCCTAAAGCCCCCAGCTTTTGCCCCCTTAGCATTTTTGACGCTTCATCATTCAATTATACTTACAATCATGATACCAGCCATTATTTTGTTTTTGATATCTTCTCTTTTCTTCATTTTGCGAAGTAGCGGGACCTCATCTAGTTCGTCTAGGGCGTCTAGTCTTCCTTGGGAGTAGAGAGTCTCGTATTTTTCGATCAACTGGCTCAATCGTACACCACCGTGTGACAAATTTTCAAACTTCCCGCTTTGCTTAACATGTCGTTGCACTTCTTCTGACAATCTGAAAGCATAAAAGGTTCAGAACAGCTCTAACACGACGAACAAGCATCGTTTAAAGGAACAGTACAACAAATTTTACATGCTTGAGATCATGCTCATGGAAATGGAAACTACAAGAGGAAAATTTTCAGTAGCCATGCAGTCTCGCATATTTAAAAACACAGGGGTTGTCGAGAGGGTGATAGTACACGAGTATATGAAAATGCATTTCCTATAGGTTAGTCATTAGAAACGACTGCCCACGAATTTATACAATTGTAAAGAACTGCTGTATTTTAGAAATATTACCTCCTTGCTTCAAAAAAATTAGAGATTCACTAAAAAACTGTACACCGTACAACGATATCAGAGAAAACAGCAGCTCACTTCGGACCTTCGAAGCGGCGGGTGCAGAAGGGATGGGGCCATGAAACCCCTTTGCAAAATAAGCTCAATTTCCATTCTTTTGAATAAATGGGGTCATAAAAAAAGATTAATTAGCAAGAATCCTTCTTGCAATCCAAGGAGTCACTGTCGTTTTATATCGGCACCCAGAAATTTAAGGAGACAAGGATATTGCGGCAGAGAGAGGGAAGAGAGAGGGCGTGGGTGTAGCAGAGTCTAAATGTTCAGGGAGCGGGGCTTAGCATTAATCGATCATCGCTGCAGCTCCCGAAAATTATTGCTTCATAAAAACTGTCCGAATGAACCCGAAATTCGATACATTTTGCTTGGTTCGGGGGCTGAAGCCCTCAGCCCCTATATCTCCTATACCTATGGGGGAGAGGGAGGAAGGGAAGAGAGAAGAGAGGGGGGGACAGTAGCCTGAATGGATCGCAAAACCTCCTGATTGTCACCTTTCTTCTTCTGGTCAGTTCAAGCTTACGTGTTGATCTTCGCATACTTTGTAAACATAACGGGACTAAACCGCAGAGCTTGTATTGTAAAAGCTAAAGCCCTTTTGATCGACTCGCTGAGCAGTTGTAAATGTTGACAAGAGTTTTCTAATGCAGGCTTACCTGCTAGCCATTTCCTTATCTCTCTTCATCAATTTTTTGATAGTTGCGTCTGACGATGCTAGATTGCCTCTCAGTCGCTTAACCTCATTTTCCAGACGACGTATCTCTTCATTTTCACTATCCATGTTTGCATTTGCTCTATCTCCGAAGCTTGCAGCCGCATCAAAACGTTTAAAGTTGTGCCTAGGATCAATGGTTGACACAACCGGCCTACTAGGATTCCGCACTTCTGTTTGTGGTTTACTTGACTGCCCCTGAACATTGCTTGTTATTCCATCCTTGTTTTCTTTAGAAGAGGTCGCCATTGGGTATCTTCCGCTTTGAAAGCCCTTTATGCCTTTTCTATTGAACAATGGATTTCAACTGTTAATTAATGGGATACTCTTTTAACTGTCAGTTAGCAACAATCACCAATTGAAAGTTTTATACGAATTAACCACACATAAATAAGGACTGGTGACTAACATATTAACCTAATGTAATGGGGCGAAACTAAAGTCATTCAATAATCTCACCTAAAGAAAACCCTACGGAGAGAATTTCTAGTCTGGTTTTGCTAGCTACTGGAAAATATGTTTATTTTTGCTGAAATCTCAGTTGGGCATTGAGATTCTATCAATTTAAAGTTTATGATGTCATTGCGTTTCATTTAGTCCTATGTGAGATTTGAAGCATTTATTCTCCAAGGAGAATTTACATGCTAAACTAATATCCTAGGTGAAATAAGAATGCTGGGCAACTAGACTTATTACAAATAAAACGCTTTTAAAAGATGCACAAATAGTTAGGAAGTAAAGCCTTCGAATGTTTTCTTTTGTTTGCTTCCATTGTATATAGCCGTGTAAATTTTTCTCATAAAAATAATAAACTTTAAAATACTTTTACCTACCTTCAAGTCTGCTGTAACTTGTGCCGTGTCTCTTCGTGAAACAATAGTTGTAAACGTAGTAGCATTTTGCGTCATGAATGCAAACGGAAGTAGTCATGTTTACATCCACGTTTTCTTAAAGAAGGAGACCTGTAAATTTGATTTCTGCTTTATTCAATGCAATCAAACATTTGGATTTGCGAAAGCAAACTTCAAAGCTCTGAGTAAACAATATTTTGTTCCAACTATGTAACTTCAAAACCTGATCACTTCAATGTTCAGTCTCATTTTGAAAGCGCCTTGAAAAGTTCTGAAAAGTCATTTCGCAAATACCAAATCAGTGTTGTTCTATCGTTTTAGAAATGGTGACCAAATTTGAATCGTCTTGATCGTGTGCAGCTGATACCTAGTTGAAAAGTATTCTTGTATGCAAGGTGAGAATTAAAGCGTCATATCATAGACATATCTTTTATGTATGTTTGGAAAGGAATTTTCGTGCCTAAGAAGTGTTTCAAATTTTCTGGATAAGCCATGGATGACCAACGGAGTGATTCATCGGGACCATTCAGCATTTTAGCCAAGAAGTATCGAAAAAGAAGCGCAAAGCAACACAGCAAGAAACTGCGAGATCTGCTTGGAGAGAATGCACAAGTTGAGAGCGACTCTGATGCCTCAAAATGCAGTGAATCTTCAAGCAGGCAAAACGAGGACGAATATTTATCAGAGGCACGGAAATCAAGCGTTGCTTCGTCTACGTTGAGCACTAAATCGGAAAATAATTTATACGACAAAGCAACAACCACAAACAAAAGCAAGGAATTCCATGTAAAAGATATTGAATTGAAACAAAACAGCGATCCTGGGATTGTTGCTGAAGAATGCGATGGAATGAAAGAACTGACCAAAGGAATTGAGGGTATGAATAACGAAGAGAAAAAAGACAATAAAATCAATGATGTGATTACAGAAAGCGGCAAGCTATTTAATAATCGTGGTGAAGCGGACATTGAATGCAATCTCGAGAGGGAAACGAGCAGCCAGAGCTGTAACGCGAGCAGCAGTAGCCCGACTGCCAGCGTAAACGAGAAGAGAGGCAGCAACAAAGTGAAACGAAAATACAACTTGTTTTATCACGAGATGGAAGAGCTGGGTACAGACAGTGGCCTTGATGAACAGGGAGCACCGTCGCATGACGAGCAAAACAATGATGTAAAAAAGGCTATTGATCAAGACGGGAACACTCCCAGTGATAAAGCACCGAGCGATGGGTTGCTTAGCAGCTTTCGTCAGAACCAAATGAGTGGCAAAACTAAAAAGCGTCATTTCTCTTCGAATGGGTCAGATCTTGATCGCAAGATGGGATCACCGATTTCTTCGCGTTCAAGTTCTATGCGGTCATACTCCAGCTCCGTACCTGCATCGGTAGACTCGGGTTTGCGGATGGGATACCAGGAGCCTCACTCGTCTGTCGTTGTCGTTGCAATTGATTTCGGAACCACTTTCAGCGGCTATGCATTCGCTTTTACTCGTGATCCAGAGAGCATCCATATGATGAGAAAATGGGACGGGGGCGACCCAGGTGTGAACAATCAAAAAATTCCCACTACTTTGCTGCTTAAACCTGATGGCTCATTTCACTCATTTGGCTATGGGGCAAGGGACTTCTATCATGACCTAGAACAGTCAGAAGCAAAGAAGTGGCTCTATTTCGAAAAATTCAAAATGTCCTTGCATTCTTCTGAGGTATGTTTAAAACTTTATGACGTCAATCTATCTTTAGGCAAAGCCTCCTTTTCATATTTCAAAAGCTTTGTTTAAACCTGCTCCCCCTTTCAGTAGCTTGATAATAAATGCAACGGCTAATGAAAATTCAAAGGTGCTTAAACATCTGAACTCATTTTGGCTTGTTACAACTCATCTAAAGGGTTAAACAATGAACTTTAACGACGGTGTTTTTATATTTTATGTAAAGGGCCATGTACTAACACAGAATAGGAGTATATTTTCTGTGGTACTATGTCTCCATCAATGTCCTTGGCTACTAATGGCCTATCTGTGCTCTAATATTTATGTGTACCTATTTTCTCTCACGTACACCTCTCTGCCTCCTACTCGCTCTCACTGCCCGCTGTACTTTCCCGGGGGCCTAAAACTTTTTGTGACACATATGTGAACCCAATAGGATCTTTGCAAAGTTGTTGTTGCCAGACTTACGAAATTACCGAGGTTACCAGCTCCTGCACCCCCAAAATTTTACCCCCTGGCTTCACTGTAGAAAGGCAGTATACGGAATCCGAATCCTATCTTTATTTCTTTTATATAGCTGGTTCTTCAAACTCATCTGAATAACAAAGCCAGCATATTTTAAAGGAGTAGAAGTTGCAGTTCGAGTATCTTTTTTTTCTCCTATACAGGATCTGAATCCGGCCGTTTTGATAAATGCAGCCAACGGAAAACCGTTTCCAGCCTGGAAGGTTTTTGCACATGCGTTACGATTCTTCAAAGAACACGTTCTGTCAGAATTGTCCGATCAATCAACGGCGAGAATTCTTGAAGAGGATATAACATGGGTTCTGACTGTACCCGCAATCTGGAGACAGCCTGCAAAGCAATTCATGAGGACGGCTGCACATGAGGTAATATGCATTTTCGGGGTACGTCCCCCTTGCTGTTTGTCAATCTTTCATCTTTAGAAAACTGCAAGATAAAGTTTGGGCAATTACTACTTCTGCCCTGTAATGTAGCTACAGTGCCGATTTTTAGCAGACCTATTTTTCAACGGTTAACAACAGTTGCTATAGATTTTCTTTATTACTCAAGCTAGACCTCCTATGTACAATCTCTAATGTCCTCGACCTCTTATTTCTTTTGCTCGTTTACATACATTTCTTTTTTTTGCAATCCCTCGATTAGGCTGGAATTGCATCATGGGATTGTCCTGAAAGGCTTCTCATCGCTTTGGAGCCTGAAGCTGCATCGATATTCTGCCGAAAATTGCGTATAAGAGATTGCATAATTGAAGATGACGTACGACAAAGATCACAAGACGATTCCCTGATTTCTGAAGATTTTATTGGTAAGTAGCATCAGATACGATTCGTGTCAACTTTCAGCTTAGGTTTATCATATTTATCAAGTAGGAAGACAAAATGCAAAAAAAAATTCGATCATAAAATTATTCCAATGCTTACAGCTTGGTTTTTTTAAAAAATTTGGCAGAAATTACTGCTGGTACAGCATCAATAATCTTATATCATCTCTGTCTTAAAAGACCATATTGTACTTAAACCTCCTTCGCGTATCTGTGTGACAGCTTCCATCTGGCTGAGACCTAGGGTAACATAAAACAAATCTTTTGTGTAATTTGTATCCATCAATAAAGGTTTGAGTAGAAAAGAACATAAACTCTCTTTAGCTACTAGTAAAAGTAATGGTGCTTGCAGGTTGCTTATTTTCTTATGTGTTTTAGGGGCAACTCAATACGTTGTGGTGGACTGTGGAGGAGGAACTGTCGACCTGACTGTTCACGAACTTGATGTAAACACGGGCACTTTGAAGGAGCTTCACAGGGGCACTGGTGGAGCGTGTGGGGCAATTGGCATTGACGCAGAATTTGAAAAGTTAATGAAACGAATTTTCGAAGCTGATTTCATCGAGAGGTTCAAAGCAAAACGTCCAGCCGGGTGGGTTGACTTGATAATTGCATTTGAGTCGAAGAAGCGCACTGCCCGGCCTGGCAGCAACACGGCATTGAATATTTCATTACCTTACTCGTTTATTGATTACTACAAGAAAAAGAAAAGATCCACCGTTGAGAGTGCGATAAAGAAATTAAAAAATGCAGATATAAAGTGGTCTTCTCAAGGCATGTTGCGTATTGCACCGGCGATAATGGAAGGCTTGTTCAAACCTGTGGTTAACCAAATCATTTCCCATGTTCGAAATTTGCTGGAAAAGCAGGAGCTTGTAAATATTAGGCATCTATTTTTGGTGGGTGGTTTTGCGGAGTCTCCGCTACTGAAACAAGCTGTCAGAGATGAGTTTAGTGAACGTGTGCGAGTTGTAATCCCTCATGATGTAGGATTGACTATACTTAAAGGTGCTGTTCAGTTTGGCCTTGATCCAACCGTGGTGAGAGTGCGCCGATCAGCCCTGACCTACGGAGTCGGTGTTCTGAATAAATTCAATCCCGATAAACATGATCAATCGAAAAAGGTTGTTAAGGATGGAGTGGTTTGGTGCAAGGATATTCTAGATACTTTTGTCTGTATCGATGATTCGGTGGGTCTTGGAGATGCAGTGACGCGCAGTTATGCCCCAGCTCGTATCGGCCAGAAATCAACTGTTATTAATATATATTGCAGTGAGAGGAAAGATAACTTATATACAACTGGAAAGGGCGTGAAAAAATGCGGCCAGTTGAGAATTGAAATGCCCGAATTAACAATTGAAGATGTACCAGAGGAAAAACGAAATAAACCTAGGGAGTTGCAGGCGACAATGCTATTTGGAGACACTGAGTTAAAAGTGACGGCACTTGATGTTTTAACGGGGAAAACGGCAAAAGCTGCAATAGATTTTCTGAATTATTAGCTATTATACCTGCGAATCAAAAAAAGCCTTCGAAGAATATATTATTTTCAAAACGAACTTTTTAGAATGTATTTTACTTATCAGATATGTATTGGAAAGCATACTTATGAATTATCAAAATTAATTTGTGAAAATGATAAATTTATTACTGCCCCCTGTACGTATGTAGATACCTTTTTGAATCAGGCAATCTTCTCTTTTGCTTTAAGAACTTGCTTTGAATGTAAAGATCTAGATTTTTTGGCACAGGGAAATTACCTGCAAATATCTGCAAACAAATTTAGATAATTTTTGAAGATGTTTTTTGAAAATCATCGTTCGAGGAGAACTGTTTGAAGAAATACACGTTATTTATATAGGAAATTTTTTCTAGCCCCCCCCCCTGACTTTTTTAGCTATTTCCTAATTTCAGCGCTAAAACTTTCTTAACACCTTCTTAATGTAAAATTGGGAAGTTTTACGTTACTAAACATGCGCATTGATGGAGAAGATGAAATGCTATAAATATGCTATATTTCTCAAAAACCCTCAACGTCATACTGTATTCGTCGTTTCCTGTTCAACACATTAGTGTACTGTTGAAATATTTCACTCTTATACCACAATTTCCTTTGAAACTTTGAATATCTAAATTGTTCAACTATTTTTGGTTTCAAAGATCCATTAACTTTTTGAAGAACCGAGCACAACTCTCTTATAAAATACTTTCTTATAAAAAGATCGTGTAGGACAAAACAGGAAGGGGACAGGAAAATTCCTAATCTAAAGACCCTGTGTTGATCAACCACAAAACCAGTAGCGGCTTTAAGGGAGGTCCATGGGACCATTGCCCCAGGCTCCGCACTCATGATAGCTAAAAGAGGCCCAATGCCTAAGAAGAAAGATAGAAATTATAAAGAACAAGGGCCCCGCAGATGTTTTTGGCCCCAGGCCCCGCAGTCCCTAAAACCGCCACTGCACAAAACCTTTACTTGAGTTACATTACGGTTGTTGGTAAATCGAGCACGTTATGGATTTTGAAATGAAATCTATTTTTGTAAAATTGCTGTCCAAAATTAATTGCCCGCTTGGGGTCACAAAAAAGAGTGAGGGCAATGCCAAATTGAGTCGGCTTGTCAACTGAAGATTGCAATCGAGGAAGCTCGTTGTTTGTTATTTGAAGGCAAGAACTTCAGTAGTAAAAGTATTGAAGAGCCTTCAAAATTTTGTTATCTTGCAATTGATACAGAGTTTGACACAGATTTGTTACTTTGCATGGGATAGATTTTTTTTGCAATTTACTGAATTTTTTTGCAAAGTCTTTGTGAAGAGAAGTCTTGTTTTCTATCACGTATTTGACAGAATAGATCCAAAAATTAACTGGAAAAAGGAACTAAGCCAATTAAGATAGGTGCAACGGTCAACGGAGCCTTATCATACTTAAAAAGTGATCAAACTACAATGACATCAAAGATTGTCGTTCAAAATGAAGGAAGTTCGAGTCTCATTTTGCAGTTTGGTGTCTTCGTTGGGAGCTCTCAGTGCGGTGCCCTAAACAAGCATTCAACGCAAGCTGAAGCATTTTAGCAGGTGGATCTGGTGCACAGTCGATATTGGTGTTAACCATGAATGCACAAACTTCGTTTCCTAAGTTTTCTAAGTTGTTCATCCTAAAATTTTTGGAAGGGCACAAAGGGGCAAAAAATTATACATGGGTGGGACATGCCCCCGCGCCCACCCTTGGCTTCGTGCCTGGGTCGTACGCTTTTGGCAAGAATCCTTTTGTTTTCGAGATAAAGAGACACTGTCTAATCTAAGGAAAGTGTTTTGGCACAGGGCATGGTCTGTATTTAGCTAAATTTTGCTACAGTAGAATCCCGTTATAACGTACTCGGTTATTACGTACTTTCGGATATAACGTACTGATGTGCTTAGTCACGGAAAAAGGTGTGCTTGGTTTTAGTCAATTTTAACATACCCTCGTTACAACGTATTTCGGATATAACGTACTTAATACGCTGGTCCCTTGAAGTACGTTATAACCGGATTATACTGTATAATACAGAAATCAAGTTTTAGGGTATGGGATAAGTATGTACATTCATGACACGGGGTCCACGCCACAGGGGGGCGGGGTAGCCTTGCCCCCACACTTTTTTGCGAAGAAAGTAGTTTTAGAGCTGCAGTAAAAGAGGTAAGAAGCTTTGGTCCTCTACTTTTTCTAACCTTGACCCCCCTCACTTTCAAATTCGTGGCGCGGGTCCTGTGACATTGTAATTATATTTACTTCCTCTTTGATGTTCAGGGTCTGTTTGTTGCACAGGCCGACCCGTATCATGTGACGTAGCAGTAAAGATATGTACTGTCTGATATGATCAGTGAAAATCAGAATGTAGTACTTAATCGACGTGACAGCATACTGTCATATGCATTGCGGTTTAGGATGACAAAAGGCCGTCCCTAGAGATGTCAAGCTAGAGGGTACAGGCTCTCAATTTGCCGACTGATGGGCGTGGCTTTTCGGTGTGGCTTTTCATTGTCACATGTACCTTTTGTTGAGAAAATCGATTTCCTTGTTTAAAAATCCTTGTAACCATTGACGATATCTAACACCAAGTTAAATTTTATTCTAATGAATAAATCTGGGCCGTCGAGAAGGGGGAGGGGGATGTGGTTGTGACCTACGAAATTTCTGCAACTAAAATCTTACAACCTCCCTATTTGTAATTGACATGACTTTTATAAAACCAAACATTGCGAAAAATGACATGGCCATTTAATGTCCACTTGTTTGGAGAATGTCGTCAGGATTATGCCTATGTTAGAATCTTTGATGGTATAAAGCAAGCCTTTTGGTCAGGATATATCTATGCGAATGTTTTAATTTGTGCCCCCCCCCCAAGGACTGCAGAGCATGTTACATATTCAAGGGGCTAAAACATTTTTTTGGGGAGGGGGGCTAAACATGCTACAAACTCAGAGGAAGGAAATTTGTTGTATAGTTTTAAGTACAATTTGTGAACCAAGGCTCCCCAGCCCCCGCTCCTGTGGTCCCAGCCTCTACAAAAATATTCGATTGTGTCAGTGAAACAATTATAATTCCATTACCACCATTATTGCTCGAAAAGTACTTGAGTATCCATGTTTCCACTATTTCGTGCCACCCGCAAAATTTGCGGTACCAAAAACTTGTTCGACTTTTCTTTTTCCTAAGTAGCAGGTTTCTTGAAGATTTTGTTTCCAATTATTAGAAAAATCCAGCTTGATTTCAGACTGTAGTCATTGGATACTGCACCCTCCACGAAATGGCAAAGACTGACTGAACTGTCCTGTGCTATTAAGTTCCCAGGAAACGTCTGGATGGACTAAATCTCCAGCCAGTCTGGTCTGCCTTTTACAGCAAGTGCTGTCCGTAGACGTGGGCCTTCTCCTCGCCTGCCAGTCACGTGCATGGATGATAACAAATCGATGACGATATCCCCCTAACAGGATGATAGGCAGCATCTGGTGTGAGCTTTGTCTTCTTGCTCGGGGCTGGTATACATCCGTCTTTGTAATAATCGCAGAGCGGCTGATAGTCGAAGGAAGTCGTTGGAGAGTGACTAGTTATAGACTGGACTTGATTTGATAACTTCTTTTTCGAGCTTACTTGGACATAGATACGCGGTCAGACAGTCAAACCATCAAGGTAAGAATTTATTTTCTACAGTCAGTCCACTACTCGTGTTGATGAAGATCATCGCCAAGGCTATTGTTTTATGTGAGCTGCTTGTGTTTTGATGGCCTAAGTGCAGTGACCGTATCCCTTGCCAGGGATAGACGAATGTAGCTCGTCCTTCGCGATTTCTTCATGCCTTATTATAAGCTAGATTTTCAAGTTTATTTACTTTTGCTCTCAGTATGTTTTGTGTTTTCTCCCGTTAAACGTAACGCTGGTATGCTCCCGCAGACGTGCCTTGTCTATCAACTTTGCGACCGAGACCCTTCTGGAGTCGGCCGACCGAGACAAGGATGGTATCATATGGTAAACTTTTAGTTTTACGTGAAAAGTTTAGTCAAATTAATTTCGGAAGTTGGTATTTGACTTGCGATGTTTCGGGGTCCCCAGCCACCACTGCCGAAGACACGAGGGATGCTGCATGTCACGGATGAATGGAGGATGAAGCAGCCTGATCGCTGACTGTGTCAGACGCAACTGAAGGGTGTTAAAGCCCACGAACCTTGTCTTGATCTGGTGTCAGTGAACCTACACCAGGCATATCTATCGATCTTTCTAAGGGGTTTCCTCTTGGTTAAAAGGCTTGGTCGCGATATTGAGTTTATTTTTAGGAAACCAAGCAAGTCAAGGGGATGTGGTGGTGAGGTTGACAGTAGAAGGACCTGCTGTAGCGCAAGGTCTGTGTGAACACTAGCTGTGTGGAAACCGGGGGTGAGATTAGATACGAAACTTCATTATCGTGAAGGTGTTCCCGTAATTGCCACCATTGTTATCAACAAGAAATTTTGCGCTTTCGCCAAGTTGTAGTTCTCAAGGGACCATCAATGCCAGCGAAGATCATCCTTCGATGATCGCATCATCATCTAGTCAATATCGTCATTGCGTTGTCTTTACTGTTATCACAGTAACCATCACGATCATCATTATAATGTTAGCTATCCCAATCATCATCAATCATTATTTTAAATCATCACTACCGTCGGTCGTAATAATAATAATCATGATCATGTTAATCATCAGAATAGCCACAGTCGACATTATCAATAATTATTATCACCATGGTATCATAATCACCACTACTTCATAAATCACCAATCACCAATCACCGCCAAAATGCTAATATCACAATCACTTTCAACGTGGTCCTCATCGTTATCAACCATCTCTCTGCTCTTTTTACTGACTTCAGCTAATTATTGAGTACACTTAGTGCGTTTCACATAACGATTGATTCTTTCATGTACGTTATAGAATCGCTATACAGTACAGAAAATATCAACCAATGATCAATATTAATTCGCAAAATATCCTCGCTACATACAATTTTGCTTTTAAAATACCAATTGTTTTCGGGGCATTTCACTACAATGCAAAAGTCGTGGCTCTGTCGATGACTGTGCTACTTAAAATTTAATGGCTGTCAGACTTTAAGAAGAAATTATTTGACGGGATTGCCACGGATTTCCTCCCATAACTAAAATATGCCAATCAAAAATACACGATATTTTTCTATACTGAAACGCCCAGCGCCTCCATGACACAATTTTGAGTAGAAATAGAGCAGTTTCTCGAGAGGAAAGAGTACCCTATGTATTATTAATTGAAAATTCACATTATAAGTCTCGGTTGTGCTGTTTTCCGGGAAAGAGAGCGGATACTGGGCCGCCTCTTTGCAGAGTAGCTCTCATTTAACCATTTAGACGTTTTCTTGTTTTCTTTCTTGCAACAAGGTTATTTTCGTGTCCAATGCGAGGACAAAAGCATAGAACTTGTCTGCCTTCAAACCGGTGTCTTCCCTAACAGAAGGTTGGTAGGAGACCTCTACGTAACAAAGGCCTTCACTGTGATTGGAAGGATTCCCGCAGCTGTGCATTGGCTTCTATTCGCATTGTCAGGAGGTAACCACCATTATTGTCTTACTGCCTCCTGTGAGTTAGACTGACAAACGCTTCGGGTTCAAAACTAGACCAACGTATTGTGTTGTTTTTATTCGTGGCTTGTTGCCGGAGGTATATTTAAACAGCTGTTACGTCGCTCGCTACTCCAACCTATTCATGTTTGCGTCTTATTCCGTTGGGCCTCATGATGTGTGTGTCTTCGCACTGCCACCGCAAATGTTAAAATTTAAACTAGTTATACATTGTACTGTTTATAAGTTCACTTAAAGTGTTAAATACAAGGGTAAAATTGATTTCTTGCCGTCATATGATGACCTGTTGGAGGGAGGGGGCGGGGCTGAAAATTTTCCCCCACTCCTCTGTCTTTTTCTTCATCTTCAAAGCGCTCTGAATATGTCTTCAAAACAGTTCCAAGAAACAAGCGCAATATGTAAGGGACTATACAAGATGTAAGAAAATTGCAAACTTTATCAAATTTGATGATATTATATAAAATATTTCATTTATTTGCGTACCCTTTTACCAGTTTGAAATATTGAAAATTTAGATTTTTGTTGAAGGTCCGTTTCACTGACCGTCTCTCTGTAGAAAAATGGGAAAAAGTTTACCTTGAATCGATACACTTTATGAAGTAACTTATCCCAAAATACATAGATAGCACAGATAGAACATCTAATAAGCAAAGACCGAGATACAACTTTTTGTTTGGGGGACCACTCCTGATGAATAAGTGTAACAGCCATATTTTTACAAAATAAAAGTATTTTACTTGTGCTACTCAAACTTTTTGGGAAGGGCCAAACAACCCCCGGCCCCCCGGTATCTCTGTCCTTGCTAATAAGTCATCGAGTGTTATAGTTCATGTTATTTGATCAGTTAAACAAGGAAAGAGTGCTTGATCCTCTAAAATTATAGTCATTTTAGCGAAGTTTCTAAAGGTAAAATTATGGGGGGTTTTCTTAAATTTTTGTCATTTAACGTGTTGGTTTATATTGAAGGATTCTTGTAGAAACCATGAAACATATTTCAGGGAGGGTTATGTTTTTCAAAAGCCCAATTCTCTAAAGTTTTTCTTGATAAATTTTGCCCAGAAAAGGTCGCGCCTGTAGCATTTTAAACGTTATTTCAGCCAATGCAGTTTCTCTTCATGTTGATGTTTTTCGTTGTCGGTTGCCTAAGCACTTCAATGGAACAAGGAGCAATCTTTATCATTGTGTGGAAGAACACTCAGACAATGTTTTGCTGCCTTAACAATGGCTCAACGTTAAATAATTTCCAAGGAAATTTCAAAAGGAACACAATGTGAAACGATCTAGCATATCTCATAGTATTTAAAGAGGTTCAGACTTTGCCCTTTCATTGGTCTCGCTTATCAATGTATAGCCAACTTCCAACCACAATAAATGAATCAGAAGTTCCACTCTGTTATTTATCGCTCCTTACTATAGCCAGATCCTTATTTACTCTGTAGACAATTGATCAAGCGCCGGGGGGAGGGGGGGGGGCTTTTTTGTTCACTTAATTTAATGTTCGTTTTCAAAATAATAGCTAATAAACAGCCAATTAACACCAACTTGTAACAATAACAAATATAACTAAAAAAATCGTGATGTTTACATGTATCCAATATTAGAAATACATGGTGTGTATAGTCTACACGAGCAAGTAAGATTCGTTTGTTTAATTTCATCCTTAAATACTTTACAATTTTCTGCCAATCGAATGTCTAATTGTATAGAGTTCCACAATTCATTACATCTATAGAATATTTTATCTAGCCCATAAGTAACAGTGTTCGGCTTTTATTGTATAAATGATTGATTTCGTAAATTATATGCAAGTTCATTTGTCACAGAGCAGATAATTGTTACCTACAACCAAGGACAGACAGTGTTGAAGTTTTGCATCCCCTACCCCCAGTTTTAAGTTGATATCTCTGCAGTTAAAGTACTTACTTAACAACTTTGAGACGTGCGGAGGGTAGAAGTTTTAATATACAAGGATGCTCCCCTTCACAACAGCTCTGTCCAAGTTTCTAGTCACATGCGGTCCTTTGTTGTCTAAAGGTCACTGGATTTGGTGATGATGATTATATTCAATAAAGTGATGTTCTTTCCCCTTCAAGGTATTAGATTCATTCGTAATAAAAAAGTTCAACACGTCATTTTGTGTAAAGGCTCGAGAGTTTTACTATGCTTTTGACATACTTACCCAAAGATTGCACCAATTGGATATCTTTCTTTTTCTTTGCTGTTAAAGGAAACACGTTTTATTTTTGTTATACGTATATTGAGAAAAGTGGGGGCCTAGAAATAGGGGGGCCAAAAGAGAATGAAAGAGGCTTGATTCGTGGTTATTTTGCATTTTTTGGCAAAAAGTAGAGGAGGCGATAGCCTCAGCCCTCCTTCTCTGCAGTGCCTGAGGTAACACATCATTATAAACATATAAATTTGATATTTACATACATGAAAGTTTTCATAATGCTAAAATGAAAGTTGAAATTGGGAACGTAATTTCGATCCAAATTTGAATCAATCCAGAGCTTTGCACCTAAAATGGGATTCGTCTAAATGTCGAAGCTTGGATGGGCAAAGCTGTTCAAGGGGACCTTTTTCAGGAAAAACAATTAAACCACCTAAATGCCCCCCTCAGGACCCCCGTTCAACTTGTTGCTCATTCCTCGCTCACAGCTTGTTATGATGAATCAGTATTGAAAATTTTAATGAATCAGTATTGAGAATTTAAAGTCAAAAGGCCCCTTTCACAACCTGAAAAGGGCTCATTTTCAACCATATGGGGGCTATTTACATGTTTTCTCTTAAAACTTATAAAGGAGAGTGTCTACAGTGCTCCATTCATACCAGCGTCTATTTTTTAGGTTTCTGTATCCAACTGCAATGGCGTGTAGTAAGTTCTACTAAAAAGTGTTTTTCATTTTCCTTTCTAGATGGTTTCTATGGCAGCTGGGGACTCCTTGGTCGTCTGGAGGAGGTGCACACCGTTTTGTGAAAAGTCAGTTGATTGTCCCGAACACCACGAACTCTTACAAGCAATTGTAAATTGTACCGACCAGTTAGGACATTTATCAAATTTGGAAATATTGAAGAACTGTGTGGAAAAATATGAATCACTCGGTTGGGAAAAAAACGACGACATACCTGACCCAGTCATTTCAAACAGATATCCACTTGTCCATTGGGCAGCATCTCTGGGTAAATGTAATGCTCTAGAATGGATGGTACATAACAATTTCGACAAGTGCGTAACCGTTACGGGACTTGGCGAAAATGCTTTGCATAGATCTGTGCTTTGCTTATATAAATCAAGATCTAAGTTTACCGTGAAAGAGTTAAAACCGAAATTTACGAAGATTGTTTCACTGCTGTCTCCGTTGCTATCGATGTCCGATGATGTGAACAGGGACACACCCTTGCATACGGCTGCATCGATGCTTTTAAACACCGATGTCCGTGTGGGCTTTTTTCAAATGGTCATCGAAGTAATGGCCAGCTTCACCAATAAGATGCCTGCTGAATTAGATCGAACAGACATTCTAGACGCAAGAAATAACGATGGCGACACGGGATTACATATCCTAGCCGGCGTTGCTGACAGAGGAAAGGCTGAATATGCTTGTTCTGCAATCACGGCATTGATACAAGCGAATGCCGACAAGACCATTCGAAACAATGCTGGACAAACACCATTGGATATTGCTATTGTGAAAGGGTTTGACAACATCATCGACGAACTCGTCAAGGTATTTAGCGAGTCGTTATTTTTAAAAAGTATTTTGAAGTGATTTTATGATAGGACAAAATTTACAAAAGTCTTCAAAAAGCAGACATTTTAAAACCTACTTAAGCTTTTCATCTGACACTTTTCAGAGTATAAAACGTCAGAAACTTGATCCATTGATGTGTTCACATTTTGTCTACCTATCGATAGTACCCCTAGATTGGGAAACGCCTCATTTTTGCAACGGAATTTATTTAACGGGGTGTCACAACCCTCGCGTGTTGGTGGCATGCAATTTTTCCCAGTTTTCTTATTTGAAACCAGCTTTCTCTAAACGCGATCATTTTGCTTGCAAAAACCTCATAATAATTACAGTCTCCCAGCCTCTCCCAAAGAAGTACCTACCAAAACACCCGGACTATCTTTACACCCCGGCTACCTTTGCAAAGTTAACTTCATCCTAGGTTAGCTTCAAAGCGATCAGCTGAAATTAAAATCGATCCTTTGTAATCTTGTTTATTTTGTTTGGTGAACAACATCAGTAGGCCACCAGCTGAAAACAAGGTTTCTGAATTATTTCTCAAATTTATAAAGCCAGTTTCATCGCTAATAGAAATTAAGGTCACGATATGACTGTTTGAAAGCTGTGCGAATATGGTCGTAGCTGTTTACATTTTTATATTGCAGGGTGTCTCTCCTCGTTTGTAAAGTTTACCTGGCACAATTCCGTCTTCTTTGACTATTCTGTTTTGGAAATTCTAGATAGGCCCGTCGAAGCCGTTATCGACCCCTTTGAAGGATCATGACAACCGAAAAGCCAGCCAATCGCCATGCACCATGGTGCCAAGTCGCAGAAGCCCTTCCAGGCCAAGTAGCAATGAGAGTTGCTCAACAGCAGACTCAGTGAAAAATGGCGGATTCAAGAAAGGGTCGTCATCGTCTTTGCATGAAGACAAGAATGGAACAGAAAGCATGTCTCCGGTCGATGTAAAACAAGAGCCAGGATCACCAAGCGGTGATGTAAGCTGGTCAAATCTTTTTCCCATTGTTTCTTTCGTTTCAAATGTCTTAGTATGATTGTTATCTTATCTTTTCGTGGACCTAAGCTTTGGTCCTTGAACTTGAAGTTAAACAGGTTTCCTTCTTTCTACCTTTAAAAAATGAACCAAGGACAAATTATGGCCAGAATTTTAATTTGCTAAGGTTATGTAGTATTTACCGTTTTGTTTTTTAGATGTTTATCTCACTGCCCCCTGAAAAGCAGCTCTAATGGGCAGCGGGGCTACAGTACCTTAAGAAATCAAAATGAATGAAATTAACATCTTCTTTTTTCGTACATATAACAATTTTCTTATTCTTTTCAATCAACGCTCTTTGTTAATTTCCTTTTTAAATGGATCCTGTATGCTTGACTAAATTTTTTTTCACTAGTCGCCTTACCAAGGAGACTTCCCTGAAAGCGATGTTGCAAACATGGATGCAGCAGACCTTTTGAGGAATGGTTAGTATCTTTGTATTGACAACACGCTCTTTAAAAGAAGTATACTATGGCAGTTTCGTCCTTTGCTTATAATGTACTTGCAGCTGTCATATTCTTGGTTTGAATATTAAGCATGGGAATTCGTTGTGTCAACTATCGTAGACTTTGCTCTATGACCAGCTGGAGCTCTGTATTCGTTTTAACTATAGCGGGTTTATTCAGAATAATGTTTTCCACGACAAACAGTTGAACTAGGTTATGGCGCCAGAGTTATACTCCCTCACCTTGTATTCTGTATTCTCTCTTGTTGAAAATACAAAATAAGCCATAGTGGTATAGCATATGTAAAATGTGCCTTCAAGGTGTAAGTTGTCTTTTTTGATCTATATATCTGGGAGGAGGTCAAGTGTTTCTGTAGAATTGCGTCTGTTTGAAGTATAAAGAGTTGAGTACGTGCGCTTTAGTGGTGTAATTAACTCTGTTTTATTTGATCCATTTCCTTCTTTCAATTTTCGTCCAAAAGATTCTTTTCCAGGTTTAATTTGAGCCTGAGAGGCTAAAAGTACTTATCTCACAAATACCTTGGTTTACGTTACTCGAATCACGGCGTACATTGAACGTTACGCGTACATAGGTCAACATTTTGTATTTCCAACTGACTCCATTGATTTACCATATTCCACCTTTTACAGTTTCTGCCAATTCGACATTGCTCCAACATTTGCAAGAGGCTGGCCTGCTTACGGAAGTGTCATCACTACTTCTTCGAGCAAAAGTCCGTGACGAGGCTCATCTCAAGAAAATACAGCAGCAAGCAAAAGGTGAGAGCTATATCAAACTTGTTAAGTTACATGATTACATTTTAACCATCTGCATGATGCCAGTGAACGAGAAAGATAAGGTCAAGAACAAAAAAAGTGAATAAGTTGTTACCATAGTTATACCTTTGAAGGGGTTATTACCAAAATATCGTACATGATAATTTTAGGGTATTTTACTCTGCAGGGGCTGTTTACCAGGGGACTTTCATTCAGGGGTATGAATGAAAAGGGGCTTGGAAACTCATTATCAATATGAAATGTCATTTTTCAGTTCGTTTGCTCTCTTAATTGCTGATTTTTTATCAAATTTGCGAACAGATTAAAAATACTCATGCTTTTCGTAGTTTGCGTTTGTCATGGTCGGAATGCATTTATGTGCATCGATTCAAAATTATGAAGCTGGGGATGAAATTTTCTAAGATATCAGAAACGTTTTTCAATGTCAAAATATATTAAAAGAAAATAGTTTTCGATCTATGTTCTGACGTTTTAAACTCTGAAGAGTGTCAGACGAAAAGCTTTAGTTTACTAAATGTTTGCTTTTTTCAAAGCCATTTTCAAGTTTTGTACCACCAAAAGGTTGTTTGCATATTAAAAGAAATCTTTATTTTCTGATTTTTGTTCTGATTCTTAAATGGAGTAATTTTTTTTACAACATTCAGGTTCATAAAAAAGTAGCATGCAATTATGCTAGAGCAAGGGTGGGCAATTAATTTGTACAAGGGGCCAACATGAGAAACCTGAACTGTGTTTTTACATTTGGATGTCCCTTTTCTCCAAATGTAAAAGCACTAAGTTATTTCCGTGTTCTTCCCTAGCAAAAATTTTTGTCATTTTGCAAATAGAAAGTAACATGTTCTTGGAATTAGAGTATCGTATAAAAATCGCAAGATTTCCAAATTTGATATCTGAACCGAACCTTTAACAGGCGAGGCATCATCTATAAGCCTCTTTCTCAATTTTGAGCGGCCCTTTCTTTATTGGGCTGTGCAGCACTTGTTCGAGTGTTGTTGAGTGTTGGTTAAGCCTGAAGGAAGCTTCACCTTTGGGGTTGTGCAGGCAGTGAAATAAAGGAATAAGAAATTTTAACGAGTGAAGCATTGTTAGTAATTTCCAAAGATACACGGGAATGCTCAGCTCAGTTCTGGAGTTGCGTTAATTTATTCTATATTATTGGTAAATTTCCAGAGCCAAGACAAAAAAAGGCGGTCGTACGGCTAATTATACGGGTAAGATCAATAAAACATGAGAATTTCAGTTTAGTGCAGTTTATTTGACCATGGCAAATGTTTATTGCCTTTTAAGGAAGGTTTTAAAAACTTAGGCCTTTCTTCCGGGGAAAGGATAACGCTTATCTCGACCTAGTTAAGTTTCTTCGCACTCTGACACTTTGTAAAAGTTTTACTTTTTAATTGCTCTATTTTATTTTGTTAATTTTTGTTTCAAGTGAGAGACAGATTCTTGTAGCTTTTAAGACTGCATTTTCTCTGATTTTAGATCTTGATACGCAGATTCGATACAAAAAGCACGAAATAGAAAAAATCAACCAAGAAGTCGAACTTTTGTTTGGAAAAAGAAAGAAATGTGAGGATGACGCATCGCAACTTCGAAAAAGACTTAACTCGTGTCAAAATGCAATTAAAGAGATCCCCAGTAAAAAGAGCAACAATTCAAACTCAACATAATTTGCCAAAGGCCTATTTGAGTAGGGATTTCAGTACCTGTTCGCAATCCTGTTCTTCAACCTTTGGGATATTCACCAATTTGGGATTATTTTCAAGTACGACTTCACCAAAGGGATTTTCGTGATGTAGACGCCATCAGATGCAGACAGACATGTAAAAGACACCATGCAGACTTTGCATCTTGGAAACAGTGAGTTTTGCTAATGACATGATTGTCGACAGCGCACGATAGACAGCTTTCAGGCTCATTTGAATCCTTGTTGGTGGAGGCGTAGACAGAAAGCTTAATTATTTAGCAAAGGAATGGAAAAGCGCTATCGTAGGCTGATGTACCCGCTGAGAATTCCCTTTCCCTGGGACAGAACATGGGAGCACCACGGTTATTTTCGCACACGTTGTGGTTCCACGATGTTATTTCGCACACAATCTTCGCAGCTACTGAATATAACCTGGACAAGGCTATGCGTAGCTCGAGCACAAATTTATTGCCGAAATTGTAGAGATATGAGGTGAATTCCAAGGAAAGCATTCTCTGTCACGTGGATTTGTTGTTAAGGTTTATTCTCAAAGTATTTCCGTCAACGGTTTTTTCCAACTAAGTAGTCAAGAACACAACCTTACACTGTTATAACGAATAACATAAACTCATACTTCTGCTAAGGATTCGCGTCACTAATTCCTTCCCCGTCCATGCATTAAAAAGGACCTGTATACAAAATTGGCCTCAAAGAGCCTCAAAATTGATCAAAAGTTAAGAACACATTAAAAACAAGCTGAGGCTGAGCTTTTGTAAAGTTTTACTTTGAGCAACGTTTTATCTCAAAAACGAGGATTTTTTGCCATGTATGGGTGCTTTTTATAAATAAATATTCAAACTTTTCGGCAAATGCAGGTTGTCGCACTTTTTTTGCAAATGAGGCCTGAACATCTCCCTAAAGGGAAAAGGCTAGTAGTTGCACTGCTTACGCCCTATTAATTCAAGAACAAATGAAGATCAATCAACAGGACCTCTCTGAAAAACACTCCGATGATGAGAGCTTCCTGTTTAAACATTGTTGTTATTATTATTTTTATTATTATTTTTATTATTATTATTATATATTATTATTATTATTTTAATCCGGAATTACATCCTTTTTAACTTTAGTTGTTTAATTTTTTTTTTCTCAGTTTTTCCTTTTACCTTACGATTGTTATAGTTTTTTTCTTGTAAAACCAGGCTAGCCAATTGCAAATTTCCTTGTAATAGTGAGATTTGTAGTTGTAGCTAAGGTTGAATTGAAAATGAAAAGTTTCCATTATTATTATTATTATTGTTATAATTATTATTATTATAATTATTATTATTATAATTATTATTATTATTAACAATGCAGCCTCAGATTTTCAGAAAAATTATGAACAGTCAGCTTGGAGTTAAATATACTGGTACTTATAAAAAAGTGTAATTATTTGTAATCACTTTACGGGAAGGAAGAGTGACTTGGTCACTGGCAGAAAAGCAGTTTTTCGTACTTCCAACATACACTTTATCACCCTGCAGTACCAATTGTAAACAGTCTTAAACTTTATATTTTCCTAAACCTGATAACCTGGATTCGTCCATTTGGCTATGTTTTGCGCCTTCCGACATCCAAATTGCTTGTTCACGCCTTTCTATATCATCAACTATTTAATCCGCCGTTTGTTACAAACAACGTTTTGTCATTAGATTTGGCTTGTAAAGCGCTCCCTCCCAAAGCCGCTTGGCTTCTGGTCTAGCAGAATAATTTAGTCATCAGATGTTTATTTGAACAAGTAATTTTCAGGAGTTTTGTAACATATGCATTGTTTGTAAATAAACGCATCCAGATTTCTAGGCATCAATGTAAGTACTAAGTAGAAGATCGTTGTAGGTGATTTAATAATACAAGGGAAAGAAGCAAACTTATCTTCAATGCAAGGAGCAAACTGATGAGCTTTTGAAAATTGACGTGTATAATCTGATATCATCATACACTCAGAAAATTGTCTTTGCCTTTTGCAATTTTAGCCTCATAATGAGTCATTGAAGTTCTACTTGCGAGTCGTGCAGATTCAAGAGAGTTGCAGTAAACCACGTAAGGTGTCAAAGACGTCCCTTTAGATGTGGATGAGTTGGTTCAATGTACTGTACATTGTAGAAGAGGGGAGGGTAATTGTAAGTCTAAACAACTAGTTTAAACGCTTTGCATTCAGCGAGTAATGAATGGGTTAGTCGTAAGCATAGAAATGGTCTTAAGGCTATTTTCCGTGTACCCGTTGCCACGCTGTCAAACCATCATTGTTTGGGCCGGTAGAGTAAATGATTATTTGAGAATCATAGGACCTTTAGAGTAATTGATTACTTGAGGTTAAAGCAGCTTGGTTAATGATGAATTCCTTTTATGGCACTCGTAAACCATAGGGAAATAGAATGAAATCTAATGAATGGGTGCTAACTCATTGAAAGCACCTCGTTGTTCATAGAGTTAGCCTTGTAGTAAATGTGCGTAAAACTTAAACGCATAAATAAGTTTCCCCCGTGTCAGATTGTTATCTAAACCTATTGGTTTCATTAGCCTAGGCCAGTTTCCTATCGAATTTTGCAACAAGATTTATTTGCTTGTAGAAAAGGCAGTCGTAGATAAGTCAAAGTGGCTGACAAATTACTTTGAACTCCTAATGGCCCAAATCTTAACAATCCTTGTTTCTCTATGATAGTATTGTTGAAAATATCTTTTCAGCATCGATAATGTGTTTCCTGGCCTCGTTTGCCATTTCGTAGTAAATCAACATTGTTTCATTGTAAGAAAAAGGAGATCAGAATTTGGGAATTGACGTAGGTGTTTCAAGATTTGTTGTAATGACTATAGTTCTTGTCTCTAGTTGTATTCACTTTTCACTACAAAGGTGGCCAGGACATTTGTTTCTAGAGTTTTTGGAGGGAAGTAACATTGGTGACCTGTGTGAGTCAGCTGAATTTTGTACTGCCAGAATTGGTAGGTTTTAAAACGACTGAAAACTCTGCCAATTTTTTAAGGGAAGTTTACGATTTGAAATTTTATTCCCTCGCTAACATCAATTATTACATACGAATAAACTGGCAATTTTGAATTATTAGTGTACTCTAGGCAGAAGAGACCGGAGTTGCACATCTGCTCGTCTACAATGCTGCTGTGCGAGAACCGCTATCCACCTGCTTTGTCACGTCGATTTCTTAATATAGCCAACTTGTTGAAAAAGCTGCATAAACCTAGACAGTTGACGTTCAGATGGCCAAATCTGATCTTTGCGAAACTGGTTTCTCGTCTGTCTACAACGTGAGCGGCTTGCGCTTTAAAAGAAATAGCTTACTTTAGGCGCCGTCTCATATGGTTTTCGGTAATGATTTTGCCTCATAGTGTAGCATGTCCAGAAATGTCTAGGAGGAGGAGAAGTAGAAGCATAGTTGCGAACAACGAGCACGACGAGTACATATTGTCTGGCATAATGGTCCTTTTTGTCCCTTTCTCAATTTTGAATTTTGAACTGTATACTAGGTTACATACTACAGCTGTTTGCAAGACTATTAATTTGCACTTTTCTATGACATTTTTGGTGCTAAGACCTGCAGTGTTTCGTTAACAAGAGAGAACATTTTCAAAAACACACTGTTTTCTTTTCATTTTCATCTGAGACTCAGTATGTTCTTCTATTGTCTTTTTATCCAGGTGAGCCTCTAGGCATGTTGTTACCTTGTCCTTGTTGGCAAAGCAAGCCTCCATGTTCTTATGAAAAATAATGTATTTCGATTTTTTTAGTTTTACTATGCCCACTTGATGCCGCTATCGGCCCACTTCTGTGTCCCCCTCCCTCACAACGCCCCAGTTTTATGGTGCATTCCCACACTTCTCGCTTTCCAAGGCCAATCCTACTAGTTGCTCAATCACCTTAAGCTATATTTGCTTCATATGATCATTAAGTAATTCTGTGATGTTGAAAAGCAAAAAATACAATAGAATTCCTGTCTCTAAATAAAAAATTCCCAGTGCCATTAAAAAAGCATTTCTTATATCAGTGACCATATACCCACCAAGATATGAGAAAAAGACAAATTGGATTCAGCCTAACTAGGTCTCGCTGCAGGGAAAAATTTAATCTCGGCTTGATTAGAAAAGAAACAGCAAATACTGTATTAACTTTTTGATTGTCATGTGCTTAGATAATGAGTAAATCAAAATTTATGATAAACAAGTCATTAACATCAAATGTAGAGCAACTCACCTTGTGTCAGTATTGAAACTTTAAAATTAAAGTGCACCGCTAACGTCACTTTCTAAGTTATAATATTTTATAAAAAAGAAGCTTTGAGCAGTTTGCTTCGAATTTCAACATTTTTCGTTTACGTTTTTTCAATAAAGTGACACTTTATGGTCATCTTTCATGAATACTCAGAGAATCTTTTACAGAATTGTTTTGAAGCAACGCTTCCATGTTTTGCCGAATTTTTCCCCTCAAACCAGCAAACCAATCATAAAATTATCTTTAAACCGAAAGTTGAAGGAATGGCGAGTGCATTTTCCCGCCATAACCTATCGCTTCCAAGCTCCTTCGCCTCATAATTCTGATTTTGAAATTGGTTGGCTTAGGCCCGTGGTCACTGTGAGCCGCCATTTTGATCTACCGTTTTCATACTTTTGCGACCCTAGTGTATTTTGATCACTAAATGTCAGTTTTGGAAATTGTTCACCTGATATCACTTTTAATAACCTAAAGCCTGATATCTCAGCCAAAATGATATTCTCGGTAATATATTTGAAGTCAGAACGAAGGTGCACGTATTTATTTTCTAGTTTAATTAAATTATATTATAATTATTAAGTATTGTCTGTACTTAGAGGCATTTTTTTATGAATCCTTCGAAAATATTTTCCAGAGATTATCTGAAGCACCGGTCCAACGTTTCCCTGACTTTTCACCCATAAAACAGTAAGGTGATCTTTCAAATTTATCTTCTTTTAAAAGCTATTGGAATTACGCAAAAAATTTCGTGGCGAAAGCGTTCGTTACAAAAACCCCTCAGAGCTGAACTTCTGTTTCAAAAACCTGTCAGCTTAGGCCCTTTTCTTCTGAAAGCCAATGACCGAAAACACAATTTTAGCACCGTTTCCATACTTTTGCGACCCCAGTGTATTTGCAACAAAAAGGGTTTTTCTTTGCATAAACCTGTAAGATTTCAGTAAGGCGAACTTGGAAATACTTACTTTTTGCTCGGTTGCCCAAAACTGTCAATTCTTCTGAGAGTTATTAAAGTACCTATTTCTCAAAAGTTTTGGTCGCACGTTTTTTGCCCTGCAAAAGGCCTAATTTCGGATACCATTATGCCCCATTTCGTAACATGTTGCAACATACAATCGATAAAACATGTGGCTCCAACTCTTCCAGCCAATTGCGATGTTTTTTAGGGAACAAATATTACAGCAATATGTCCAAAACAGCATTTCATCTCCTCGTTGAAAGAAAATACCAAAATTTCTGCGATAAACAGTCGTAAAGAGTGACCCACCAGTTTCCAAAAAACCTTCATTAAAAAAAAGGCTGTAAAGGTGTCATTTTTCGTTGAATTCAAGGCCAATAATGATCTTCTGGGATCACCAACATCTAAATGTGATCTTGCCAAAGTTTACTTAAATATATAATGTGGCGTTTAAAAGTAACCTGCTGCAAAGGTTTTTGATTGAGTTTAACAAGTTTTACAAGCTTCGAGACTGTCCAAATAGAAACTTACTTTTTTGATACTTTACAAAGCTATTCTTCTCAAAATTGAAATAAAAAGTGTTGCCAATAGTTTGAACTTTTGTTTGGTTGAGTTTTAATCATGGAATAACGCTTTATAGTTTCATAAAAGTGGTTTGAGTTTTGAATGTCATGTTGTCCTCAACGCTGACGCCATTATTAATTGGTCGAAGTGGTGCAATACTTTTGCTCACCTAGTGTAATTCATTACGTTATTTATTCGCCCGAACATTGCAAACCAGGATCTCCGACGCAAGTTTTGAAAGTGAGAGGGCCAAGGGCAAATTAAAGTACATGTCAAAAGATTTTGCAAAAAATTGGGGGGTCGTAGTCCCACCAAGCCCCCGCCTTTGGAGGCCCTGGGGTATGTTGGTTTGCAGAGTCTTTCAGGACAAGTGGTAGTATCTTGACTTTTTTTCTCTTCCCTCTATCTCTACAAACTTCAAAAAAAACTTTCTGACATTTGATGGGGTTAAGCATTGGAACTCCTTGCCAATTGAACTAAAGAATATCCGCAACAAAAATGCCTTTAAAAAGATGATGAAACTATACCTTTTACAGAACTCCTAAGCCATAAGAATTCGTTCTACTTTTTTAAACATATCCCTAACCAGTGAAATTTACCAGCCTACCGCCTGTATACATATATATATATTTTTTTCTATACTCTTACATCTTTAATTTTTTACTCTTACTGTTATAGACTACTTCAAACTGAAATGGAAATTATAATCTTGAGTTTAAATACGTCACTGGGACACTCGATAGCTCCTGGCGAGTTTTTCTCATGTGTCCTTCAGCATAACAAACCACTTTATCTGATGTAATAAATTAATTAAATTTTTGAAAATGCTAACTTTTGTATTCTAAATTTTAATTCTTGGTATATTGTAATTAACATTTGTTTTTGCTGATAAAGATTTTGAGTTTGAGTTTGAGTTTGAGTCTTGAGGGTGATGTACTTCAGCCTAGCGATAACAACGACAACAACAGTGGAGGGTCGCCAACAACATCAACAACATTGCAGTTGGAAAAGGCCATTTTGTGATTGCAGTGAAGAGAGGACTGGTTAAATTCTGTTTGGGCATTGTGAGTTGATTTGCCGGTAAGTGCAATAAAATTTCGTTCAAATTGCTTCTAATAACATTTTACCCGAATTGTGCAATAGTCATTCATGCTACATTTTTCGCGTGCAAACCTCTCTTTACTATTATTTTGGCGTGCAAGCAAATTTGGTGTGGTATCAGAAAGTTTTGGCGTGCAACAGGACTTCGCGCGGGCATACTCTCTGACTGGGCAACAGTTAAACCGTTGTTTTTCCTTTTTTTAATAAAACGCAATTGCAAAATCATTACTAGAACTAACTTTGATAAAGTATAACAGTAAAATTGATTAATGAAATACCAAAAGAAAGGGTTGTCTATGCAGAAGAATTTCTTCAGAAGAACGATTTTGAATGGTTTCAAATGCTAGCTAGCTGAAATAGAATGAAAAGAGATATACATAAAGTTAGCTAACATTTGCAAGCATGTACAAACAATACTTGGCAATTATTTTCAAAAAAGTAGGCTTTGAGTTTTCAACAAGAACAAAAACACTAAAAGTCAATAGGAATGCTATTCCAGCACTTAGCTCAAAAATATCCCACAGACCTAAGCCCATATTGAAGAGTATTTTGCTATCCTAGAAAAATGGCTGCTCGATGGCTTGCAGAGTATCTTATTGATGAATAGGTCCATTCAATGCAACTATTTTTTAACATATCATACACAAAAATGAATTTCAACTGTTAGTGATCAAGCAGCTTTAAAAGCTTAAAGTCAGAAAAAGTTAATTAAGAGGCAAAAACATAATTTCAGATGAGATTGTCCTTGAAACCCATTTTTGTAATAGTAATACTGGTTTGATATAATGTTCATTAGTGAGGCCCTAAGCTAAAATTCCATATTGCAAGAATAGTGGAATCAGACTATTGTACAGGAAAGCAAAAAAACTATTGTTGAAACTGTCTTACTTTGAAGAACATACCACAGGTTCTGGCCAGCTTTTTTGCGAGTCCGGTAAGTTGATATTTTCATGAGAGATTTTTATAGGAACACTAATATGTTGCAAGAATTGCCATGGTTCCTATCTTCAGGCCATGCTGGGAATGGCGTGCGATCGCACGCCCACGCCTTGGCACACGCCTTCCGTTGCTCAGAAGTGCAGTTTATCGCACGCCTTAAATAATCTGCAAATAACACTTTATTCTAAAGTGACCAATATGGCCCAATGTAATTTTTTTATCATAATTCAACTATAAACGAATGGTGATAATCACGCAATCGTTTCTATTTGATTTCTACTTGACGAAAAATTTGGCGAATATTCTAATTTGCTCAAAGTTATGGTAAACGTTTTTTGAATGAAAACATCCACTTCTTGATTTCTTCAGATTCTAGTAGCCGGTGTAATATGCGTTTTGTTACCCTATGCAAAAGTGTAACATTGTGAAACGCAATGTGTTACAAATCATGTTGATTTATCATGGTGTGATGTTAGGACACAATGTGCGTTACAAATGGAACACAGTGCTTCCCGAACAATGCGTTTCCTATATAAAGGAAATCAGAGCACCGCTTGTAGTTAGCACCGCCTTGTTAAAAATTAGTAAGATTGCTCCTTACATTCTGAACAATACGGACCAAACCGGAATGCAAAGAATATAAGAGCCAAAGCACAAGAACCGTATCCATAAACTCAGTTGCTTTTGTACCCTCTTTTCTTTTTTTACAAAATTAAATAACTTGAGGTCAAGCTTTGTTTATACGTTTTAGTCAAACAGGCCAAACTTTCCTTGGTTGTATGTAGAACCATTTCGAAGAAATAATTTAGAACAAGCTGAGGCAGAATTACAGCCAAACTTTAAATTTGAACAAATTTACGAAACCCCCTTAAAAAGTGTAATTCGAAAATGGTTCGTTTTGGTTACCTCTTCTTTAAGTTCTTGGGTACGTTTTTGCATAACCAAAAGTGCCATGCGTTTGTGTACCCGGACCGAAATGCATGCTAAATTCTACCATTCGTTTTGGTTACCTATTGTTTAAGTGCTTGGGTACCTTTTTGCATAACCAAAATTGCCATGCGTTTGTATACCCGGACCGAAATGCATGCTAATTCTACCATTCGTTTTGGTTACCTATTGTTTAAGTGCTTGGGTACCTTTTTGCATAACCAAAATTGCCATGCGTTTGTGTACCCGGACCGAAATGCATAAGGTTACCGAAACGCATATGACACCGGACTTTCAAGGCACACGATGATACCATGTTTAAAACTAACAGAAGTTCTGAAAGTGACGAAAAACCCCTGTAAACGATAGTCTCCATAATTTCTTTATCAAAGTTTTGAGTTGAGGTCTGAAAATCGCTCGACCTTTTAGGCCGATAATCCTTGCTTTGCAGTTGTGGTCGCTTGTCTCATTTGCAATAACTGCAGTGGAATCACGATATAACGAACCCCGGATATAACGAACTTCCCGGTATAAGGAACTAAATGCTTGGATTCTGCCTAACAAACTCCTTACAAATTCTCTCGGTATAACAAACCCCGGATATAACGAACTCTCGTTATCACGAACCATTTTTAGGTCCCTTCATCATAATTACCCTTGATATAACGAACTTTCATAAATTCTTCATCTGCTATTTTTGTTTATTTATTTTCGGTATTCATTTATCACTTTCTCTTGGGGAGAAATCATTTTTATAATCGGCAAAACATGCCGATGATACATTTCAAGCCCGGGCTGATACACTCAGACCACGAGATGAAAGTTCGATTGCGTCAGAAATGACTGCGAATGAGTACATTGACACTAACAAATAACTTCTTACATCTAAGGCATTAGCAATAAGCGACGACAAAACTTTATTGAGAGACCCAGATGGAGAAGCAGAAAAAGACAAGTAAGAATGTGAAGTAATTGAAGACATCATTCAGGCACCAACTAGGAGCGAAATGATACCAGCTTTGCCAATCTCTTGGTCCCAAGTTATAAAAGGAACATTAAGATTTTCATTTTCAATGACCAGCCAGTTGTATTATTTGAATTCAGATTGGTTTTTTTGAGTTAAATGGTACAAGTATGGCTGTACATGTGCACAGAGGTTGGAGATAGCCTAAACAAGCCCACCACAGGTTTTTTAGGCGTGAACTGCGAAAGGACCCCCAAAAAACATTATCTCTCGGTTTAACAAACTCCCGATATACGAACTATTTTCTGGTTCCCTTCAGAGTTCATTATATCGGGATTCCACTGTAGATACAACCCCATGGCACATGTAAGGCTTTGTTTATTTAAACAGGCTTATTGATCTTTAAGCTTTAAATGATTTGACCCAGATTACACTGTGGTTTACGAGTGTATCTTGCAAATGCGATCAGTAAAATCCCGTTTTCTCAGGACTCACAATTCCTCTATATACAGTTTACTTTATGTGCATTTTTCTAATCTGTATGCAAATACAAAACTCTTTAGAAACTTTTCTAATAAAATGTGGCCAAAAATGTTCCAAAATTGAAAGACTTTGAATTGTGAGGATTTAGCTACTGTAGCTTTCTTACAAAATATAAACGTGCAATTAACCATTTAATTCGTTCTAACATTAGTCAACAGATAAGTTTTCTTTATGGTGAAAACACAGTTAGAATTCTTAAATTTTGAGAACGAGATTGTCAGGAGAAGCAGACCGGAAGGGTTTATAAACTGCAGGATTACATATTAATTAACCTACCTTATTGTTAATGTTTTTCTCTTTAATATGTTGGGTTTGACGTTAATAAAGCTTGTTTGATAAAATGTATTGATTGGACTAGCCTTGCTTATGTTTTCTTATGATAAAGTTATGTAGTCTAGTCCATATACAGCTGACTGTATTATTAAGTACTTTGGTGCAATAGCACACCATTGCACGCCTTGGCACCACAAGGAGTGCGATTCATTGCACCCCTGCCATTTTATTCCCAGCATGGCCTGTATCTTTATCCTTTGACTTTCCATCGTTGATGTTTGTTACAGTCTTATTTAGCATGCAGAGAACACGGAGCCAATGAGAGAGACAGTGTGTTGACTGTATATATCTAATGTGAACTGAACTGAACTGAACTGAACTGGACTTTATACAAATTAAGATACTTGCTGACTAAGGATGAATTAGGATTATGTAATGATGATGTAACGATGATGCAATGGAAAAGGAAAGATCTAGACTTAGGAAGAAGTGAGCTTGACATAGATTTGTGAACTTGTGTACAATGGTGAAGGGAATGTCGTGTGGTAGGTGATGCCGTGAATGATGTAAGTGGATGTCATGGTGATGGCATGATCAATGAGGAGTAGGAATATGGCCTATCTTACAATATTTTCCTCCAAAAGAATACCAAAAAATTTAACATAAAAAAGATCTATTTGGCCTTCAGTTGTTGTCAGTTTCTGGAGCAGGATGTTGAGAAGTCTAAAAGTTAGAAAATTTGTTTTTTTCAATAGTGAGTGACACTTTGTTAACATCTTATAATAACTTAAAACCCTGCATTTTGATGAAGCAATATTTGAAGCTGAACATAACAGTAGTGATATTGACAGTGATAAAAGCTCATCAAATGATAGAAACTTACATATCTAGAAAATTCTGAACAATTTTGAGAATTTGTTTTGTTATATTTCTATATTCATATTAACATAGTGTTTGTTGTATGTTTTGTTATTTCATATTATGATGATTTTTGGTATCACAGTTGAATCTCTTATTTAACACTCTTCCAAAGCTTTTGATATGAAGCTCTCAATCTTCCAAAGCTTTCCAAGGATGCTTCAAAGACATTTTATTTAGAGGTACGAAATAGAGTGCCAAGGGTGTCTACGGAGCTTGTTTTATAGATCACCTTCATTTTGCTTAGAGCAAGGCCTACTAAATACCTTGCTTAGAGCTACTAATATTAATTGGTATCATGTCTTACTGAAGATTTGAAGTTCTATTAATTTCATTCAGGACATGTTGCTTATTTTAGGTCACTTCTTTTGTTGTAGCATCTTCTTGCAGTCAGTATTTAAAATGCTTTTTTTCTTGCTTCTCACTCATGAATAAAAGTTGAATGTGTTTTTGACTCACAAGCCAAAACATTTAGACCATGCATTTTCAAATCACGAGTCATTCATCAAATAAAATGAACCTCTTCTAAATCATAGCACTTTTGTTACAACCTTACCTTAAATAAGTTAGTTAAATTGCAAAACTCTATCCATGATTGCTGTACAATTCATAGGCTTTACAAAGGGAAATCTTTGGGGAGGAGTGCCTTAAGGGCAATTGACCCTAGTAATTATGGTAAAAAGGTACTGGTATTAGGGGTTACATATTGCTTCATATCAGTTTCTTGAGAGATTCATAAATTGTTTTATATGTTCTGTATGGGTATACTATTTTCCAGTACCCTGATAAAATCCCTGTAATATTCATAATGCTCCTTTGCTGAGAGATATCTTCTTCTCCTCATCTACAAGCAATGCATCAATTTTGTTAAAACCAACATTGATGAATACAATTTTTTGTGTCTCCATTTTCAGGAAATGGTTTGAATTCTGATTCTCTTAAAGATGGCTACCCCTAAAGAGCAAATCACAGATCAGGAGCAGGACCATGAGGGTCCAGCATCTCATGGTGATGATCGACTACCTGAGAAAATGGATGAAACAAAAAGAGATTTGCCAGCACAGTCAGATATGTCATCAGGCCCTGTAATTGAGCCATCAGCTGCACCAGAATCAGACAGAGAAAGAATTAAAATGCAGTGAGCATTGTTATTTCTAAAGGGATAGGAAGGATATCAACTTTGGACTGGGGCAGGGTAAAAATAGATCAAAACTTTAAAGACTGGTCATGAGATTTCTTAAGTCATGTGATTTCTTTTGCAACATTTTTTTGTTCTTTCAAGTCATACAAGGCTAGGCATTAATTTCCCAGATAATAGATGGTCATTGAATATGAGATGTTTTCACAACTTTATAAATTTTTTTTTCAAACATGGTTATAAAAAGACAAAACAACTGTAGTCTCACAATTTGCATGTGATGTTTTCATGTTGACACTTCATGATGTTTTCATGATGTTTCCAGAATGTTTTAGCAATTGAGCTTTTTGTATGCAACTTGGCTAAACATCCCTCTCATGTCCTTAAAAATGCAAATATTTTTGAAAAACATTCATTTTGGTAATGATCTTGATTAAAAGATGAGTGGGTTTTGTGAAAGGGGCAACATTTCTGTCTGTTTCTTTTCAACAACTTTTCTTGATCTACAAAAGATACTGACTGAAGATGCCTTCAGCTCACATTTAAACAGCCCCATTATTTATGATGTAGGTTCTTTTAATATTTTTGCAATTACAATTGGAAATACATTTTTAATGTTTTGGCAGTGAATAAAATTGGAAATACAAACTGTGGATTTATTTTCAATAACCATTCGGTATGTGTTTACAATTCCATCATGATTTCTCTTAGTTGCTTTTAGTATTTTAAATCTCTTTTAGAGCACTGGTTGCATCTTTTTCTGAGTCCCAACTTAACAGATATGAAATGTATCGAAGGGCCTCTTTTCCAAAAGCTGCAATAAGAAGGGTATGTACAAGTCTTCTGTATAGAGAGGGTTTTGTTGTGTACATTCAGGTATTTTTCAAAAAGTCCTTATCAAGGTTTTTTTTCGCATGTAGCAAAACCTAGTTAAAATATCCTTAAAGTTTGAAGCTTTGGTTACAGATAATCCTACAACTTAGAAAGGTCTTGGAGGTCCAGGTTTTGGAAAATATTTCTCCAATTTATTGCAGATGTGTTTTGTCTATGATATGTTTCTTTTTATATGCAGCACCCTTTTTGTACAACTAGATTATTGATCTTCTAATTCAGGTGTCTAATTTATATAAAAGTTCTTTCTACAGGAATTTTGAAAACTAACAACCCCCTCACTGAAAAGATTCATACCGAACGAACATCTATTTGCTATATTCTATTGGTACCTGGAACATGAAATCAGCTTTTAACTGATGATAATTATGTTGCACAAAAAAAACCTGTTTAGCTTGTCTACATTGCGGTTAGCTTCCTGCAACAGATCAGTTAACGGAAATCTCATTTAGATCTATTGCTATATTAATACTCATTTTCGTAAATACTGATTGATGTGGAGTATTGTCTTTATGGTTTTATTTCAAATTTTCAGTTGATGCAGAGTGTCATGTCAGGTGGTTCTGTTCCTCCAAATGTTGTCATTGCCATGGCTGGTATTGCCAAAGTTTACATTGGTGAGATCTGCGAAGAAGGTAAATTGTCAACTCTTTTCTAAGTTATGTATGAAAATTTTATTATATCCAGTCTTCAAAAGTGAAGCATTATGCTTATGTTTGGTTCTGGATTTTCAGTAAGCTTAAAACGCAGAAATTATGTTCTGTTTTATTTGTAGGCAACTTTCTTATTGAAAGTTGAACTCTTATAGCATTTTATAGATCAATTTTTTCTTGATATCTCAAACCTCCAAGGAAATGATTAAAATGGTTCGGGCTAACAAAAGCTCAAGTTATCAGCTGCTTTTGGTAAAGTGGTGGGGAAGGTTCAAAGGGGGATGCAAAGACAGTTCGAGTTAATGGAAGTTCGAGTTATCCGGGTTCAAATAATTGGGATTCTTCTGTATACTTTTACTATAAGTTGAATAACTACTTTGACAGTAATTTTTGCTGTCTAATTTCACTGCTGTCGTCAGATGAGTGATGACGTCAGGGACTACGGATGATGCTTTAGATAAAAAATAGTTAAACAAACAATGCGAATCAGCTAAGGAGATATGATAGAATAATTATCTCTAACATAAGATCTGTGTTCTAAAGAGAAATGGTTGAAACAATTTATAGAAGCCAGATTAATGAAAGGAAAATTGATGGACCCCTAGTTGATGTCCCTCTCGCCTACCTAGTCCCCAATAATATAACTACATGTTTGTGCAATCATCAAGTGCCGATCCTCCAATGTCTTGGCGTTTTTGGTCATAGTTTTTGCCACTAGCAAATATATCATTGTTTACGAACTTTTTTCCAGCTCTTGATATCATGGAAGAAAGAAAGGAACATGGACCAATCCAGCCAAAACATTTGAGGGAAGCAGTCAGAAGACTCAAAAGTAAAAGCATGATACCAAATTCGAGGTATAAAAAGACTTTGCTATGAACGGTAAGAGATAGCTTCATCTAACATTGATGTTGAGATATAAAGACAAATCTTTTGAAGTTTGCTGAATTCCAAATTGCTCGCGCATTGCCTGGTTCAAACGAATGGATTTACGAGTAGCTTTTTTTCGTTTTCGTTGTAAATGTAGCCAATCGTCGCTCCGGGGCCAAGAGGCGTTCCTGTTCGTGTTTTTGTGACTAGCTGCACAGATTGGAAAATCGTCTTTTTAATAAATCCGCGAGTGCGCACTTTTTTCTGCTTTTATAACGTCATTGTTCAAGCAACGAAAACGTTCAATGGAAGCTAGTTGATAATAGCACAATATTCAAAGCAGAGTCCTTTCGATCAGATTGTCCTGTAAAGACAGCTTTTGGCAGATGTGAATCGTTACAATCAAACAGCCATAGGAAGCTACTCTGATTTTCAACGTGGCACATATGACATTAAAAACCTACACATGTTTTGTAAACAGAACACAAGAGACTCTGAAGTGGATGTCGTATTCATGATGAAGTAAGAGAACTGATTGGTCCCTTTAGAGGTACATAAAGAAGACTGTTGGTTCTCTAGGATATTTCACGGAAAGTTGTACTTTTAACCTCTTAGTTGTCAGTTTGTAATCCATTTAATATCAGTTTAACTAAAGACTGCTTATGATTATACAAAGTCATTTCGTACCCATATTCTTACGAATTAAAGATCTAAGGGCATAGCTTGCAGATTCTGTTTCCTTTGTCAGGGGTTTTGTGCAGTCCTGTATGTGTTTATTTCTGATTTTCGTTCCGAGGGATTTCCAACAAGGAAATTTCTTTACAAGCTACATATGAACCCTCATGTTTCTTTATCTCCCCGTTAAACCCTTATAATGTTTTCTTGCCCATTCTCAGTCCTTGGCAACTTTGCGTAGATCGGGAAGCTGGTGTTTTTCTTTCACTGGCCATATCTCACTCAATTTCTTTCACTGGCCATATCTGACCAAATTTCTCATTGATTGCACTTTCTTTTGTTTTCATTGCGTTCTTTCAGGTTATCTAGTTAACAGCCAGAAATTCAGAAAATAGAATTTTTAAGGCGTCACACTTACATGCTCTATAAGAGACCCCTAGTATAAATCATACTAGCTTTACCAATAATATATGGTTTGAGTTCGTCTCAGTTTGTTGCAGTAATCTCCAACCAATGACTCCAACTTAGTTCTTGAGACTAAACTAAGGTGGACATCCCTTTCTTATTGATTTCAATCGAACCTCCCTACAAGTATTTATTGTTAATATCATGCTACCAACGTAGCTACGACATGTTCACACTGATGTGTTTCAAAGTCTGTTTTTTCATCAAGCCGTTCGCATCCATGTTGATACGACCATTAATGCCTTTTCAAATGTCTCTGTTTTCAACTGTTTTAGTGTGGACTCATTGGGCAATGTCGCCTTGATCCATTATTTTGTTAACTTGATTTCTTTATTGTATTTCTTTGTTTTATTCCCTTAATATTTCTTTTCGTATTGAAGTTCGCGTAGTTCGTTGGTTGACCGAAGCAAAGTCTCTAATTCAGTAAGTTTTCATTTCTCATCAAAAGAGGTCTCCTATTTGCTATTGATCAGTCATACTAATTTGTCACCCTTCTCTAATGTCAAGGACCCTCGAAATTAAATAAACAATTGCCAATGGATGGGGGCACACCAATTTATTTTCAATCTTTATAAAAAAAGCAATAAACATGTTTTTTAACGGGAAATTTCCTATCTGATCTGGGATGGTGTTTGTTGGATAAGTTAGTTTTTGCGCCGTAAAAGGCTTTCGAATCTTTGTTTTGTTTTTCTTTAAGGGTATATGTGTTTGTAATTTATTAAATTTGTCGATTTGAAACAACCACCCCCCTCTTCTGAAACGGTGCCGATTTTTGCAGATCAGGCTAGCGTGCGTATGAGAATAAAAAAGCAACCTGAGGCGAGTTAGTTGTACTTCAATCTAAATCGTTATTTTCCCGCTGTTTTGTACCATCTTTAAATGTTGTAGCAAGTAAGGCTCAATTCCGCATTCCTATTGAACTTCTAGTTTGTTTGGCGAAAGTAACGCTTGCTTGATTTCCATATATAATGCTTGTTTCTTTGCAATATGCCTGTTGTTGGTTCACCAAGGGTAAACGTTTTAATAGACTTTTTCTTCTTGAAATCCTGGTTGTGAAACTGAAGATGGCTGGTAATACAGAATCAACTGCACTTCTTCCCTCGCAGAATTCTCAGTATGTGTCGCCTTCACAGATCTCATAAATTCCGTCAAACCGAAAGAAAAGGGACTTGCAAATAGTCTTGGCTTTTGGCCTTCATTTGCCTACGTGGTAGGAATCTTGTTCGGGTCTGGTGTGTACATTTCGCCTAGTCTTGTTGCAAAGGAAACTGATAATATGGCTATAGCATTATGCGTTTGGATTTTCGCTGGAGCTGTTTCCATCTTCGGTGCATTATGCTTTTGCGAACTGGCTTGTGCAATTGGCAAAACAGGAGGTATTGCTGCATTTGTGACTTTGTGGGCAAAGGTTGTTGTTGGTTTTCCCGCTGCCATGGCTGTGTTGGCTATGGCGATCAGTGAGTACATTTTAAGCCCGTTTATTGACGTAACTGCCTCGTATGGAGTTTGGATAACCAAAGCTGTTGCTGTGCTTTTCATCGTGATGTCTGCCATTATAAATTCTTTGAGCGCCTCGTTTGTTTGCAAAACCCAAGTCTTTTTCACGGCCATTCAGTCATTATCAGTGCTATTTTTCTTTTCTCTGGGAATATGGAAAGCTTCTGCAGGACACACTCAAAATTATGTTTCTATTTTTGACAATTCCAGCAAATTTGTACTCGGTAGTTTTGGTATAGCCTTTTACAATGGACTTTGGGCATATGATGGATGGGGACTCATTTGCACAATCACAGAAGAATTGAAAAACCCAAAACGGGACCTCCGACTAGCAATTCTTTTCGGAGTCGGATTTGTTATTCTATGTTATCTTTTGATTAACTTAGCGTTGTTGGCGGTTTTAACCCACGGAGAAATTGCAAGTTCATTGTCAGTGTTTACGCTGTTTGTGACAAAGATTCTCGGCAATAGCCTCGCTATAGATTTAAAGAATAAAACAAGGAACTCAACAATGCGCAAAGATGAAATGCAAAATGGCAATTATAATGCCTATTAAAAATCATTTTTGTTATCAAAAATTGTAAGGCCTTTTAATTGTTAGGTCTTTGGCCTTTTAAATCCAAACGATATGGACAAACGTTCAATAAATCTTATGGCACTATGACAAGCGATTCAAACTGCCTCAAGTAACACCATTTGATTTTGAATTTTTTTGACACCTCAATTTTTTTTGTTTTACTTTACAAAGGATACCCAAAGGTCTCAAAGGAAATGATCGAAAAAATTTGTTTTTAGAGCCAATTAAAACAGAGGAATAACAAACGAAACAGCTGCTTACAAAATACAAATCTTCAGTCAAATTAGAGAATTATTTGGATAAACCTAAAATAAGCCAAATTTTTGGCTTATACTCATTTTATTTTTAAGAAACAAAGGGCGATGTTGAGTACTCTAGTTTCTTAATGTTCTGGAAATTTCAATACTCACTGTTTCTCAAGAGTTTCTTAATTATGATGTCTTGAATGGTGTTATGAAATGTTCGCAACCTTTCTTATCACGTCAATTCAAGGATGCACCAAACCATTAGCGGTAACGTTGTGGAAATTCAATGTGCCACGCCCAATATCCCTAACATCATACATAGTTTTGCGTGTGTTATTTAAACCAAATAATATGATACCATCGTCAATATGTGGTATTCACAGTCTAAACAGCAAGGCATTCTAACCTCTCGTTCTCTTTCATGCATGGATGGTATGCATATACCTAATACCTGTTTGTATCACAAAGATAGACAGTTGGAAAAAAGAAGTTTGCCACTGCAACGCTCGGTTGGGTTGCACCAGTGGCCATGACCCACCCAGTTGCTTCTTTTTCTATTTAAACAGTTCCGTAAGAATTATACTATTTTGTTCTAGGAAGAAAAGTCTAGCGGGGATTCTTCGTAGTTTTTCGTTTGTTTTAAAACGAAACATCATTGCCAAGCAAGCCCACTGTCTGAATCTCGTTCAAAAGGTTTATTTTTAGTACACAGTGTTCAGCTTAAAAATACATTCTCGCAGTTATTTTGAGAGGTTTCTTTGTTGGAGCTAAACCTTGCCCATTGACAGATAGACAAAGAGCTTTGCGAATCTTATAAAAATATTTTTGTATCTTGTGAAGCCAGGTAGGTGTTGCTAGACGACGAGCAGTTGTGACAGGTTTTTAATTGTTTCTTTGTCAGGTAACCAAGATTGGTATTAAAACTTTGATTGCATCTCTGTCAGGAAAATAAAATTGATACCACAGACTTTGCATGTTTCTAAACAATTTTGAAATTTTCAAAATAAGCGGGTATCTCAGCCCCCTACCTGCTTAGTTGTGCTTGGATACCGGAAATGATTACGTAATCCACACAGAGCTACGACCAAATTGTTGCGTCAACTCAGGCCTGCAATAGCTATATATTCCAACACAAACAGACATTTTTCGCTTATTCGAATTTTGCAAAAATATAAATGTGTTGAAAATATTAGAGGACCCTTTACCCACGTTCTTTGTTCTATTATTCAACCTTGTTATGTAGTTTAAAGACAGTACCACAAGAATCTCATATTCAGGTCACAGTCATGTTTCAGTTAAGTTGTAAAATGTTACATTTGTATTCGCATGAAAGTTGCTTGATGCTTCTACCAAACTCAAACTCAAAATACAGTATAATTCTAATATATACGAATTCTAACTAACTACTAATCTAATCAATAAAATTGTAACTATCGGTAAATGTACTGTAACTTGGAAGCAGTTCGTAAATAGAAACATAGAGGTAAAGTAGGTGTTCACTGATCAGTATATTACAAGAAGCTAATGCGCAACTTGGTGCGGCATGTCCTAGGCCAACTTCTCAATATTTGGCAGAATTGTTGATGTTGACAGCCGCAAGTTGCCTTCAAGGTGCTGATCAGTCATTTGAGATCGCAGTCGACTCTTCGCATACTTCATCTTTGAGAAGAGATTTTCGCAAAGGTAAGAAGTACTTCCAAACATGCAACACATCTTCTTGGCATGCTGCACCAGACCTGGATATGAACCATCATCCACCATGGAGATTCTCCATATAAAACTGGATGATATGAGTTTCCTTGTATTTCTGTTTCAATTCAGTGGTACCTTGCAACTCGATCAACTACAATTGAAGATGGAAAGTGAACCAATGTCCCTTGATTTAGCTGAGTTTTCCAAAGATTTAGCATAAGCAGGAACGTGACAACATGTTCATACACCACATTCACAAAGTGACCATGGCCTTAAAGCTTCTTGTCCAGCTAGTTCGAGTGACTAGAAATGTCAACGAGGAATAGTAATCCAGACAAAAATCTAGGATCACTGAATCGATATCGAACCGACACCCGTGCATTGGGCCACATTATTTACAGATTAACAGGGACCTTCCGGGCCACACAAAAGTACCTTGCGGGCCGCGGGTTGCCATTTATAGGGTCATATCTTTTCCATGTGTTTCTCCTGTAGTTATTACTTCTTTCAGTAGAATTCTCTGTCAAATTGAAGGTAGATGGCACTCAAAAATATGGTGCAGTTTTCAACATTTTAAACTATATGTCAAATATTGGCCATGGTGCTGCACAATCTCAGTCAAATAGAAAATAAGTATTGATTATCTATTACTTTGTAAGAGAAAATGTAGCTTTTATGATCTGCTAGTTTTTACACATTGGAAGTTGACACACCTTTTTCATTCGATTGTAAAAAATATTAAACACAATGTTGTGAAGTAAGCAATTTGTTGCAGTAATAGTTTTACTGCTGTCTGATTTTGTTAATATACATTAAGAACCATAAGGGATTTTAATTAAAATCAAAATTAGTGAATTATGCTCTTCAATATGCCTTTAAACATAAGTTTGAGAAGTAAAATGGCTCTTACCCATATTGGTTTCAAAATTACTTGCTTGATCTTGAGAATATTCTCAGTGAAAAGGGTTGCAAAATTTGGCAAAGTCAGAGAAAAGGGTACATTTTAAGCAACACAGAATCAGAGATTAGGGTCCCGTTTCTACTTTCAGGAACACACATGATATATGTTTTTCCAACTGACTGAGCCCGCCCGGCAGTGATGATACCGACCCTTGTTTTGGAGGATCTATAGCGTTCTTTTCGCAGTCCCAAAACATTCCAAACATAACGAGTTTGTTGATCTGAAAGCGAATACCTGGTTTGTTCTTGTTCATGACTTGTCTCTTAAATCTTTTTTGGCGTACCTCCGCAAACAAACAGTCAAATATTTGAAGCCGATATTCTTGACCAGGTGTATCAAGTGATCACCTTGCGAGGCATCGGTCATGAAGCAAGAAGGAATCTAGCAAGTACCAAAGAAATAAAATTTAAGAAAAAGTTTATAAATTTTACAGAAAAGTGACAATATTGAAGAACCTAATGGTAAGGATAGGCCTAATCGTAAACAAGCCGGTGAAGCAAAATCGATCCGTCCCCACTTATATCCGTAGAAATACTGGCGGGATCCGTTTACATATAACGCTATTAAAGACTGCCTTTTCTTTTGAGTATGTCAATTCTTAAACCAAAAAGAAACGCACGAAATAACATTCCTGATAGCGAGATGCAACAGAACGCCATACACTGTGTGTCGCTTCTTGGCGTACAATGCGGAAATCGATAGGCTTCACTGCCTCCCTTCAGAGTTATCCCTCTAGCGCACTCTTATACACCTCATTGTAGCAGACAAAAGTAAGTAGCCGGTCAGACTGAAGATGGTTGTGCTAAAAAGGACAGAATCGACTGCACTCCTTGCTTCGCAAAAATCTGAGCATTTGACAGGTTCTCGGGAGTCCATTAATAGCATCGAACTGAATGTTAAAGAACTTGCAAGAAGTCTTGGCTTTTGGCATGCATTTGCCTACGTGGTAGGAATCTTGTTTGGCTCTGGTATCTACATCTCCCCAAGCCTTGTAGCA